TGGCCGTGTCGGCTCGACCTCTGAGAACATTACTCAACGCATCGAGTACGTGGAGGACGCTGACAAGCGCTCCGTCCTGCTCGACATTTTGCACACCCACGCCGGTGGCTTGACACTGATCTTCGTCGAGACGAAGCGCATGGCCGACACCCTGTCCGACTTTCTCATCAACCAGAACTTCCCCGCCACATCGATTCACGGTGATCGCACCCAGCGTGAGCGTGAGCGCGCTCTCGAGTTCTTCCGTAACGGCCGTTGCCCCATTATGGTCGCCACGGCTGTCGCCGCCCGTGGTCTCGATATCCCCAACGTCACCCACGTCGTCAACTATGATCTCCCCACTGATATTGACGACTACGTCCACCGCATCGGTCGTACCGGTCGTGCCGGAAACACTGGTATTGCCACTGCTTTCTTCAACCGTGGCAACCGCGGTGTTGTTCGTGAGCTCCTCGACCTGCTCAAGGAGGCCAACCAAGAGGTCCCTGCGTTCCTGGAGACCGTGGCCCGTGAGTCGTCCTTTGGCGGCGGCGGTCGTGGTGGTCGCTCTCGCGGCGGTGGTGGCCGCGGTGGTCCCACGCGCGATTTCCGTAAGGGCTTCGGCGGTGGTGGCTTTGGCGGCAACAGCGGTGGCAGTGGAGGCGGCTTCGGCGGTCCCCCTCAGTCCGGCGGCTATGGCGGCGGCGGCTTTGGTGGTCCACAGGGAGGTGCTCCTGCCTACGGCGGCGGTGGTGGTGGCTATGGCGGCGGCGGCGGCGGCGGCGGCTTCGGTGGTGGTGGTGCCTATGGCAACCCCGGCGGCCCTGGTGGCCAGTCTTGGTGGTAGATGCCACTCGAGATGGCGGCGCATCCAGAGCGTGCCCCTGATGCTGGCACGTTGATGCTCCCACGATCCGCCTTCTGAGCATCGAGATTTCCTTACTGTTGTCATTTCTCTGCTTTTTTGTTATTTTTTTGCGCACAGCACAGCACACTACTTTTGACGACACGGCAACCATGAGCATGACCTGAGGAGGCGACATTGATGCCTTTCCCCCTCCCAGCGCGGCATAGGCAGAATGCCAGCGCAGGGACACTCTGGGCATTTATGACGAAGCATCTGATAGATTGCGTTTGGTTTTGATTTCGGCATTCCTCCTCGATTGATACCCTTAGACCGAGACTAGGGGAGCTCGAGAAGAAGAACGAAAAAGCATACGATGACGACGACGATATTATCGGCAGCAACAGCAGGACATGGACACGGCGTTTTTCCGAGAGACACATCTCACGACGCCATCATGTTTCTGCCCGAGGGTCATTTGTCTTTTTTTCTCTCTCTTCTTTGCTCTTATTTCACGATAGAGGGTCATGAACATTGCCGTGCGGACATAGACAAAAGTGGGAATTTTTCTCAGATCATCCTCCCTTGCTTGAAGGACACGATGAGAAAGCTAGGAGGGATACTTGGTTGTCTCTTTTCACATACTAGAGCATATCGACAATCATGGAATCGATCAACGCCGTCCCGAAGACACACACAGAGATGGTATGGATAATGGGTTACCTGCTTTACGGCTTGACGAGGCATCGCTTGGGGCTAGATGAGTTGGGAACCGGCTGGGCAAGACGGCTAGGTCAGACTCGCAGCCTCGCGCGCGATGCAGGCAGCCTCGGAAAACGGGAACAGGCCCCGAAATGGAGGGATATGTCCCCATCTTACTGAAGACAGACATGCTCAAGAGCAGACTGAGGAGTTTCCGGACAAAAAAAAAGTTCATCAACGCGAGTCTTGATACATAGCTTGTGACCGTGCAATTGTGACCTTGCTGTGTAAATGTTGTAACTTCCATCATCGCGGATGCGATTAAGCTGCCACCTTTAGTAGATCTTTGGTAATCAATTAATCGTTTAGCACTCGTCAGGGCGGACTCGGTCACTCACCTCGGACAGCTGTCGCCGTCGGTGCATTTCGACGTGGCGGGGCAGCGGAACTGGAGCCTACGTTCGACAACCTCCTCACCCGGACCAAGTTGTATTCCAAGTTGAGACCTGCACGGACACAGTTTCTGTCTTTCTTGATTTACATTGATTCCTCTTCCAGCGTGCTTTTCGTTTCCTCCACCCACCGCCATGGGACTCTTCGACACCGTGGACGCTGGCATCACCAGCCTGGTCGGCCAGTGGGACCTCTACACCACGACCCTCGCGACCATCCTCGTCGTCCTCGTCTCGTACCGCGTCATCTCGAGCCGTGATCCCGATGTGCACCCGATGCTCTTGGCCCGCCAGGCCGTGCCCTCGACCGTGCGCAACGAGGGCGAGAGCGCCGTGTACCGCAGCCAGGCGGCGCCGCATGGCATGCCGCTCAACAGCGGGCTGAACGTCAAGGATCCTGGCGCGAGCAAGTGGTCGCGCGGAGGCGATGGAGATCTGCGGGACGTATGGAGGAAGGTCGTCGACGGTGGCGAGAATGGCGCCAAGGGAAGACTGCTGACGGTCCTCGGGTCGGAAAAGGTGATTGAGCACAAACTTGGTAGGTACAGAGAGCAAGCGACATCGCCGACGACAAGCTGGGCTAATAATCGGTGACAGAGGACATTACGAGACAAATCAACCTCATCGGCCAGCACTTTACCGAGAACAAGGCCGCCCGCGTGGCCGTATATCTCCCCAACTCGATCGAACTCCTGGCTACACTGTTCGCTGCTGCATTCTGCCCTAATGTCACGACCGTCCTTATTCCCTTTGATACCTCCGAAGAGAACCTCATTTCGATGCTGCGCCAGGCCGAGGTCGATACCGTCATCACCGCTTCCGGCTCGTTTCCATTGGACAATGTCACCAAGTCGTATCCTGCACTTCGACAGCTGATCTGGGTCGTCGATGAGGGCAGCAAGCATCTAGACTGGAACGAAGTCCCCGAAGGAGTCGGCAGTGCAGTCAACGTGGCCACATGGCAGGACATTATTCACGATGCTCCTGCTGCGGCAGGGACGGAACTACCAGCAACAGACGCGACGACTACGCTAGGCGACATTATCACATTCTGGCAGAGCAACTCGGCGAGCCAGGCCCAGATGACCAGATTCACGCAAGCGAACATTGTGGCCGGTGTGGCTGCACAGCTGGCTGCTCTACCACACAGGGAGCGTCTCAACGCGGCGGACCTATTTCTGCCCGCCGACTCCATGGTCCACAGCCACACTCTGGTCGTCACGCTGGCCGCGCTGTACTCGAATGCCTCGGTAGCCTTCAACTCGGTGGCCGAGCAGTCCTCGGACCTAGCCCTCGCCACGCAAGGCATAGCACCCACCATCCTCGTGGCCAGCCCCGAGACGCTGCTCAGGACGCACGGAGAGAGCGCAAGGAAGCTCACATCCGCGCTTGCGAGCGCATCGCACGCGCTGTCTACACGTTCCCTGACACAGGAGGGCATCTTCAACACATCGAACCTCTTGTCGCCATTCTCCTCGGGCGCCAGGCCCGCGATTGGCACGACGCCCGGCAAGCTGCGTCTTGTGTACGTTGCGGAAAGGGCGGGGGCCAACACGCCCGCGCTGTCGTCCAGGGTTGTCTCTGACCTTCGCATCTTCACCGGTGCGCGGGTGATCTACGCCCTGACGGCGGCGCCGGTGGCGGGCTCTGTCAGCCAGACAGCCTTCTTCGACTACCGCCTGGACGCCGGACATGGCAAGGCGCACTTTGGCGGGCCTGTCACGAGCGTGGAGGTTTGGCTGAAGGATACGGGTGTCAACAAGACGACGGATGACAAGGTGGAAGGCGAGGTCAGTGATTTGTCCTTGTATTGGCGATCTGCGGAAGCCATGCTAACAGTGATAGATCAACGTGCGCGGACCGAGTGTCGCAGGCGGGGAGGCAAGCTTGGGTGTTGTTGGGCGAATCAACGAGGACCACACTGTGGCCTACGCGTGATCTTCTCCCTCACGCCGTGGTGAAAGTCAACATTGATGAGGATCGTGTCGTCGGAGGCGGGGTGCGCGCGCGCACGTAGAATCAGAGCGCATCTATCAGCCGAGGGCGCGAACCCCTGCCTGGCCAGACACCTGAAGGGAACTAAAGTATTACGTAGGGTCGGCTGCTGCTCACATACGATTCGATGGATGTTGTAGAGACAATTGACAATGACACGTTCGATAGAGTTTGGGTCAATTTCCTCGACGCAGAGGCGCCTCGCTAGAGATATCGCGAGGGCCCAAATCCAGGGATCTGGGATGGATCATGGACCCATGTCATTCGACCTCGACCCGGTGAGATGGGTGAACCCCGCCGAATGCCGGCACTATCTTGAAGAGCCTTTTTTGTTTCTGTTGTTGACTACGTGGTACTGATCAATCATAGCAGCTGGATCGCGGCGCGTCGGCGCCAACGTATGCTGTACGACAGTAAGCTAAGAGTCCCCGACACGCCTTTCTTTCTTGGAACGGTGTCAAGGACGCCGAGGATCCGTTAGGGTGTGGTAGTGCTGGTGGTGCTGGTGGTGGGAGGCATCCCGGTTGCCGTAAGATGACTTCATGTTGGCCAATTTTCATTCAACCAAGTCCTCCTCGTGGTGGTGCCTATTCCCGCTCACCCGCTGCTAATCGCCTACCTTATTCTACTTGGACTTTCCCCAAGCTGGCGAGCAAATGCAGCTCCAGCCTCTCTTTGCCTGGTTTCGTCTCCTTCATCACCTAGCCTTGACTGTCGCGTGCGTGACCCTGCGCGAACGGACCGCACCCATCTTCCCTTGATTACCCTATACCTTCTTTTCACCCACTCCAGCCATCACACACACGCAGCAGAAGCGAGCATGAGTCGACGGTAATACGATGAAGTCCTTCAAGAAGCTGCTCAATCGACGGCACAATCCTCCCTCCTACATTGATTATGCTTCCTCTCTACCTCCAGCCGTCGAGGCCCCAACGCGGCACCAACTCTCCTCCTCGCGGCTTTTACACCATATAGCGCCCACCCCACCAGCCGCGACCAGATTTGTGGCCGATGAGGTTCCGGAGCTCATGTGCGCCCAATGCGCTGGCAAGGACTTTGCCTCCGTCTTCGCCTGGAAGGAGGGCGTGAGGGAATGGGTGAGCGTGGGCCACGTGCTGGACTACACGGACGAGCCGTCCTGTCCGTACTGCCTCTTCTTCCGCGCCTACCTGGCCGTGGCGCCGCAGAGTCACAGCGGCAAGTTCAGTCCGTATCTGAGGATACGACTGGCCTGGGAGAGATTTGGGATACCAGAGAGTCATCCGCTGGGCAGGGCCGTGGTGATGGATGTGCTGGGGAGGAACAAGGCATTGCCGTGGGGCCACATTATCCTCGCGGCGGAGGACCAGACGCCGCAGGCATATCTGGCTGACGAGAAGAAGATTGGTGGAAGGCTCGTCGAGGGGGTTGCGGACGTTGAGCTGGTCAAGACGTGGATGGGGTACTGCGTGGACAAACACGAGTGCAAGAATCCGACAAGGAGGATGACGGTGAAGCTTGTGGATGTGAAGGAGAAGGCTCTCCAAGAGTTCGAAGGGGACGAGATACCAGAATATGTGGCTGTGAGCTACGTACACGACGAGGCGACTCAAGCCACACAGACGCTGAGCGACGACATGCCCAGGATATTCGAAGATGCAATGTCCTTCACCGAACAACTAGGGTATCGATACGTCTACATTCATCCCTACTGTCGCTCCGAAGGCGTGGGAGGTATCTTCTCGTCAGCAACCCTGACACTCATCTTCACGACGCCGACATCTCCCATATCGACACCGCGAACGCCGCAACTATCCCTCCAGTGCGACGCTAGGCTCTACCTGACGTCGCTTCTGCGGCCAGACCTCGAAGTGGCATCTTCACCCTGGTGCCGACAAGGGTCTACGTTCCAGGAAGGCCTGCTGAGTACGCGGAAGGTCGTTTTCACGAGCAGCCAGGTCTACTGGCAGTGCGCCGAAATGTGTCTTTGCGAGAGCATGTGCGTGCCGCTGCAACACACGGCAGGCCTGAACCTCGGACGCGTATTTCCCGAAGGAGGCGCGCATGGCAACGCGGCAGAATATAAGAGGACAGTCCGAGAGTACCTGGCAAAGGACTTTGCAAAGCCAGAGGAAAAGGTCCAGGACTTCTGGGGGGTGGCAGAGCACTACTTCAAGCGCCCGAGCGGAATCGACCATCTCGTGGGCCTGCCGCTTTTTGCTAGAGGGAGTCTTGACGCAGGCGAAGCGGACGCACGGAGTGATAGGCTGGCGTTTGGTCTATCGTGGGCGCCTGTGCGGTCACAGACCGGGACACCAGCCGAAGGGTATGTGCTCGACGCCGCAAGGCAGTGTCCTTCGTGGACATGGCTTGCCTGGAGACCTACCACGGGCGGGGGCTTCACATTCCCATCGGACGAGGACGCGGTGGTCTACAGCGCATCGCCCAAAATGGAGTTTTCGCTGGGTCTGCAGGACGGTGCTGTCGTACCGTGGGATCTGGCGGCGGAGGACACGTCAGAGTTGAAACTCGACTTTCTCCGGCTCAAGACATATTCGTTCGGCCTGAATGTGAAGAAGGAGGGGGACACCAGCGCCATTACGGGCATCCATCTGGCACGTACGCAGAGAGATCTGGTCAAGAGCTGGGTCAAGGCGGAGGGCGAGTGGGAGCTGATGGGGGTGGTGCTTCTGGCGAAGAAGTGGAGGGAGGCTGGCGACAAGGAGGCCGTCTGCCTCGTGCTGGGGCCGAGTGATCTCACGGATGCCCAGGATGATGCAGTGGATGGGGGAGAAGTGCCGGTAGATAGAGAAGCAGCGGCAGCAGGGAAGAACTGGACACGGCTGGGCGTCATGTTACTGTCTTTCCTTGACTTTACGCCGCTGGATGACGAGACGGCCGTGCTGGAGGGAATGGCCCTCGACGGGGGCGACAGGGGGGATGTGAGCGTTTCCGTCAAGGAGGTGGATGTTTACTAGTCATCGAGATACCCTTCACTTCAGCGAAATATGAGACACTGACACACAACCATCAAGTGCTTAAACGACCCAGCAACCAAAGAAGGGGTATCATCATTATATTGGCCTTCTCAGTCCACCGCGGGGCTCTGCATCTCGCTCTCCATGTCGAGGATCATCCGCTTGGTCAGGTCGTCCTGCACCCAGCTGACCACCCGCTCACCGACGTCGCCCACCAGGCGGTCGTAGTGCACGCCCGGGAAGAACAGCCCGCAGTGGGCGCCGACCTCGTCCACGCCGTCCATGTAAATGTCCACCCACGTGGGATCGGGCTGCCCATTGTGCGCCTTGGGGAGGGTGCAGAACTTCTTGGACTTCTTGGGCTTGGCGGCCTCGGCAGCTTCTGCATCCTTGACGACGGACTCTGTCGAGGCGGACGCCGAAGCCGACATATCTCCAGTCGGGGCTGAAGCAGAGGCAGCAGCAGAAGGTTGCTCTGTTGAAGCTCGTTGGAGGGCCGCTGCGTCGGCAGCCTGGGATTTGGCTTTAGCAACCTCGGCGGCAGCCGCCTTGGCGTCTTCCTTCTTCTGGCGCTCAGCATCCTTCTCGGCCTTCTTGCGTCGCTTCTCGAGAATGCTGTTCCTCTCCCGGATGGCCTTGTTACGGTCCTTGACCGCCGTGGCATAGTTCTTCTGCACCCTCTTGAACTCCCGCTCGGCCTGCTTTCGAGCGTCCTTGTCCGTGTACTGCTCAAAGTCGGGTGCCTCTGGTTTCTCGGGGACGGGGGGAATAGGCGCCAGATCGAGGTGCTTGTCGCGCTCGGTGGCATTGTCGTCTTCCATGGGAACCGGATCGAGATCCTGCAGAGACATGGACTCCATGTCTGTCTGCAGGGACGCAGTCTCGCCATCGTCGCCCCGAGAGTGCTTAGAGGTGCTATGTCGGGAAGAAAGTGAGGACATGTCGGCTGCCTCTTCCACATCACTTTGGTCCTTGGTGGTAAAGCTCACGTTCGACACGGACGTGCGCGTGTCCTGCAGGCTCCAGGAGTCGTCGCCCGTCGATGTCACGGGTGTGAGGGTGTCGGCTGGTGTCTCTGAGCCCGGCGTCTTGGGCTCCTTCTTGCGTCCGCTCGATAGAGTATAATAGTTCACAAAACGCACCCTCGCCTTGCTGGAATGCCCCTGTCGTCTTTGCAGCTCCAGCTCGTCGACATCCTCGAGCTCTCGCAGCCGATTGTAGCGCTGGCGCAACGCTGGGTAGTCGGCCAAGCAGCCGCCATACTCGAGATGAGAGAGGACATGTTTCGCTGTGGCGTTGACGATGCCTTCTGATCGGTGTTTCTTGGCAAAATTCATCAGCCTTTTCACAAAGGGGGCCTCCTTGAAGGGATTATCGTTCCAGAATGGCTGGTTGAAGAATGGGTCCGTTGGCTGGCGGTCTGGGGGCATGTCGTACGGCGAGGCTGCCTGGGCTTGAAGGTCCGTGTTGCTTGAGCTTGCCTCTCCATTTTCCGCCGGCTGCTCGGGCGACGACTGGAAGAGACTGGATATTCCTGACACGACGATGCCGGGGTGCAACCCCAGGAAGGGAGAGTCCAGCGAGATTGTGCCCAGTATCCGGTGCATGTATGGATGCTGACCGCCATATGGGCTATTGTTGGGCATAAGCACAATGTCGGCCGCCAAGATACCACCCATCGAGTGACCGACGAGGATGACGTCGGTATCTGGCCCTTCATGGGGCCGAAGCCAGGTGCTGAAGTTGTCTCTCGCGACCTCCAAGGCACGGTACGTTTTGTACCGCGGGTAGATCTTGGAGTGAATCACATGGGATTCGGACAGGGCTGATCGGAGGTAGGTGTGGACATGATAGGGGAACGACCTGAACGACTGATCATTGCCGTAGAATCCATGGATGTAGATGAGGAGCAGCGTCCGTCGACGTCGGCCTTGCCCATCGTCAGCGACAGAGGGCGCGAGGGACTGCGAGGATGAGTGGCGCGGATCGGGCACTAGCATGTCGGATCCCTTTCCCAGCGAGGTGGCCGTCGGGATGACATGGCTGTCTTTGGCAGCCATGTTGTGAGCCTGCGAGGCCAGGCTGAGACAAGGGCGAGTCGAGATTACCGGCGCTGCTGCGCTGCTGCGGGGGAGGTCGAGGTTGGATTTGAAGGAGGCGACGCTCGTCGAGGGGTTGAGCTGTTGTTAGACTGAGAGTAAGGTGCGGTAGCTTAGCTGCTGATCCAGAGGTTGTCTTGGATGGATTCAGGGACTTGGACACGTGGGGGCGGGGCAGCGGGGGTATGTCTGAGTTACGTAGGTACGTGGAACGAAAGTCGTCTGCTTTCAACGTTGCAAAGATCCAGAAAGAGATCGACATGCGCTGGATACTGTCGTAGTATACATGTACATTGACGTACCGGTGTGTGATCTTTGGTGTTTTCCCTGTGGCCCGGACGTTTACTCTCACTGACCCCAGATAGGACCGTTGTCTGATAACCTTCACCCATACACTGCTAACAGGATTCGACACGCTTATATCTGCTCACACATTGCAAGTCCGGCATTTTCTTTAGCACACAAGAGCTTGAGGGCTCAGAGCAATTGTGAGTACCTGTGGGGCAATTATGGTTGGTTCCTGGGCCGTTTTCTGGAAGGAATGTCGAAGGTTGAACTGCTAGCGGGTAAGCTAAAAGGCACGGCGATGATCAAACCCAGCCACACATGACATGCGTAACTTCCAACTCCAGTCCGTGCGTGTATCCGTGCACCAACTTCTCTCCCGAGTAACGCACTATTTTTTCGCAGGTTTTGTCTCGTACTGGTGGAACTCAATGGTTCAAGTGGATGCATCACGCACTTGGACTTGCGTGACTGCGCGACTGCGTCCCCAATTGTCCGCGCGTTGTCGAGGCTGTGTCGCTGGACGTGTCAGGTGCAACAGCAACGCCGACGATGGTTTGACACTCGAGTTCAGAATTGCGGATGCATACGAGTCACAAGAAAGCCAAGGGTCTAATTATCTGACGCAGTGACGCGTTGGCAATTTGACAGGCTCCTCTCCGTAGATGTGACGCAGTGACAGACTGACAGCCGCGTACGTGACGACATGTCCCCTTTTGCAGCGTTACATTCCAGATCAGCAATGTCATATTTCACACAAGAATCCGTCTATCATGTACGTAGTACCTGGAATCCTGGACAAGGAAATACCTCGAGCTTGGACCTCTGGTTGTCTCCAGGCTTCTAGAGTTCATTGTTCATTATCTTCAGTCAACGCCTGGTGAAACTTACGTTTAATTAATCACCACCCGCCACGGATTGTGGGCTTCGCCGTTTCGGCAACGGCCACAAACGTGTACGCAGCCGTAGGGCACCCACTCTTCCGGACGGGAGGTTAGCTGCTAGTAAAAGCCTGCTAGCATCCTCCTGCATCCTGATTCCTATACGAGGTGTAGCTTCTCGCGTTGCGTCGTCTCCAGCACAGGGCATATGTATGTTCTGCGCAGACAATCCCTGGCCACTGCCATCGTCCATGAGGCGACGGCACAATCACTTACACGCATGGTCACAATGGGTGTGTTCAAGCAAAGCTCCTCCATGTCGACGGACGCGCACGCACACACTGAGGATCTGGCGACTGGAGCCCAGAACTTGTCCTTGGCGAAAAGGCTTGCTCCACGACGCCCTGTCCCCTGCTGCGTGGTCGAAATCGTGATTGGCCCGAGATCATGCATCCCGAAATTATGCCACCCATTCTTCGTGATTGTGCACGAGGTCTCGCGGCCTGTTCCTGGCCATTGTGTAGCGACGGTCGTGCAGATGAATTCTTCATTTTACGTGCATGATATTTGGCCGGGGGAGAGAGGGGCGGGCTCCTGTCCATGGCGGCCATCTGATCCGATCCGTGTCATGGCCGTCTGTCCTCCCATCCGCCCGCCCACAGGCTCATAATATTGTCTCTTCAAGCTAGAGGCGCCTCGTCTTCCTCCTTCTCTGCACGGGTTGAGGTCTGGCCTACCCACGTCGCTCTTTACCACTCCCCTCGTTGTCGTTGTATTCTTCTTCTTCCTTCGCTTCGTGCCGACGGCTCACTCTTTTGCCCGCTCGTGCCATATCTTTGAGTCTACCTTGTCATTGTGGACGCGTCATGCAGACGAGCATTGCCATTCAATCCTAGCCGCGAAGGCGTGAGTGAAATTCGTGCCATATTTCGAAATCACAAAGTCCCAACAAAACGAGAGAAGAGTAACACACGAAACAAAGAGAGAGGATTTCCGCTGTTGGGGGGGCAAAATCGACGAGGAGGAATACGAGAAGGGAAGAAACAGGCTGTGTTCGACAACACAACGTAGCTAAGCGAGGGTCAACAAACGACGGGCGCCCACGGCTGACATCTCACAGACCGCCATTCGAATCAATCAATCAATCGAGTCGAATCACTGCCCATTCTGCCTGGCCTTTCTGGAACACGAACGGACGACGGGATTCTGGCTGTTGGCCACGATAAGATTGTGGCAGACTTGGGGCAATACTGCCTTGGACCCCCTCCAAGCCTGGATTGCGCAAGCCTGATCGCTCAGCCTCGCAGCATTCGTTTCGATAGGATCCCCTCCCAAAACGCCTGGATCGACACTATATTATTAGTGCAACAAAAATAGCCGATCCATTGTTTTTTTGGGGGACTTCCGTTGATTGGGGCAATTGGGGAGAGGCGAATTCGTTGTTTGCGTGGTAGTTGCTCCCGCTGCCATGACTAACGTCGCTGGTGCGGGTGGCGCTGCTGCCCCGGTCGCGGCCAACAACGTGGACGACAATCTTTCTTCTTCAACTTCATCTTCGACTTTGTCCAACACGCATACACACCACTCACATTCGTTTCACTCCGGGAAGGGTTATCATCACCACAATCGACATTCCTTGGACAACACTCGTTCCAACACACACCTCCATTTCCATCATCGAGCGCCTGCCTCTGACGACCTCTCTTCCCACCAGAAGAACGACGACACCGATATCGATATTGATGTCCACCGCGACAGCAACCTCGAGATCCGCCAAGCTGACCAAGACCCCTATGTCCAGCACGTCGTCCAGACTGTCGAGCTCGTCCAGGTAGTCGACGCATCCGGCAACCCAGTCACTCTACACACCGTACTACCCCCTCCCGGGACCGTGGTCGTGGACCGCGCGTCGGGGGAGACGATATCCGTCATTTCGGCACCAGGAGCGTCGTGGACGGCGATACAGCCGTCCGCATCATCTGTGTCGGCGGGAGGCGTCAATGTCGAGGCGTCCCTTTCCGTTGGTCTCAGCCTGCCGATAGACCCGTCTGTCACGGCCTCGGCTTCCGTCTCGGTCTCCTCCGCCTCGACAGATGTCTCCGCGCCATTGATCACGTCGGGAGCGAGCGACACCCCGATACCAGCGAGTCTGCTGCCGGAAACGAGCAACTTTCTCACACCATCGGCGGGTGCCTCGCTCAATGAAACAAACTGTGAGTGCTCCTCTCCTAGTAATACTGGCCTACGTGAACTAACAACGAAGCAGCACTACCCTCACGCAACTCGACGTCAACACCTACCACACCTCTGAGCCAGATCGCTCTTAAATTGGACACCATATTGTCCTCCCCGTCGTCTACGTCATTCACGTCCACATCCGACGATGAGTTCCGATCCTTCATCTCCAGCTCAAGCAGCGGCTACACCTGGGATTCATCCTTCTCCACGTCACTACCGTCGACATACTCGGACAGCGAGACTGCCTCATCAGATGTCATTGGATACAGCGGCACTGGTGCCGATGGCGCCCAGCCAACCGATTCAGAAGACGTGCAGACAGATACCGACAACTCCGACAACGACAGTGGTGGCGGTATAGCACCTCTGACCCCACAGCAAAAGACTATTGTCGGAGGCGTCGTCGGGAGCGTGGCTGGCGTGGCATTCCTGCTGTTGCTCGTCATGATGGCGATCAAGTGGAAGAAGCGAAGGAGTCAGATGACCGAGCTTCTCGGAGAGCAAGGCACCCGGGGCATTGCAGGTCGCGGCGGCCCGCCGACAGGAGGCAGCAATGGGGGCGGGGACGCGATGGCGGAGCGTCCTGGCGCTGGGTTCTCCGTACCGGCCGCGTTGGCCGCGTTGACGAGAAAGAGCCAGCACGCGCCTGGCGAGGCCACACGCTCAGGCGAACGGGGGTTCGTCCGCGTGTCTGGCAGGAAGCTGCCCTCCGTCCTACAGCACGGCGGCGATGGCTACTCGGACCCCCGCGCCAGCACCATGAGCGGCGAGTCTGACTACTGGCGCGGCTCGCAGGCCTTTGATCCGGGCGCGACATCACCACGTCTCGCGCTCGGTTCGCCGATGCGTCCCGTGAGTGGCGTGCCGATCATACGCTCAGGGCCGGGACGACAAGCGGTCGCAGAGCAGAATCCATTCGCTGACCCGCCGAGCCCTGGGCCGCCCCCGAGCGGACCGCTACCGCCGCCGCCCATGTCGAGAGACGGGCTGGGACGGAGTCTGACGAGTCAGGATGGGTCGAGAGGGTCAGGCTCGAGGTTTCAGGAGAATATCTGAGTCGGCTCTTGCGCCTAGAAAGGGGGGAGAGGGGGTTATCCAAAAAGAAAATCGAAGCAGTAGATTTTTTTTTAAATTCTTGTACATGTTGCAATGGGAATTTGGGAGCGACAGGGTCTATCTATCTAGCAGAGCGAAGGAAGGACGAACGGGTCGGGCGTCGTGTGTACATAACTGCGACGTGGCCCGCGTACATATTTCATGATACCAGTTTGTTGGTGGTTAGTACATATTTGTGCCTCGGTGCGTTAATCTGTGTAGAACGTACGTGGACGTGCGGAGTAAATTAATGGATGGGTAGTAGATGCGGCTGGCCTATCTTGGTACTAGTCTCGGCGTCTACCACGAGCCCGAGGATCTTCTGTTGTACGCGGACATGATAGCGTCGCACGTGTCGGTGACGGGCGGTGCAGTCTAGGCATGCTCGTCCGGAATGCAGTCCAACTACGGACAAGGTCGGCGAGGACGGACGGGTGCGGACAAGTCTACCGCATAGGATGATGGATGCTTACTGTATCTGTAGCTAGGTCGCACTGCTGTTGGGGGCCAGCCGTCAGTCAATTGGAATGGGCCCATCCGGAAAAGGGCAAGCCGCGAGAAAGGAGGGCGAGCGATCTGATCGGGGGACCTGCATCCAAGATCCGCCCAAGACAAGACAGTTCAGGCCAGGTGCTTGGCACCTTTGCACGCATGCGTGTCTCTGAGGGCTGGGCTGGACTGGCCTGGCCTGCGATGCGGTGAGAGATGCTTCAGCAACCGTGCAGGCAGCAGAGGGACGATGGAAGCGCAACGTTCCGAGAATTTGCAGTCAATGACATCGTGTCTTGTCCAGCCGGCATGACATCAATGAAGCAGCCCGAGTGTCAAGTTGCCCGGATCCGAATGGAGTGTCGCTGCCAGTGCGCAGATGACCTATGTGCTTGTGTAGGAGAAGCAGCCCACCGCGGACACTAGCAGCACTGCCACGTTGAAAGTGTGTCGGCACTTGCATATTGCTTTGGAATCAGCTTTCTGGTGCTGTCACTGACAAATTCAGTGTACGGGAACTGATTGTAGTAGCATCTCAACAAGTACAGCACTACTAGAGTGGACAGCCAAGTCCGCTATATCAGGTGGAGGAACGTACCCTAGATGCCTGGTGACGCGGGTGAGGCTACGCTACCTAAGTACGTAGTGGTATGAGTTCATCGCTACCTTATCTATCTGAATAGTCCATTGATCGAGTCATGAGCAGTTCTATCGCCCTGATAGAGTTTCCCGGGGCCAGAACATCAGAAGGGCGCTGGAACCCTGGAAGCCTCAACATGAACCCAATTGTGACCAACAGCAGCCCCTGCCGCTAAACTCCGCGCACGCGGCCTCCACAGCAGTCCGAACTCCACGGCACCACCAGCCTGTGTCTGAGTCTGATGAGTCTGACTCCCCACCTCGAGACCACCATGCATCAATTTGTTACTTCTCCCCTCCCCCTCTGAGAATTGTCATCAACTGCCAGACTGGACTCGTCGACGCTGTTCGTGCGGCTAGATAGTAGTTCCAGCACCAGCATTGATCTGATCTCGCGCATGCACGCGGATGGCCCACGAGCGAACGAGGTGCACCGCTCATTCGAATATTCGTCATCAATCCCCGCCCCCCTCTGAGTCCAACTAATAATCACGACGATTCCTCGGCTCCCTCATTCGAGGCTCACGAACCATCATAACAAGCAACACCGACTCCGTCATGGCCTTCCAACTACCACCAGGCGTGCATCCGCCGCCTGCGGCCTCCTTCAACCCCCCTCAGATCTTCGGCTCCTATGCCACCGACGCCCTGCCGCAACTTCCGCCAGATCTCGCGGCCCAAATGTTCGCCGACTCGCACAACTTCCCCTATGACGAGTCACAAGACGCCAAGCGTAGACGCATCGCCCGAGCCTGCGACATGTGCCGCAAGAAGAAGATCAAGTGCGACGGTAAATTGCCCAGCTGCACCCAGTGCATCAACTACAAAGCCGAGTGTGTCTTCACCCAGGTCGAGAAGAAGCGCGCACCCCCCAAGGGCGCCAAGTACATTGAGGGCCTGGAGAACCGGCTGGGCAGGATGGAGCATCTGCTTCGGTTGAGTGGGCTGCTGGCCGAGGGCGAGGAGACGGACCTGGGCGCCCTCGAGAAGAAGCTCGAGGAGCAGAGGAACTCGGAGGCTAGTCGACAAGGAAGCCTTGCCGTGCCCTCGACACCCGCCAGCCCCGCGACCAAGGCCCCCTCTACGACAGCAGCAGAGAGCCAGGCATCGCCTGCGGATAACCTCTCACCACTTCCCAAGGACAAGGACAAGGACAAGGAGCAGCAGCAGCAGCAGCCGCCGCAACGGCGCAGTTCGAACGTCCGCACAGCGAGCGTCGAGGACGCTGAGCCGGAGGAGGATGTCGAAAACTTGTCGGACCTCATGTGTTCCCTCGTGACGACCCAGTCGGGCGAGACGAGATACCTTGGCTCCTCCTCCGGGTTTAGCATCTTCTCCCCCAAGGGCATACAGTGGGTGAACCAGAAGACCGGCAACGACTCGTTCCGGAACATGATCTCGGAAGTCTCCGAAGATGACCACAAGTGGACAAACTGGAAGCCCGAGGTGTTCAGCGACGTCTTTAGACGACCCGTCTTCCAGCCTCTCCCTTCCAAGGATGACGCGCTTTCCCTCCTCAAGGACTACTTTGAGAATTTCAACTGCATGTTCCCGCTCTTCCACCAGCCGACCTTTATGCACCTCGTGCAGCGGCAGTACTCGGCTGATCCGTACCAAGGCTCCGGTTGGTGGGCCAGTCTTAACTGTGCCCTCGCCATCGCGCACAGACTCCGTGTCATGAGCCATCTCGTCCCCCAGGAGGAAGACCAGGTGTCGTGGGGCTACCTCAAGAACGCCATGGGCGTCTTCACGGAATTGACGATGCGTAACACCGATCTCCTGTCCGTGCAGGCGCTGCTCGGCATGGCCCTCTTCATGCAGGGCACCCCCAACCCGCAGCCCAGCACGCTGTTGGTCGCAGCAGCGATCCGTCTCTCGCACACCATTGGCCTGCACAAGCGCGGCACCGGGTTCAACTTGAACCCCATTGAGCTTGAGCAGCGGAAACGCGTATTCTGGATCGCCTACATACTGGACAAGGACATGTGCCTGCGCGCCGGCCGCCCACCCACCCAGGACGACGACGACATGAACATTGATCTGCCCGACGCCGACCCGGAAGACAACATTGGCAACATACCCCTCGCCGACGGCAAGTCCAAGATGAACATCTTCCGGACCATGTGCGAGTTCGCCGTCATCGAGTCGGATGTCTACAGGCGGCTGTACTCGACCAAGGCGACCAAGTCGTCTGTCGGCGAGCTGCTCAATGCCATTGGCGAGCTGGACTCGCAGCTGGAGGACTGGAAGGACGCCATCCCCATTGACTTTCGACCCGAGCACGAGATCAAGGCCAGCCACACGCCCCTGATCCTCCACGTCGTCATGCTGCACTTTGCCTACTACAACTGCCTGACGACGATCCACCGCATGAGCGTCCATCACGGCTTCTGGACGAGCCGGCTGAGCAACTACGCACTACAAGGGCTTAACACCAAGGCCCTCAACCCCCGCGTGTACAGCTCGGCGGCGCTGTGCACGGCCGCCGCGCGCGCGTCCATCAGCCTCGTCAAGTACATCCCCCAGGGAGACAATTCGTGCGTCTGGATGATTCTCTACTTCCCCGTGTCCGCGTTGATGACCCTCTTTGCCAACATTCTCAACAACCCGCTTGACCCGCGCGCGAAGCCCGACATTCGCCTTATGAACCTCGTGGTGAATTTTCTGAGCATGCTGGGCCACGAGGCTGAGCAGGGTGGCGTGTACCGCATGCTCGGCGTCTGCGCCGAGTTTGAGCGCATCGCCAAGAGTGTCATTGAGAAGGCAGAGAAGGATCAGTCGTCACGGCGGAAACGCAAGAATCACCACAACAACACCGAGAACAAGGCCAAGGCGACGCCCAACGGAGCAGGAGGAGCAGGCATGAGAGTGCCCAACAGCAGCAATCTGAGCCCTGTGCAAGCCGACGCGCCCGGTTTCAGTCCCCTCTCCTACGGACCCTCGCCGACCATGCCATGGAACACACAGGCGCCGCCACCGCCGGCCGACTTTTCAACGTACCCGACCAACGGTGACTTTGACAGCTTCGCCCAGCAGCAAGGCTTCCCCACGAGCGACTCGCCGGGCAGCAACGGGGGCATGCAGCAGCAGCAGCAGCAGCAGCCCATGCAGGGCACGGGGGCGGCGTTCCCCATGCACCAGCCCATGCTGCCGACCGACCTCTTCCAGCTGCCGATGAACTTGGATTGGGACTGGGCCGAGCTGAGCGGCGGCGCGTACCCGACGGTGGAGAATGGGAACTTTGGCGGTGATTCGATGGGGTAGATGTAGGCAGCGTCTGGGCATCAGACGTGGCATGTATATTTTTGTCAGAGTTAAGAAGAAGCTTGTTGTGTGTTCAAGGGTCCTCTTGTGGCTGTGTTCCGTCATTGACAGCCGGACTCACCACAGCTCCAGCCGGTGTGGTGTCCTAGCGACGCAGAACCGGCGATCTTCCTGGCGCGCCACTGGCCGTGACAAGATCCCCCGAGGTGGGATCGTCGTGCTGCAAAAGATCGTGCTCGCACCAAGGCAGCATGCGCGGTTGGCAAGCAAAGACCGATGTACATGATGGATATGCAGGTTCTCTGGCGGACTGGCCTTTTACCCGAAGCAGCCTGCACATCCCATCTGCTGCGATCGGCTCAATTGCCCCCGAGATATGCTGCCCCATGGGGCCCCGCGTCACATCAAAGGATGGAAGGCTGATTACTATATAAGGTGAGCGAGATTGTTGCCTTGTCTGGCCTATCTCGAGTAACAGTCAACCGCAGGCCCAACACTGCCAACATGATACGCCTTCACAACCTCAACGCTCTGTCTCTCGCGGGAGCTGTGGCCAGCAGCTTGATGGCACATGCTGCCGCGAAGCTGGTGACGGGCGGGAACTCGACTCATGTGACGGTCGCCAACGACCACCTTGCCATCGCGCTGGCCAAGTCGAATGGGCACATTGTTGACCTGGCCCTCGACGGACAGGATCTGCTCGGACCGCTCAGTGGAAATTCGGGCAAGGGTCCCTACCTGGACTGCTCGTGCACACCCGAGGGCTTCTGGCAGCCTGGAGGCGATCTGCAGCTAATCGAGGGCACCGACGGCACCGGGACGGACTATGTCGGCCTCATCATGGAGGACACATATGACTCGACCAACCAGACGCTCTCCCAGTACTTCTTCCTCCGGGATGGCGAGACGGGGCTACATGCGTTCTCTCGCGTCACGTACTGGAATGAGAGCAGACCCTTCCTGAGGGGACTAGGCGAGCTGCGCACACTGTTCCGGCCCAACACGCTGTTGTGGACGCACTTTTCGACGAGTGACGGCAATTATGGTCCGCTGCCGGGCAAGGAGGCGTTTGCCGAGGCCGTCACCGTCCAGGACGCGACGACATACCTCGGAAACACGCCCGATGACGGCTACGTTGCGCAGTACGCGGACTATTTTACAAAGTACAGCTTGAGCGAGGTGTGGCGCAACCACGACGTCCACGGGCAGTTCGCCGACGGCAGCACGTCGCCGGACGGGGACACGTACGGGGCGTGGCTCGTGCAGAACACAATGGAGACGTACTACGGCGGTCCACTGCACTCTGATCTTGTCGTGGATGGGATTGTGTACAACTACATGGTCTCTGGACACCACGGCGCACCCACGCCCAACATCACGCACGGATTTGACAGGACGTTTGGACCGCAGTACTACCACTTTAACAAGGGAGGGCCAGACGCCACGCTGCAGGAGCTCAGGGCGGATGCTGCTCAGTATGCGGACGTCGAGTGGAACGCTGACTTTTACGATGAGATTGCGCCGTATGTGCCCAACTATGTTCCCTCAGCGAGACGCACCACGTTCGAGGGCAGGGTGGACCTCCCCGAGGGCGCGAAGCGACCCATTATCGTCCTGTGCGAGAACAAGGAGGATTTTCAGCTCAACGTGTTTGAGCACACGTCCCTGCAGTACTGGGCGGAGATTGACGAGACGGGCGTGTTCAGCATCCCGCGTGTCGCAGAGGGCACATACCGCGTGACGGTCTACGCGGACGAGATCTTTGGCTGGTTCATCGAGGACGACGTCAAGATTGGGCGGTGCACGCGCAAGCGTGACTTTGCCTGGACCGAGGAGTCGGCGGGCACAGAGCTCTGGCGGATCGGCGTGCCGGACAAGTCAGCAGGCGAGTACCGCCACGGCTACACGCCTCTCGAGTCCAAGCCACTGCACCCAGAGGAGTACCGAATCTACTGGGCGCAGTACCAGTTCCCAGACGAGTTCCCGGACGGCGTGCACTTTCACGTGGGCGAGAGCCGGGAGGATCTGGACTTGAACTACATCCACTGGGCGTGGTGGCCGTCCAAGGGCAACTACCTGCGGGACACGCCCGTATACGACAATGTGAACAACTGGACGGTGACGTTTGACCTCGCGGCGGCGCAGCTGGAGGACCGGGCGACAGCGACGTTTACGGTGCAGGTGGCGGGGACCAAGACGGCCAACGGCAACGACAAGTGGAAGCAGTCCGACGACCCTTTTGCCAACCTGCCGTGGACGGTGGGCGTCAACGGGGGCGCGTACGAGGCGACGTGGACGATCCCGTACTGGCGCAGCGGGTCGTGCGGCGTGCGGAGCGCGGTGGCGTGCCAGAATGTCGAGCACAAGTTTGTGTTCCCAGCGGCGACGCTGCGCGCGGGCCGGAATGAGTTTGTGCTGAGTCTGCCGTATAATGCGAGCAGTGTCGAGACGGCGCTGTTGCCGGACGCGCTGTATGTGCAGTACGATGCGTTTAGGCTGGAGGTGGAGTAGTGTATATATGGTGAGGTATAGATATGGAAATGCTTGTGCTTCATCCTGTGGTATCACGCTTCTGTCGCTGGGTGATGATTGCCAGGACTTGAAATTTCGCGATTTGATCTGAACGCTGCTACAGCGTGAAAGCCACCAACTACGTACTTCTATGAAGCGTCGTTTAGTCATTGTCCGTGGGTTGTTGCCAGATATCTGAGACATCCGCCCTACTGCGTGTGCTCGCCATCCAAGACAGCCATGCAAGGACAGCGCGCTCATGCACCGAATGAGTGGATGACAGCCGTCGCTGCAAGTCAATGCTGGTCTGAGAAGTCGAGTATTAAACAAAGATGATGACTTTTCATAATATTGCGCAGGATCACATCAGCTCAATGGGCATAACGACACATGCAATTCGCGTGTTTGGGACCGGAAGCGGCCGAGTCAAGTCTTGGTTTCATCCGTCGGCTAGGCTCGGATTGCCTAGGCCAGATCAGACATGGGAAGAATCTGTCAGTCTGATCTGTGGGGAGAGGGAGATGGATGCTTCCGACGTTGGTGGTGGCTGTCCCACGAAGCCGCTGTCCAAGAGCTAGATTGTCCGTCCACTGGACGGCGAGACACCCCGCCAGAAGCAAGAGTCGAGGAGAGAAGCAATAGACATCTGCGATGATGTACTGTATTAACATATGTAAGAAAAAGGCCCGCAGAGGGGATACGATGCAGGAGGATGGCACTAGCGTTTCTGTCACTGTCAAGAGTCAAGACCCAGACCCTCTCTCCCTCCTTGGCTCGCGTGCGACATGCAGACGGGGAACGCTAGCGGGCGAGCGGGAAAGACGCTTTGACTGGATGGATGTCTCGAGCAATAGGAAGCCAGCGATGGACAATGGCAGCGCAGGCGTGAGCAGCATTGACGAGAGTAAGACGAGCGTCTTCATTCGTACTTCTTGTACAAGTGCAACAAGTGCACGACGGGAGACTCGACTGGACCTTGCTGCCAAGACGGTTTGGGGGAGAGATCCCTGCGTCGTGTGTTACAGATTTCGACGTCTGTCTCGTAGTGGCTTCAGAGGAGACAAAATAACCGGGACGTGGACGAAGACTGGCGGGCGCGATGGCATGACCTGGAGACCTGATAAATGAGCATCAAGTATTGAGAATAGAACCTTATTCTCAATTATTAATATTTATGAATGTACGCACCACCGAAGCGAGCCATGGGTGCTCGTGTTGGACGTGTTCTTGTTGGTGACAACGTCTGGTGCAGCCCTGGCTTTTGTGTCCACACCCTTGCTGCGATGCGCCCCTCCAATTTGAGACACGCTTCCACCAACCGAACTCGCACTTATTAATTATTCATTCACTCACCCATTCACTGTCAAGGACTCAAGGTTCTGCTTTTTTTTTTTCCCGGTACACTAATGACCATGGCAAGGATCAGTGGCCTATTCCCATCATGCCTCCTTGCTGCCCGTAGCTGAAGTCCGTCGGACTCGAGCGTTGTTGGCTGGGTGTCATCCTGCTGGTGCCTCTCCTCCCAGTCCCTCCCCCTTCAGTCAGTCCAGTCCTCTTCAACAGCCAGCCAGCCAGTCTGTCGTGTAGTAGTCGCTCAGTAGTAGCCAGTTCGCCCAGCGCGTCTGCTTCGGTCCTTCGTTTCTTTCATCCATTCACTCTCTCCCCCAGGCCCTCCGTCTGGCCTTTGTCGTTCGTTTCGTCCATCACCCGCTCACAAAGCACGTACGTCAGCCCAGCCTGACCGCGCTCTCACATTCGTTTCCCACTGCTACGCGGCCAAAACAGCTCCGCGACGCTGTGCAAAACGTGTGAAATCCCAGCCAAGACCCAGACGGGCAGCAGGATAGCAAGCCATCCGTCCGCCCATCCATCCATCAGGTGACGCACGACGACGTCCCCTGCCTGTCACGGTTCGGTTGACGTTGCACCCACCAGAACAGACTCTTCTCGTGGATTCCCCTCCTCGGATACGACTCTATTCTTGCTTCCAACTAGGCTGGCTCCTCTTCTTTCGGATCTGGTCTGATCTGATCCCCTTCTTTGGCTTCGGACTTGAGGTCCTGCCACTTGTCAGAGGCATCGACCGTCAGTAGGACAACCATCTCACAAGTTGCGCGCGCCCGCGCAGACGAGGAGCTGAAACAGGAGGAACCTCCAGTCGCACGAGGCCGGCCAGGCAACACGACACGCGGATCCAGACGCTTGGAAGACGTCAGTCGTTACTCCCAACTCTTGTCGACGCGTATTCTCGCCATCCTCATCAGCGATATCCCAACGCGCCCTCTACCATTCTCTCTTGCGCCAGTCGCCCAGACTGTTGTGGCTGGGCCCCAACAGCTCTACGAACCACGATTCAGTTCTCTGGAGAGCTGATCGTATGGGACTTACTTTCACCCAACACTTGTGGTACGTACACGGACCCCTTGCGCATCTGTTCTGTGGGTACCCGATGGCGTTCGATTCGGGTTCCATCTCATCCATGGTGGTTCACTCACACGCCTTCACATCCATTTCACTTATTGTCTGTGCGCTTTGAGTTGATCTGCCAAAAGCATTGTTCCCATTGAACTATTGTTATCGCGCCGTGTGCTCAATGGCAATTGAAAACAATGCACTACCGCGAACCGCTGGCTAACATCTAGACTACCAGCCCTCATCGTGACACCAGACTGTTGCACCAACGCGCACAACATATCGTCGCTGGCATACACGAACGAACACCTTCCATCTTGCCACAACATCCTCTTCTCCGTGCTCATCCCCAGAACCTGGACCTCACGAGTTCTTGCCTCTTGCTCGACCGCCTCATACGTACGGGCATGCAATGAGCCAGTCGCAAAACGGGTGGAATATGGACCGCCCCAGAGCAGGCTCTGTCAAGCGCGCCCGGGAACGAGCCCAGGCCACGGCCCAGGGAAAGGCACCTCGCAGGCCACCGCCGCCGCCGTCGTCAGCGACGCCCACGATGCCGGCCGCGATGCCGTTGGAGGATGGCGCTTCCTCACCCCGGGGCTACCTCAGTCCACCACCTCGTCGCCACATGCCTCCGCCCTCGCAACCACCGCCCACGATGCAGCTCCCGCCTGCGCCTCCGTCACGGGCCAGAGTGCCGCCTGGATTCGAGGGGAAGAGTGGCATCTCGAGACCCACGCAGGCGCCTCATTGGCCCCTACCACCAGGCTCTCCTCTCACCCCTGTTAACAACAAAAGCAGCAGCAACAACAATAACAACTACGAAAATGAATATTTTCAGCCTCGCCAACCTGATCGACCAGTTCAAGCCCCTTCCAGGCCACTTCAAGCGCCGCCCCGACCCGCTCGTCCCAGTCGCATCCCTTCAATGGTGGACAAGACCGGCCCTCAAACGCCAACGCCCGTCTTCCGGAACCCGCAGCAGGCGTCAGACGCACGGGATATGATGGAGCAGGGACTGTCGTCGTCGGTGCCCGCTACGCCAGCCACACCGGTCTCGAGACTGACGACGTCGTCTGTTGGCAGCATACCCGAGTTCCCAACGCCCGGCGCCAGCCAGGGGCCCCCGACGCAGCAGATGCCCATGCCCCCGCGACGAAGTGTCAATCTGGGGCCGCCGCCGGCCGGTCGACGCGGGCCCTCGTCGTACTACTCCAACGCCACCTTTGTCTCGCCCATTCCCGAGGAGAGCACGCGGTCACACGGCTCGTATGCCTCGAGCGCGGCGATGCCCGGCGTCTGGAACCCGGCCTCGCCCCTGACCCCGACGGCGTACGCCCAGGGCTACACTGACTCGTACTACGACGACTCGGTGACGGACAGGAGCCGCGATTCGCAGGGTGACGAATTTGGCGACGAGAGCAAGCTGGTCCGCAGCGCGAGTGTCGGCAAGAAGGGCAAGGCGGCTCTGGTGGACAACAAACCAGGTGCTAGCACGACGGGAGCGGCCACCGAGGCAGCGTCAGCTGCTGCGCCCACACGACCGCTGGCGCAGCCCGTGCAACCATTCGCCAATGGCACTGGCTACATCGAGGACAGCACCAGCTCGGAGACGATCCGCACAGCGGCGCAAAGGAACAAGGAAGCACAGCCGACTGTCGAAGAGGAACCGCAGCTGTTGATGCCCGTGGCATACAATGCCACACCAGCCCTCCCAGGTCCCTCGGCATCCCCATCACCCGCCCCTGAGCGATCGTGGTCGAGGCGCATATCGGCCATTAAGCGCCCGCCCAACCTGGACATTGATGCCGTCCGCGCCGCCGAGGCCAGGGGCAGCATCACCAGCTTACCTGATCTCATCAAGCGCGCGACACGGCTGGCCGCCATGATCGAGAGGGGCAAGCGCCCAGCCAGTCGATTCGAGAACTTTAATGACTACCTCGACAAGCCGCACGGCGGCGACGGCGACGGTGATTCTTCCTTCAACGACCGCCACCAGTCCGGTCTGTCCGATATGCTGGCGGCGTTCCCCCCGCCGGGCCACCAGCAAAGGGCGTCGCCCAACGCGCAAACCCGTCGCAGTGGAATGTCTTGGTTTCGCAACACATCTTGGCCCCTGATTCCAGGCGTCAAGGACGAGCAGGGACAACGTGACGGTGCACACAACGAGACGGGTCCGCCAGGAGCAACAGCAGCAGCAGCAACAGCAGAGAAACCCCGACCCGTCCGTCGCAAGTGCTGCGGCATGCCTCCCTGGGCCTTTGTGATCCTGATGATCCTCCTCCTCTGCGCCATCGCGGCCGCCATCGTCGTGCCGCTGCAGTTCTTCGTCTTCAAGACGCTCGGGAACCACCCCAAGCCCCTGTCCGCGCTCGACCAGTGCAAGGCCGACCTCGTCTGCCTAAACGGCGGGACCAACGTGCTCTCCCAGGGCACGTGCGCGTGCATCTGCACCAACGGCTTCACCGGCACCGACTGCGGCGTCGGCGGCTCCGACGGCTGCACGACCACCGACCTCGTCTTGTCGTCCGATGCGGCCTCGGTCATCCGCAACGTCACCCTCGGCAAGGCCATCCCCCGCCTCATCGCCGACGCGCGCGCCAACTTCTCCGTGCCCCTCTCGGGCACCGCCATCCTAGCCACCATCAACGGCGACGACCTCTCGTGCCGCGCGCAAAATGCCCTCGTCACTTTCCAGGGACGCCCCCTGCGTCTCAGGGAGGCGGAGCAGACCGAGGAGGAGATTGTGGATGATAGCGATGAGTTGGACCAGGCCATGGGCGTCGCGTCCCGGTCCGAAGCCTCGTATTCGGATGAATCGACGTTTAACGTGACCGAGGAGGTGCTCGACTTTGCGCGCGTCGCGGTCCTGTACATTCTGCAGCAGGAGGACGCGAGCGACGCCGAGGCGGCGCAGACCAGCCTCCAGAGTTTCTTCAGCGGTGGGCAGTACGACGAGTCGGCCATCACGCAGAAGGATGCGCAGAACGTGACGGTCGGGGCGAAAGACCACACCGTCAACCTGGTAGACTTTGGCATCGACTTGGGTGATGGGCTGGTCGGCAAGGCATCCTCGTCCAAGAGTCGGAAGAAGATACGTCGCACAAGCAGCAGCAGTCATTCTCGGCGTTTCGGATTATAATAAAATAAGTAGGTCGCCGCAGGGACCAGTTCCTCTTTTTCAGACGAGGATTGCAGAGTCTTTCTTGTATATAGAACTTTCGCTTCACACACAACATATGAGAATGAGGGCAGCCTCACGGGTGTCTCTGGGAATGAATAGATGTATAGAGCCAGAACGCGCTTGTCTCTTCCATGCTACGAGGTATCCAGAGGGTGTTGATGTCTATATACAATGGCAGGCCTAAACATGCTGAACTACATCCTGAAGACGCCGAATTTCGTGGCACCGGCCTTGTGCTCGTTGCGCCCACCCATGGCCGCGTCGAGACCGAGACCGAGGTATCGTCGCGTATGCTGTGGCGGGATGATGCCGTCGTCCTGGTTTGTTAGTAAAGCTCCGCTTAGTCGGAAGGGAAGATACATACCCATAACCGTGCACTCGAGAATGTGGCGTCGCTCTCCCGGTCAATTCTCTCCTTGAGCGCCGGGTCGACCTTTTGCCCGACCGTCTCCATGACGCTGGCGAGCTGCTCCCCGCCCATGACGCCAATCTTCGCATTAGGCCACATCCACAGGAAGCGGGGGCTGTAGGCCCGGCCACACATGCCATAGTTGCCGGCGCCGTAGCTGCCGCCGACGACGACGGTGAACTTGGGCACGTCGGCGCAGGCGACGGCCGTCACGAGCTTGGCGCCGTGCTTGGCGATGCCGTCCCGCTCGGCGGCGCTGCCGACCATGAAGCCCGAGATGTTCTGGAGGAAGACGAGGGGGATGCCGCGCTGGGCGCAGAGCTCGATAAAGTGCGCCCCCTTTTGGGAAGACTGGGGGAAGAGGATGCCGTCGTTGGCGACGATGCCGACCTTGTGGCCGTGGATGCTGGCGAAGCCGGTAACGAGCGTGGTGCCAAAGTCGCGCTTGAACTCGGAAAAGTGCGAGCCGTCGACGATGCGCGCAATGACGGAGCGGATGGGCATGGGCTTGCGGAGGTTGGTCGTGGCGATGCCGAGGAGCTCTTCCTGGGGGAAGAGGGGCTCGTCGTAGGCCTTGGCGGCCGTGGAGCGTTCGGGCCAGTTGAGGTTGGAGATGGACCGCCGGGCGAGGGTGATGGCGTGGGCGTCGTCGACGGCAAGGTAGTCGGTGACACCGGAGACGGAGCAGTGCATCTTGCCGCCGCCCAGGTCCTCGGGCGAGACGACCTCGCCGGTGGCGGCCTTGACGAGGGGCGGGCCCGCGAGGAAGATGTGGCCCTGCTCGCCGACGATGATGCTCTCGTCGCTCATGGCGGGGACGTAGGCGCCGCCGGCCGTGCAGGGTCCCATGACGACGGAGATCTGGGGGATGCCCTGCGCCGACATGCGCGCCTGGTTGTAGAAGATGCGGCCAAAGTGGTCCTTGTCCGGGAAGACATCTGCCTGGTGTGGCAGGTTGGCGCCGCCCGAGTCGACCATGTAGATGCAGGGCAGGTTGTTCTCCTGGGCAATGGCCTGGGCACGCAGGTGCTTCTTGACGGTGATGGGGTAGTAGGTGCCGCCCTTGACAGTCGAGTCGTTGGCGACAATCATGCACCGCACGCCCTCGACGACGCCGACCCCTGTGATGATGCCGCCCGCCGGGACCTCCGCCTCTGGATACAGCTCGTAGCCGGCCATGGGGCTCAGCTCGAGAAACGTGGTGCCCTGGTCGATGAGGGCCGTGACGCGGTCGCGGGGCAGCATCTTGCCCCTCTGCAGGTGCTTCTGCCTGGCCTTTTCGGGACCGCCCTGCTGGATCCTGGCGGTGAGGGTGTGCATTTTGTCCATGACGGTGGACATGGCGGCCTCATTGTCGCGGAACTCGGGAGACTCGACGTCGACGGTCGAGGGCAGGCGGGAGACGGCGGATGCGTGGTGGGGAGGTGTGAGGCTGGCAATGCCAGCGCGCCTCTGCACGACGCCGCGCTGGAGAGCGGTCCAATTGCGTGATAACCGAAGAACCTTCATGTCTGTGACTGTGTGGGATGAGTGAAGGGAGAGTGAATAGAGGAGAGGGGGGAGAATTGAATCCGGGGCTTGACAAATGATGGGATCCGGGATCCGGGGAAGGCACGTCGTGACTTGTGAGAGGTGAAGGAAGGAAGGAAAGCACCCTGTAAAGCCGAGGATGCGATGCGGGCCGGTGGAAGCCGCGCTCAGCCGAGAAGTCAAAGCTCGGCAGGTGCAGCCACGATACTTCTTGCCTTGACCAGCCGAGCTGCTGCCTGCATACGCAATTGATTTCCTCACAGACAATCGAATCTTCTTGCTCTCATCACTACACTTGGTTTTTCCAGGCTCCTCATCCACACCCAGAACAATGTCTCTCCGAACATTAGCACGCCCTGCGCTGCGCGCACACATGCGGACGCAGTTGCGCCCTGCGCTCGTCGCCCCCATCACGCAGACCCGCTGCCACTCCCAGAAGCACCCCAAGGGCTTCACGGCACCCGCCCAAGAGGACCTTGAGGAGCTGCGTGACCGCGTGCAGGAGTTTGCGCGCCGCGAGATCCCCGAGGAGGTCGCCCACAACACGGACAAGTCCAATGCCTTCCCCAACGAGATGTGGAAGAAGCTGGGCGACGCGGGCCTGCTGGGCATCACGGCTGACGAGGACGTTGGCGGTCTGGGCATGGGCTACCAGGCACACTGCGTGGTCATGGAGGAACTCAGCCGAGCGAGCGGGAGCATCGGCTTGAGCTACGCGGCGCACTCGCAACTGTGCGTCAACCAGGTCCAGCTCAACGGCTCGCAGGCGCAGAAGGAGAAGTACCTGCCCGGCCTCATCTCGGGTGACCTGGTCGGCGCGCTGGCGATGAGCGAGTCGGGCGCGGGCAGCGACGTCGTGAGCATGCGCACAACGGCCAAGAAGGTCGAGGGCGGCTACGAGCTCAACGGCAGCAAGATGTGGATCACCAACGGGCCAGACGCGCACCTCATTGTGGTCTACGCCAAGACAGAGCCCGAGAAGGGATCCAAGGGCATCACGGCCTTCCTCGTGCAGACGGACTACAAGGGCTTTAGCTGCCAGCGCAAGCTGGACAAGATGGGCATGCGGGGCAGCAACACGGGCGAGCTCAACTTTGACTCGGTGTTTGTACCCGAAGAGAACATTCTGGGCAGCGTGAACGGCGGCGTGCGCGTGTTGATGGAGGGTCTGGACCTGGAGCGTCTGGTGTTGTCGTCGGGTCCCCTGGGCCTGATGCAGGCGGCCATGGACGTGACGCTCCCGTTTACGCACCAGCGCAAGCAGTTTGGGCAGCCGATTGCGCACAACCAGCTGGTGCAGGGCCGTCTGGCGGACATGTACACCAAGCTCCAGGCCAGCAAGGCGTACACGTACAGCACGGCCAAGCGGGTGGACGAGCAGGGCATCATCCGCACGCAGGACTGCGCGGGCGCCATCCTGTACGCGGCGGAGCGGGCGACCGAGGTGTCGCTGGACTGCATCCAGCTGCTGGGCGGCATGGGCTACACGGAAGAGATGCCCGCGTCGCGGATCATGCGCGACGCGAAGCTGTATGAGATTGGCGCCGGCACGTCGGAGATCAGGAGGATGGTCATTGGGCGGGCATTCAACAAGGAGTACGCCAACGCGTGAGGCAGGGCATCAGTCGAGGTATTAGACTCGCTTTTTGGTTTCAAGCATTGGGCAGGACCTGCCTAGCGGTCATAGACTAGGCGTATGGAGTTGCATTATAGCAAAGGAGGTATGGCACAGAAGTGAAGCTGATGTGTTGAGTTTGTGGTGACAGTGACTGCCAGACTCCAAGGCTGCGCATGTGCTATTTACCTAACCTGGAGCGACATGGAGTCCTGGCGATACCCCGCCAAGCTTCCAGCAGATGCCCCACCCCGAATTGGGGGATAAGCCGCCTGCATTAGCGCAGATACAGCACGGACGTCACCGACTGGTCACAGGACTCACCGCGCCAGGCCAGTACGGAGCGAAGCCCCCCAAGATATTAACTCCGAAAGGCGAAGAGAAAGGGCAATTGAGGACAAATTGCGGGCGGACGGGAGAAGAAAATATCCTTGCGAGCTCTCCTCCTCGCAGTCCTCTTTACTTTCCCGAGCCAAGCACGCACCAAAGATGGCCGAATCAGAGAGCCCGCCAAAGATCGTCATCCATGGCCGCGTCCACGACCTACCCGACCTCTGGGATGGCCACGATGACTGGACAGGCGTCACGAGCACTGCAGAGAGGAAACGTCGACAGAACCGCCTCAACCAGCGCGCCTATCGTGAGTCTCCCACCCCTGCCCGGTGCGATGCACGTAGCTGACGTTGCCTTCGCCAAAGGCCGTCGGAAGAGAGGTGCAAGCAGCAACGTCCCACCACCACCACCAGCAGTACCACCACCAACCAGGGACGACGAGGTCCAGATCCCCACTGAAGACGCTCCATGTGTCCTGGCCATCTGCTCCTCCTACACCACCTCCACCTCTACCATATCATCACCCAGCAGCAACGATGGACCGCTGCAGCAGGCCCTCGTAAAGGTGCAGGATGACGAGCCACATCCCTGCCCACGACAGGACTCCCAGGACAGTCTCGAAGATGACCCCGAGACCTGGGACGCGAGCATCATGCAGTGCACGCCTCACCGCGTCGCCCGCATCCGCAGCCTCATCCGGCAGGCCTACGAGGACCACGCCCTCCACGCGCCCCGGATCGACCAGCTGCCCATCCTCATCCGCATCAACGTCATGAACGCCATGGTCCGCAACGCCGTCCGCATGGGCATCCACGTCCACGGCCTCTGCCACGAGGACTACCTCTCCCCCTTTACCGTCCACGACCCCCCACACCCCAACACCGTCCTTGTCCACCGCCTGCCCGACGCCCTGCGGCCGACTGACCTGCAGCGCGCCTACGCGCACCACCCCTGGACGGACCTCTTCCCCTTCCCCCGATTCCGGGACAATGTCCTGCGCGCCATGCAGGCCGGCCTGCTCGACGAGGACGAGCTGTGCGCCGATGTCATGGAGGTCCGTCAGGCCCACGTCGCCGAGGCCCCGAGCCTCATGATCTGGGGCGAGAGCTGGGACGCCATGGCCTGGGAGGTGACGCCTGCCTTTATCAGGAAATGGGGCTGGCTGCTCCGCGGCTGCCAGGACATGATGGCCGCCACGAATGTCTGGCGCACCAGGCGAGGGGAGAGGGCGCTGCCTGTCTTGACTTGGTTGCAAGAGAGTGCGGTACAGTAATACAATCCGTTGACATGTACGTGCTTACATGCTGTCATACGCGGTATATATGGTTATATATACACACACCTATATACATATATGTATATCTCTATACTGCATGTGCCTCTATACAAACCATCTACAGCTTCGTCTCGCTCAGGTGCTTCTCGTTCACCAGCACGTAGCGGTACCGCGCTTTGCCGGCCTCGAGGTCGACAATGGCCTGGTTCGCGTCGCTCATCGGCCTCTTCTCCACCCACGGCTCAATCTTCTTGTCCACGGCGAGCTGCAGCATCTCCTCAATGTCCGCCGGCGACCCGATGCCACTGCCGCCAATCTTGATGCCCGCGCCCAGCAGCGCGAAAACGTTGATCTCGGGGAACTTGCCCCCGTCTGGCGCGCCCACCTGGATAAAGTTGCCATTCGTTCGGAGTAGGCGCAGGTACCGGCTCAGCGGCATGTTGGCGCTCGACACGGTGCAGATGATGAGGTCGAGGGTGCCCTTGCCCGTCTTCCACCAGTCCTTGTCGTCGTCCGTTGCAATGTACTCGTCCGCCCCGAGCGCGAGCACCTCGTCGCGCTTGCTGCGCTTGCGGCTGATGCCCACCACTTTGTCCGCCCCCAGCGCCTTGGCGAAGAGCACGCCAAAGTGGCCCAGCCCGCCGACGCCCACGATGCCGACCGTCATGCCGGGCCCGCACCCGTTGTTGCGCAGGGGCGCGTACACCGTGATGCCGCCGCACATGAGGGGAGCTGCGTACTCGCTCGGCAACCCGTCGGGGATCTTGATGGCGAACTTGTGGTGCGTCCGGTTGTAGTCCGCGTACCCGCCCATGGACATGCCCTCGTCCCCCGGGTAGCGACTGTCGTACGTGTTCACCTTGACGCGGGGGCAGTAGTTCTCCCGACCCTGCGAGCAGTCCGGGCAGTCGGCCTCGAGGCATGAGCGTGCTTGTGCGCCCACGCCCACGCGGTCGCCCAGCTTGATGTTGTTCACGTTGGAGCCGACGCGCACTGCGCGGCCGACAATCTCATGGCCCACGCAGCAGGCTGTCCACACATCTTGCGTCAGTAGAGAATATAGGCAGTACCTCAATGCGGGACTCACGGTAGTTGGTTGCTCCCCAGCCCGACTTGAGCGTGTGCAGATCCGAGCCACAGATGCCACAATGCGTGATCTGGATGTCGACGTCGTCCTCCGTCCACTTCTTGGGCTCGAAAGTACCCCATTCCATCTTGCCATTGAAGGCCTCGGGCGAGTGGCCCAGCCAGCCTTGGAAAGTGTAGTCTGTCGGCATGTTGAACCCTGGGGAGTACGAGACAAGTGTCAGTGAGAGGAGGGATCTCATTCACCTTGAGGGGTGGGCAAGTGGACGTTTACATACCTCTCATCGTCACTGTAGTTTGGCTACTTATGGAGCCGGCAACTGTCGAGTCACCACAGGAAACAGACCCACGGATGCAACCGGCTTATATGTTTGACTTTCATGGAGCCGTTAGTACTGGCTGGACTGGTATCTCCATCGAATGCGGGGTGACGTTGGCGGGGCGGGCGATTTACATCCTCGGCACAATCTTGACTCGTGTCGCATACGTCCAAGCCCCAAAAGACGAATTGCGACGAGCTTGATAGAAGAAAGAGACTCTTGAATCGTCAGCCAGACAAGCTCATGCATACTATGTGGCCTGAGACTGTGAAAGCTTGCAAAGCTCGCTACTATTATGACGGAGGTTGGCAGACTGCGCCGTCATGGTTGGCACCAGCAGGCGCATAACCCACTCCTGTGGCTCTTCCAAAGACCCGTGAGGATGCCGCACTCCAAACTACGCTTGCGAAGCCTTCCTCGCAATGAAAAGTGGACTTGAACTGCATGAAGCTATTTCACGGTAGAGCAGACCGCAGTGGCTATGAGGCCACGGTGGGTCCTGCAAGGCTGTCGACACACACGGAGGCAGGCCTTAAACCCGTTGTGCTTTCGCAGATAAGAACGTGCGTGCATTTGTTGGTAGCCTCGCAGCTCGCCAGGCCTCAAGCATTATAAGAATGATGTCCAGAATGCAAGAAGACCAGGGGCAACAACCACCATTCCTCAGACTCAAAACGAGGTCACTGCCATTGTGATCATCGTCTTGCAATACCATCCTATACCTTCTCGCTGTACAAAGTAGGCCCCGTCCTGCGCTTTGCCGAATCGCCATGACTTCAGTGTGGTTCATCACTGGGTCTTCCCGAGGCCTGGGCCGAGCCATTGTCGAGAAAGCCCTTGACACTGGCGCCAATGTCATTGCCACGGCCCGTAACCCGGATTCCCTCCAGGACCTCGTCCAGCGCTACGGTTCCGACCGCTGCCTGGCTGTTGCCCTGGATGTGGCCGAAGAGGACCAGGTCGCCAGGGCCGTGCAGACTGGCTTCGAAAAGTTCGGTCGCGTCGACATTATCGTCAACAACGCCGGCTATGGCAACCTCGCCGCCATTGAGGACATTACTGCCAAGGACTTCCGCCAGCAGATGGACACCAACTTTATGGGCGTTGTCAACGTCACCAAGGCTGTTCTCCCCATCCTCCGCGAGCAGAAGAGCGGCCACATCTTCCAGGTCTCTTCCATTGGAGGTCGAATCGCGACACCGGGCATGTGCGCTTATCAGAGTGCCAAATGGGCAGTCGGGGGCTTTTCTTCAGTCCTCGCGCAGGAGGTCGCGCCATTTGGTATCAAGGTGACGGTGCTGGAGCCTGGAGGCATCCGCACCGACTGGGCTCGCTCTTGCACGGAAGCTGTCGAGATTTCCGCGCCCTACAAGCAGACGGTTGGGTACATGGAGAAGATGGTGGCTGATGTAGTCGGGAACGAGATTTCCCTTCCGGAAAAGGTCTCTCAGGTCATTGTCGACTTGGTCGGCAAGGAGGAGCCTCCCCTGCGTTTGTTGATCGGCCCTGATGCTGTCGAGTTTGCAAGCAAGGCGGCCAAAGCGCTCGCAGAGTCTGACGAGAAGTGGCGTTCTGTAAGCGAATCGACAGTGTAAAGTTGGATGGCCAATGCAAGGACACTGGCAACTGAGATGATTGATAGCTTTCCCCTGCAATCCTTATTCTGAATACACACTCACAGTCAGCACATCTCGAATCTCATGTGATTAGTTGCCGCGCCCCGCCCCGAATGTCGCGTTTCGAATCCCTGAACAAACACGCGGGACGGCTGCATGTACGTAGCTCCTAGCTTGCTCAACCCCGGATGCAACGTGCAAGTGCTGCAAAGAGCGCGGCTGGCACGGGGGTCACCGAGGCGGTGTGACATGTGGAAAACACAATGGTGAATACTGTTGACCAGCATCCTTCTCCAAGGTCGTAATTAGCACTCTCGCTCAATCAAGCTCAGACCTGACTCCTGAGTCTCGAAATAAGCCCGCGGCTCGTCTAATGACATTGGGCCGATCCCATCCATTGGAATGGAGATGACATAGCAGGCCATCTTGACGCGAATTTGGCAGTCATCATCTCAATGGCCTCATGGTCGACGGCGCAGGACTGAAGAAGAAAAATTGCGATTGTCCACGAGACCTGAAAAGATGGGGTAAACATGGGGGGCATTCTAGATCCCGGCGCCAAGGGCCCAAGGCCCAAGGGGAGGAAAGGGGCAAGATTTGCAGTGCATGAAATGATGGGGGTCGCTACGACACGCACTGCCCGCGGCCGGTGTGGCGGCGACACCGACGACTGGAGTCAGAGATCGTGAATTTGCAAGTTGGGCGCCGGCACGGAGTCGTGGTGTTGCTTTTGGCGACGATGTCAGGGGTCGACCCTTGACAATCGTCCTCGTGACTCTTGGGCAAGGGCCGATGCCAGAAGCTCAATTTCGGGGATGAGTGTAGCTTGATGCGAGCACTGCCAGCGAGACGACAAGACATCTGGAGCGTGGGGGCTGTTGTCGCCGTGTCGTGTCCTGATTCCAGAATCCAGATTCTGGTGTCGCGTCTCGTGTCTGTGCAGGTGGGTGGGCTCGCGTATTCCGCGGTCCTGGACTGATGGGTGGGAATTGGCCTGGTCCTGTAACACTGTTGCTTTTAAAGGTCAAGTTGATTAACGTATTCCGACAAGTTGACTTCATTCACACTGGATGTGACAGACGATCGAGCAATTGTGTGGAATCGAGATCATATCGAGGAACGTTGACAAGGAAGATGATGCAAGGAATCGATCACTGGGCGGGTTTGCATTGTTGGCACGAAAGCTCCGCAGACCGAGATTGGCAGGAATTGTGATGTTGCGTGTGAATGGCTCTTTCCCATTTTACCTCACGGACCGCCTAGTTCATGGCGGCACACCATCTCCATGTCCCGTGGGGAAGCGTCGGGGCTGTAGTTATTGATGGTGGCTTTGGACATTCTGGAATGAGTCGTCTCAAGGTCTGCTCGACTCACATCTGACCGCAAAGTGATTGTGGCCGCAGACGTGCAATTGACTCTGAAGGCGTGGAGCCACTCCGGCACTGCCATTAGCGTCTCCGCTTCAGGCACCCTTCAAAAAAAAAAACTTGAGATCTAGGCGGCTTGGCCTGTGGCAGGCATCCGCCCACACCAGAAGCTTGGGGTGTGTGCACATTTGCATCCGTAAATATTTTGGGCGCCAACCATGGAGCGCGATGGAGCTGCAAGCTGCAAGCTGAGCTGCAGCTGATGGGGGCAGAAGGGTCCAGCCTGGTCTCCCGCTGCAGAGCGACCCGCTCAGTCCGGCCTTCGGACCTCCCTCTCCACCAGGTGTGCAGAACGACCTTTCTGGACAGGATTATCGTGAGTTGTTCGGGGCGAAGCAACTGGAAGAGCTCGTGCAGCACACGGAAGACTGGAGGCAGCAGACTTATAACAGATGCTCTATCCCATTGTTGCAGCCCACACTTTCTAGCCTTCTTCAAGTCGTATTCCACCATCTTCTCTCTCATCCATCACCCAAACCCAGCTGTGACAACAACAACGAAGCTTCCAACCTGCTCTAAAGCAAGCGATTACACGAGACGATCCCCTTCAGCCTAATACAGCCAGCCCTCGACCACGAAACAGCAGATTCGGCCGCCATTCCTCCCACGAATCCGACCCACGACGCAAGGCAGCGTTGACCTGTAATCGACGTCGTGGCCACCACCCCCCGCCACGAGACACCAAGCCTCCCTTTCACTGGCTCCTCACCCCCTTTACACAGAGGAAACAAAATCCGTGCGATCCCTCCCTCCCTCCCAGGCTCTCGAGCTCTTCTTTCTCAACCAATTCGTCTCGCATCTTGATTCTCCCCATCTCTCCTCTCGCCCACACAGCACATCATGTCTTCGGCCTTCGCCCCCATGATGCGACAAGCAGCTCGCCGCGCCGCTCTGTCCACAGCACCTCGTGTCGCCGCGCGCCCAACCTTTGCCGCGGTGCGCCACCTCCACCGCGTGCCTGCGCGCCAGGACAAGCCTGGTGAGCACGCCCGTATCGACAGCGACATTGAGATGGAGCACCCCGCCGAACATGAGCTCCCCAGCAGCAAGCCTGTGCACGGCACCGGCGGCCAGTACGTCAAGCCCACCCTGGCCACCTTCTCACTCGAGGGCCAGGTCGGCATCGTCACCGGCGGTGCCCGTGGCCTTGGTCTCGTCATTGCCCAGGGCATGGTGTACTCTGGCTCCGACGTCGCCCTGGTCGACATGAACAAGGAGGAGGCGGAGAAGCAGACCAAGCTCCTCATCGACGCCTTTGTCAAGGAGAACCCCAACGCCGAGCGGTAAGTCTATTCTTTTATCAGCTCAGGATGAGTTGCACTTTGTGTTCCCGGCATGGTCTGACAAGAATCACTATAGTGTCCCCAAAGTCACCGCGCACTACGCCGATGTTTCCGATCCCGAGTCCGTCGAGGCCTGCATCAACCAGGTCCTCGCCGACCACGGCAAGATTGACACCCTCGTCACCTCGGCCGGCTTCACCGAGAACTTTGAGGCCGTCAACTACCCCATTGACCGCATGCGCAAGCTGTGGGCTGTCAACGTGGACGGCACCTACCTCTTCGCCACCGGCGTCGCCCGCCACCTGATGGAGCGCAAGGCGCAGGGCAGCATGGTCATGATCGGCAGCATGTCTGGCTCCATTGTCAACGTGCCCCAGCCCCAGGCGTAAGTCATCAGTCCCTCTTGCCTTTGCCGTGTTCTCAGCGACTAATCTTTATCCAGTCCCTACAACGCCGCCAAGGCTGGCGTCCGCCATCTCGCTGCCTCGCTCGCCGTCGAGTGGGCTTCTGCCGGCATCCGCGTCAACTGCATCTCGCCCGGCTACATGCTCACTGCCCTCACCGCCAAGATCCTCGACGAGAAGCCCGACCTCAAGAAGAAGTGGACTTCGCTCATCCCCCAGGGAAAGATGGGCCAGCCCCAGGACCTCATGGGACCTGTCGCCTTCCTCCTGTCCGACGCTGCTGGATACGTTACCGGCGCGGATATTCGCGTCGACGGCGGCTACACTGTCACATAAATAGGTATTCGTCTGGGGACCGATCTGCGAAACGAAAATGGCGAGCATGGAAGAAGCGTGTCACTTGCGATTTGGTAGCATATGGGAATTGTGGTCGCTGGACTGGCATGGTCCGCGATGGCGTTGGGCGTCTCATGATACAACACAGCCTGGCTAGAAATATTTAATTAATAACAAGAACAATAATATCGCACCCAAGAGCACGTTTCTATACATGTTTTGTGAGCTTCTTCCACCCGTCGCTCGTATGGTCCGATTCGACAAACAAACCCTCACCACGAGTTGTGGAAAACGTTCACCGTTACCCCAACGGTCTCCAACGGTCCCCCTCATGCCTGCCCAGTTCTCGCCTTTTCCCCCGCTCTCCGCAACGCAGCCAACGCCGCGTGTAAAACGCTACACCTACACTGACCCAAACTAAGCACACTACCAACGTATTCATGGCAATTGCGAGCTTCATTTGTGCAAAAGGGCGAATCCTCCAGCACAACAATTGCCACCCCCAAATTATGTTTACAGTTGACCAAGAATCAACAGCTGCCGCTTGGCGAAGGTGGGGGGCCTACAGGAGCACTCCGTCGTCCGTACGGTACTGTAGCGTTCAGCGGGTCCGGAGGCGGCAGGAACCGAGCACAGCAGCTGTGCGTGTGGGGGCGACCACACAGTTCCACCGCGATGCAGCCGCGGCCGCAGCGACAAGGGTTTTCATGTTTGCACTTTACAAAGACAAGCTGTGGCCCTGAGCCGCGAGCGAGCGAGCATTCTGTGCGGACCTATATCTTGGGCATTTCGATACTAGGTCTAGTGTAGGGCTTGGTGGGCGCTACCTAATTGTTCCAGTCATGAGGAAGACCCAGACCCTACCGTTTTGTACTACGCGATAGTATCACTCTGGCTTCCATGACCGTCTTCGTAAGTCGGGGGTAATGAGTTATCCGCGAAGGATACGCCGTTCAACGGTGGTCACAGAGTAATGTTATTCACTCTTCACCTTATGTTTTCTCGGTTTGCCATTTTCAGCCATTTCTTCCCCTACAAAGTATCGGTGTGGCTGTCCCATGTCGGAAGAAGTACTTGTCAGGTGGCAGTGGATGTGGATAGCAGGTGTACGATTAGATTCAACGCTCGTCGCGGTGCGACGGCCGCTGCAAGTAGGCGACGTATAAGCGAGATTGTCCATTGGAGGGCAAAGGAGCCGCTTGAATATTGAAGCTGAGGACGTTGAAGGCTCAGCATTCGTCTCTTCGTTCTATAGCTGATCACTCTGACAATGATAATGGATTCCAAATCTTGCGTTCCCATGCCCACGTTGGACTCGGATTTTGGCCGGTGGAGCTTGTGCATCCTGGCGGGGCGTCTGTCCTTCTAGAACTTTGTTAGAACGCCTTGGCATGGGAGGTACTTATTGTCATATTGGTCATATCATGGTCAGGGTAAGGTTGTGACTGTAGCTCCTTTTCAAAAAGACGAAGACGCACAATGCACGGAGCCGTTGGTGAGCGTAAGAGGGTTCGCCGGCTATTTAACTATCATAATGTTTAACGGACGGCTCGAGATGCTGCCATTTTGTGTACGATTCAAGGTCCCGGTAGTGAGACAGGGCATTTCCCAAAGAGTTACAAAACCTTGCCAATCTGATAACATTAATCAACGCCACCATGCGATGAAACGTTGGAGCCCACGTTGTCAGGTGCGTTGCATCCAACAACCATGTCCGTCCCGTCCGCCCGGACGCCGCCGGTCGAGTTCATGGCCTGCCTGTTGTGTGACACGGAGCCTCGCAGCCACTCAATCCTCCATGCTTCAATCTTCGCGCACGGGTCCTGCTGGGGAGCAGCATGAACAGTCAACCACAGTTGCGGCCCAACTTTGCAGTCGGGCAAAGTTTGCTTGCTGGGTTATTGGCACGATTAATAACGTTCTGAGAGACTCATCAGACTCATCAACCTCACCGGTCGACGATCAGCATCTTGGGGGCTTCAGGGGACTTTTCCACTGCTGGATCCGCTGGGCCGACCTCGTGGATCGGATGCATGGTACCCTGTCATATCCCTGCTACCTTCTCCAATTGAGCAGCACATGTAGCCTTTTCAAGGGATAGCATCTGCGACATAACAATACGTGACAACGGACACTTCTTTGGTGATCTTGATTCGCTGCTACATAATTCCTGTCGAAATACCTACATGGAGAACATTGGGGCAGATTTGAGGCGTCGGCCGAGTTTTGTCGGCTAAATAAGTACGTGACGAGCAATCCAGACGGTTGCTCGACATCGCAATTTGTGCTGAGCTGAGACAGTATCAGCATCGAAAGCTTTGTCTCTGGCTTCGCATCGAGACATAATAATACGTAGCAAAGCCAACAAGGATCAAAGTCGAGGAAATCATCTGGTAGGACGACTCCAATCGGTGCCGCCGAGGTGCGCGCACTTAAGCCCGTTTTCGCCAGCAGGAAGCACCGGGGGCGTCGAACTTGCCTTGAACAGATAAGTTAGCAAGCATGACTCGACATGATGACAAGGTACGGATATTACAACGAGTATCCTTTGGCTGAAATTACAAATTCTCGCACAAAGAGTCATGGTCGTCATGATGTATTCCAGCAGAACAACTCTGTCACTCGTGGGTGGAGCGCTAAGCTCTAATCCAAATTCAAATTCCATCCACGAGATGCTCTTCGTTTCCAGAGGTGCCTGCCCGCCCAGTTCAGTCGCACTGGACCTTCTCACAGTGGGGTAGATGCCCAATTATAGGTCCATTCGGGACTGGACCGGGCCTACCTCAGCTGCAATGCTTTGGCTACCCCCCTTCCAGGACTGTCACCAGACCCCTGGAGCTGGCTAAGGCAGGACCGGGCCCGCTAACATGAGTTGGGCAGCACATCCACGCGGCCAGTCCCTGTCCTCCCTGCCTGCCTGAGCCGGCCACGCCCTTCACCAAGAGGAGTGTTGCAGCCAGCTTGCCGATCATACCAAGTAATAGTACATGCACGCGAGACACTGGCATCGGTATCTGACTTCCGCATGTCCAAGAGCCAGGAGAAGCGGCTGTGATTCCCATTGTGTCTTGTTCTAGTAGCGAAGATCCCGGGAATATGCATCCTCTCTGGCGACTTGGCCCGTGATCAGGTCCCAAAGGGGCAACAAGGCCAAAGCTTCTTCAGCTCATTACTATAAGGGGACTTGGGTATCCCAGTCCTCTGACCTGGATCACTATCGGGTATGCGAGACTGGAGCTCAGAATCCCACCCGTCGCTTGCAAATTGGATCATCTGAACACTTCTAATACTTGCTTCACTTCACTTTAGGTTGCTTCCCAGCCTCAGATCACTGTCACCTTCCGCTCACTTTCTCCTAACTTAGTCTCTTGCGAGGCGCCCCTGGGAGCCCGGATCAGATCTGAGCAGAAACTAAGAAGAGGCTAGAGCGCTAGGCCCGGGCCCGCATTGCTCTTGCCTCTCTGGAGTACAATTTCACCTCCCTTCTTCGACTCCTCTTGCTTTCGCACCTTGGCTTCTTCCCATTCACCTTGTCCGCAGCAAAGCGCAGCCACCCGCATCTCCTCGTCCAGTCGTTCGTTGTGCGGGCGATACGAACCTTTGACGCAGCTGTCCGGACGGCCATCTTCGAGACTCCAGTCTGTGTCTCCGTGCGCCCACCCCGTTCAGCGCCAGCATTTGGACCTTCGAGCCGACCTACAGGGTGCCTGCAGCTTTCGCCACGACACAGCCAACCTATCGCTGCAGCGGCTACTACCGCCAGCTTCCTTCGCCTATCAACTTCCTTGTCTTGCGCATTGTGTGATCAGGGTCAAATATTCAAATCCCGGGACAAACAGCAAGCACAGGCGAAGATTCTTCACGTCTTTCATTCGCCTCCGAGACCATATCCGTCCTCAACTTGCCTCCTGCAAATTCGAAAAGACGTGCCTCGGCATTCCAACGTCCTCGATTTCCCGTCTTTTCTCACTATAGCACATACGTATATGCCGCCCAGACACCCGGAATCCCACATGGCATATTTCCGAATTTCGCCTTTACTACCGTCAGCTGCTGCTCGCGGTTATTGCGAACTCTACTGACCAGTGGACAAATTTTACAACTGCGCGCTGGAGGCCATAGCACAGCGGACCGCATGACCTGACTCGACTCGACGCCGGCAGCGAATCAGCTAAATTTCGGCCCATCCGTGTCCTGGACTGGTTCCATCGGCACAGCACCTTACATACTGGTACCCTGTCTGATGCAGCTCGGGTTGTCGAATCGGCGTCCCAACAACCACGTGCGCCTCTATATCCCAACGGCGGCAGCAGTGACTAGCGCCCGCATTGGCCTTTCCAGACTGACCTCTGGCTGCCATCGTTTCAGCTCTTGCTCTATTGCGGTTGTTGCTGCGCATTGCACGCAAGTCATTATAAATTGCAGCTGGCTACGTCTGGGGAAGCAAGTATGAGCTGGAGATTTTGAGCAACGCCAGGAAGTCTGTTGCCGAACCCTTGACACTATCATATGTGAAGGCTTCTTCGTACTTCGGCAACGGATATCGGTCGACATATGCTCAACACAATGGATTCCCATACACCCATGATATTGCCCAAGGGCTTTGTCAAGAATCATGAAGATGTGTACAACAAGGTCGCTGCCATTGAGCTTCTGGCTCCAGAACAAGCCTGGCAGTTTTGGCACGGTACGACTCGTCTTCCACGTCCTCTGAGGAACATGTCGCTAAACCTCTGCAGATTACACAGTGACCTCTAAAGCTCTCAAAGACCCGACTGCTCGAAGGCTGGAAAACTTTTGGTGGCATGTTGTTGGGAGTGACCGTATACAGCTGAGCGGGAGAACCTTGGCGAGGATCTTCAAAGAAATCTCACTTGGACCAACCTTTGTGCCGCTCAAGGGGCCACCCAACCGATGGGAAGGCAACAGTGTGGTGAGAACAATACACAGTTGACGTACTGGCATTGCTAACCGTCATAGCCTGCAATCCCCGAAAAGTACATCCAGCAGGCCATGGAAATCCTCGCCAGAGAGCAGCAACAAGGAATACCCCAACCTCAGAGTGAAATAGCTCTCAACAACGGGGATGCACGCAACGGTCTGAGGAACGTAGGCTCAAGTGCCACCAAGCCCGCACCATCGCACCCCATTCTGAAGAAGCCTAGAGGACCTTCAACATCTGGACCCCGACCGACTGCGCGCTTCGTTTCGCCCGATGTATCCGAGCTCGACGATGGACTCGCAGAGGATATCCCGTCGTCAGGTAGTACCGTGACGCCGGGAATCGAAATGCGCCAGAGTGTTGCTTCACCTCCCAAGAAAAAGGCTGGGACCAGGAAGTTCGTTGCATCAAAGGTTGCGTCTAAACGAAGACCCGTGCTGCCCAGAAAGAATAGCTCGCAGTCATCAGCGCACGGCGAGCAGTCTACAGCTAAAGTTGGCAACACATCGTCTAGCAGCTCCCGAAGCTCGGGCACACCCCAGCGCCCTATATCTCCCCAGAGAGAAGCACCCATGCTGCAGCCGCAAAACAAACAGAATGCGGCACCTGGGCCTAGCGAGAAAGCATTGGGCAAGCGTCCCGCATATCAAAGCGACGAGTCGTCGCACGTACCACAGAAAGAGAAGACCTCAGAGTCCTCACAATCAGCCACAGTGCAGCGGGCGCCTGGGCCCAATAAAGCATCAGGCAACGGCCCGGTATCCGGCTCTGGCCCTCACAAGGATGAGCATTTCAGCCTCGGGCAGCTTGACAACGGAGCTACATTGGAGTTTACCGATCCCCGACGACTTCGAGAGCTGGTCGCTGAAGTAAAAAACACAACATTACCGCGAAGCATGAAGACTATACCAGACTATCCGCCGACGAACTTCTCGCCAGCTAGCCAGAGCAGTCAGGTCACTCGCCCACAGTCGCTCATCAATCTGGCGGCTCACTCAGGCTCGTCAGCTAGAGCTCTTAGCCCTTCGACGGATGTTCCGAGCCCACAACCTTCGGTTCAGTCCAATGTTGGCTCGGTGCCCATGGGCCAGTCGCGGTCACACAGCGGTTACGTCAATCGCAAAAGCAGCGCCAGCTCTGTTGGGATCAGCCGTGGTCTGTTTACTGGAGCGACAACGTCGACTTCCAACATGGCGGCACAGGGAATGATTATTGACCAGGGCGGTAGTGTCGGCTCTGTGGCATCGACATTCTACGACAACCATGGCCGTGATCTTTCACCTTCCAGTGGTGGATCCGCCTCTCCTTCCGTCCTGAACCCGTACTTCACGCCCACGCAGCCGAGCACATCGGCAAGTGTGCCCATGGCCAGGACAAAGAGCCATCTCGCACTTTTGCTGGAGCGAGAGCATGAGAAGGACAGGGGTAATGAGGCCCGAACGAAGAAGCGCGGCTCAAGGACCTAGTTGGCCTCCTTCTGCTCGCGACGCTGGACGTCAGCACGTACGCTCCTGACTTGGATCATGTATCATGCGTGCGATATTTTCCGTTCATTGTACAGATAGGAGCGTTCAACTTGGCATTTAAGCTTGGCGCTGTTGGTGGTAAAAAAGGGGGCACGGCGGGCGTTCTCTTGCATATCGGCGTTCTATTTACATGAGCAATTTTCGCGAGCGAGCGATATCTCTGCAATTCACATTTACGCCATCTACCGAAGAATGGAGGAGCAGGGGAGCGGTCGAGATAGGGTCAAGGAGTGCTTCCCTAGGAACGCTTCTTGATATTAATAGGTTAATTATCGCACTACTCACGTGAGCGTGATATCGTATCGATCTATTTCCAAACATCTTTGCCATGTTCCACTTGTGTATCCATCCATCCATTCATCCATTCAGTCCAGTCCAGACAAGGATATCTCCTCCCAGTATGCGTGAATGTCTCTGGTTGTATTTTTCCCCATTGAACCATGCCCAATCAAACAAAGTCGCTCTCCCAGATGAGAATAGGTAAAAAAATGGGAGGTAAAAAAAAGGTATAATGAGTGAATAAGAGACACTGTTCAGCAACGCATATTCTTCATGTGTTCTCCCAGGTACCATGATGTCTTTCCGCATGAGGATGGATATACAACAAGAAAAATGAAAATTGAAAAGAGAGTGAGAGGCGGAGGAGCGCTCAGCCGCAGCCACACTAATCATTGAGGCCGAACATCTTCCGCAGCTTGCCAAACTTCTTCTTTCTGCCTTCCTCTGGGAAGGCGGTGGTTGTCGCCTCCGACACCACGGGACTCGAGGCCATGGCAGGCGGAAGGCCGGCGCCAGCAGCAGCGTTGCTGCCAGGGACGCCCTGGTGGGATACGCTTCGTCTTTTCAGGAAGCCCATCTTGAGACCGCCGGGCGATGGGCCTGCGGAGGTGGAGGGACGCTGCGGTGCAGCTGTGACATTGCCGTCGGGCAACGGCCAGCTGGGCTGGGTCTTCTGCAAACGTCCACTGTCATGGCGGATAATGTTGAGCTCCTCTTGGCTGCGCTCGAGGCGCGTATCCCGACGAGCCGCGCTCTCGCTGACGTCTCGGGTAATCATGCTCGAGCTGTCCTTCTTGCGACGGAGGATGTTGGACATGAAGCTTCCTCTGCGTTGGTGCGCCGGTCTTTGTCCCAGACCATCCGCAGCTATGTAGCCCGGGCTGGCAGGTGGAGGGAAGCTCCCCCGGCCAGAACGGCTCCTCTGCAGCGTACCCGTCTGGCGGCCATTGACAGCACCGATGGTTGTGTGACGCTTGGGCTGAACGATCTCATCATCGCTGTCAGGGAGATCAGGCGAAGGGGCGCGAGCAGGCTTCGATGGGAAGCCTGAGGCAGCAGCAGCCGCGGATTTGGCGCCGTTGGTGGAGCGCATCGATTTGAAGGAGAGACCACGTTGCGGTGGAGGACGGGCGACGTCCTCTTCGTCGCTAGAGTAGTCGCGTGTCCGCCTGCTCGCAAAGCGACTACCAACACCGCTCTCCTCTTCATCGCTCGACTCGGCAAACCGGCTACCACCCTTGTTCTTCTTGCCAAAGGGCGAGAGCTTCATCTTGGATTCCTTTGGCTGACTGTTGGCGAGGCGCATGGAAGTACGCATGCGGCTTCCACTCATTGGCGCTTGGGCCGGTGGCGGGTTGAAGCTGCGGCGGCCAAAAGCCGACCCTGTGGGGGATAGAGACCGGATGCTAAAGCGACTGCTGCCCCGCGTGGGCTCGGGAGACACTGCAGGCTCGGGCGCGGATCTCATGGAGCTCCTGAAGCCAAAGCCCTGGCTCGCGGGCCGAGCACGTCTGAAGCTGCTCTCGCTCGAGTCCGAGCCACGTCTGCGCAGAGTCGGTGCAACGCCAGCAGTCGAAGGGCCCGCAGATGACGATGGACGTGAGTCCGTGGAATGCGTCCTGCGGTTAGCCAATGTGTTCCTGGCCACTTCGGACGACAGAGAAGGCTGATACGAGGCAGGACGAGCGCTGCTTGCCCGCGCATGTGCTGGCTCGCGAGCTCCAGCAGAGGCGCCACCATTAGCGCGCATGGTCGTGCGCATAGTCCCGTTGGTCTGAGGGCTGCGCGCCGCATCTACTGGGGACGGCCGCTCACCACGCATGGACTTCTTAAGCTTCGGCACGGGGGCTTCCGCTAAGGGAGGAGCAGGCGCATCCGCGGTTGGTTGCTGGGAAGCATCCTCGTGAGCCCAGCTCGTTCCTGGCATAATCTGATAAATCCTGTCAGGGTTGTGAGAGCTCGCGATGCTCGATGTGGACACGGGGCGGTCGGTTGATCGCCTCTTCTTGTTCTTCTTAGGTTTTGCTGCCGATTCTTCCTGGTCCGCATCTTCACCAGCCTCTTCCAACGCCTCCTTTTCAAGCTGCCGGCGCTTATCCACCGAAAGACTGCGCCAGTAAGTCTTCGCATTCTCCCAATCATCTTGAGTGGCGGCAGGCTCTTGTCCGTTGGCTCCCTTCTCGAGGTCCGTGACAGCGGGGCGCGTGCTTTCTTGCGACTTCCTCTTCGTCTTTTGATACAGTCTCGAGACTTTGGAGTCGGCCGGAGCGGTCAGGACGGCATTCAAGGACATGAAGCCGCCATCTTCAGCATCAGAAATATCCTCATAAGCGTCACTGTAGATGCTGCTGTTCTCGGATTCTTCCTCTTCGATAATATCGTTCATGACGACGTTCGACCTAGTCGGTGTTGATGGTGCCGGTTCAATGGACTCTGAGGCCGCCGGGACAGTGATGGGTGACACAGCTGTGGCGGTAAGGGGGATAGGAGCTTGCGTCTCCTCATGAATTTCAACAGTTTCTGGCTTGGGAGCAACTGTCGTGTCGACATCGTCAGGAAATCCACCAGGGACGTCAAAGTACTCCGCCTCAGGAGAGTTTTCGCCCGAGTCCCGAGCAGCAGGACTTGGGCCGCTGATAGAGATTGAGGGAATGTCTCCGTCGGCTTTTGCGTCCTCTGTCTTTTCATGCACAACGTTTCCGTTGGTATGCTCATCAGGCTTTGCGTCAAATGCAGGCTCAGACACTGCCGAGCTTGGAACCTCGCCAGCTTCAGCAGCTTTCTCCAATTTCTTCTGGTTCGCCACGACGACTGTCTCGGGCACTTGCTGCGACACCTCCGTGGTGTCTGTGGCGTTTGTGTGATCCACCTCGTCGTCGTCTGTGTCCATGAAGCTGCTGCTGTCGTATCCGGACCCCTCGACAGATGTCACCACGGGCGGCAAGGGCTCCCTAGCTCGCGAAATGTTCGCCTCGTTCCTAGACGGCGATTCTGACGATAGCACAGAGCCAATGGCAGAGTCATTAGAATTGCCAACAGTCTCAGCTTCCGCTTCAGCCGATGCCCTGCGGAGGGGCGAGGGTACAGGAGATGGAGAAAACGCTCGCTCGCCGGGTCGAACGAGCGGGCGCTCATTAGTCTCGGCCTCCCTGGTCTTTTTCTCGCGAACACTTCCGAACAGTGGCAGAGCAGGTCTCGGGCCCATAGTCTCGTCCTCGTCGAGCTTGGAAGCTTCTTTCTTATGCCGGTTCAGGATGCTGTGCCACGTCTTCTTGGTCGCCTGTTGCGGGCTCGGTACAATGGGAGAATCGACCTCTGGGGGTTCTGCCGACTCCCCAACGACAACATTGCTCTCATCATTGAAGCTGACTCTGAAGCTCTTCTTGCGACTGATCTCTTCTTTCGGATCGCCGCCATTCAATGCCTCCGAGACCTCCGATCCATCGTCCGACGGAGAAGCGCCCCTTGCATTACTAGAGTTCTTCAGCGCTGATTTTCGAGGCGATAACGATCGGGGCGGCGGCTCATGTCTGACGAGCAACTGATTGGCAGTGGGAGCAAAATGAGCAGACCTTGCCGGGCTACGTGCAGGACTTTCTGACTGCACCCGTGCTCGTCGGACGCTTTCTCTCTTCGGATCGCTAGCGAACTTCTCGGGTCTTGGATCGGCTGGGTCGTGGACATGAGCAACCTCTCTCCCGGGCTGAGGCTGTGCTTCGTTGACAGCGGCCAGCGCGGCCTGTGGTGCTCGATGTGATCGCACAGGGACAGCATCGATCGCCGCGTTTTCGAGCTCGGTGTTCTTCACTTCGCGGGGCTGCTCGGCAACTGCACGTTGGGGGGTAACTGGGACTGTCGCAGAAACGGGCTGCCTTTGCGCCTCGGGTTCGACCAAGGTCTCTTCCCTAGACAAGCTAGATCCTGCATGTTGATTTGGTGCTTGTGCAGATCGTACCACTGGTTGCGGCTGCGACCCAGCCCTCTGTCGCTGCGCTGGCGGTGTTGAGTCTCGCGATGCTGTAACACGTGGCGAAGGCGACTCAACAGCGGTCCCCCTAATCCGGCTGATTGTGCCCTTGTCCAGATGTGAGCCGCTCCTTGATACGCCGGATTTGCTGGCCTTGACCGGCTTATCGGGCGAGGGGCGCGCGCTCTGAGACCTATGCCGCAGCTCGGCCTTGGGGACCATACGTCGTGAATTTGCGTCGTACACCATCTGCTTCCCTGTGGGTGACGGCGAGGGGGACTCCATGCGCGATCGTGGATACGAGAAGTTGATGGACGGGCTTATGCTCCCATCATCGTCATCGTAAGCCGGGGTGTACTCCAGCACCTGCTGCGAGTGTCGCGCGCTGGCGCTGGCTCGATTGGCAGGAGCTGAAAACCAAGACCCCTGGCTGTTGCCATCTTGCGCTTTCTGGCTGGCCGTTCGGAAGGGTTGGGTTTGGATGGTCAGGCCGGCGGGATTGTGCGAGCTCGCCGGTCGCTGGACGGTCTTGGGGAGTCTCGGTACAGGAGGCACGTCGACCTGCCGGGGCGCTGGGCTACGGCCTGGCGAGGGACTTCGGAATGTGCGCTCGGTCATGGAACCCGTGCTGGGGGATCTGCGCAGGTCGGTTGAGCGACTCTGGGGCCGACCACGGCTGTTTGTCGAAGAGACAGAGGCGCTGCGTCGCATGGATCGCTTCGATTGGGCTTCGGCGACATTTGTCGGTGTCATGGGCCGCGCCTTGAGGGCGGCGGCCGCGGCGGCTGACGATAACGACGTTGACGGTTCGCGACGCATGAATGCTGATGCGGCGGCAGTGGCCGCGTTTGGATTCGCCGTCTCCTTTGTCAGAGGCTGTTGGTCGAGGAGAGAGCCCTTGTCAGCAAGAGATCCCCAAGCGGCTTATACTAGATCTCGAGACAGTGCTAGGGCTGGCGAGACGAGGAAAAGGAAAGTTTTTGGTTACAGTTCGAGGCGAGCTAGCGAGTGGCCGAGAGCGTCATGACGACACGGGGGGCAGGCAGCATTCCCAAACACCCGGCGCGACTGATCGCGCCAACTCTAACCCAGAATGTCGCGGCAATTAAACCTGAATGAAGCACCAGACATACCTTGACTGGCGCTCGGCCTCTTCTGGAGCTTCCAAACATGATGATGGATGGGGATTGGTGGCTCGCCGCCAGCGAGGCTTAGCTACCTTAGCTAGCGATCGTCGCGCATGCGATGACCGAAAGGAGGCTAGATTAAATGTGATATTTAAGCAGACTGGATATTGGTAGTGCGATTTCGGTGTCAATGTCGGCCTCTGTGGTAGTGATAGTCAGCACCTGCTGTGGTTGAGGCTGTTGCTCAAGCTGGCCGGTGGTGATGGTGATGTTGGTGGTCCAATGTTGCCTGTTCCCAAGGTGAATCCAGGTCAGATCCGGGAGTGCCTGGAAACACAAATCGAGCAGGAAAAGATGTGAGCTGAGCTGAGCTGGGCTCAGATGGATGATAGCGCCCAGGCGTGGAATGATGGGCAAGAGGATGGCGGAGCGGCAAGATCGAGAATTGTGGCATTACCTGAGACCGTCCAAGTTAGCTCGACTGGAGGTGGCCCTGGGCTGGGCCTGGGGCCGGGGCCAAGCCTGAAGCCTGGCCTGTGGTCATTGCCAGTGCCTGGCACAGTGCATGACGCAAGGCTCCGATCCAATACAGCTGGTCTAACTGTTCTGTGACTAGCGTCTGTAGTGCAAGGGCTCCGTATTCATGCGCTACTCACACTGTCCTTCGCTGTCGAGACATTGGATTGCTCCCAATCGTCCGTCAACTTCTTCAGTAATCTTGGCGGAGGGCTCATGATGATTTCCGTCTTGACTGCCACGAGGCATGGTATCAGATGCAAGAAGCTTGACCGTGCAAAGGGCGCTTCTATCACGACGGGTGTCGACGACGACAATCACCCCGACGCTGAGCGAGCCGCGCGCAAGGGACGGGCGCGATACCCGTACCCGTACCTGTAGGCGATGACTTGCGTAGTCCGGTCTTCGGTTCACCACTAAAAAGCCGCCTGTTCCTGGCTGGGAACTTCGGCGACGCTTTGTCCTGTTCCAGGCGACGATCTACTCCTACGCCGGCGGATCTAGCGCTTGAGCCGTTCCCGGCTGCGCCATCATGTTAAATTAAACTGTCGGCACGTACCCGTACCGGATGAGACGCTTTATTGTCAATAAGATCCTGGACATGTTGTTGACTAGAGACAACGGATTTTATTCTTGGGTTATGGATAAATGCTAGGTATATTCCCCTGATGCGGAGAGCTCATCCTCTAAGATGAAAATGTAGGTTGGCGAGCCAAGCCCCACTCGAGCTTGTGTTCCCCAATATTCCATCTTGAGCAGAACATTCATCATACAGCGGTACTTGACCATTATGAGTATCCAACAAGCGTGAATGAAATCCATTGCAGAGAAGCCTCCCCACCGAGTCCTCTCCATCATACAGCTAGAGGGTGGTCGCAACAGACTAGCGCCGCATTGTCCACGATCGCGGACGTATGCGTTGTGACGACCAACCCTTACTGCTATGATGCTGCCGGAGGTCGTTGTATTGGCGCTGCGCGAGGTGATGGCAACTCTCCCCCGCCAGCGTCAACTTCCACACCGGTACTTGAATAGTCGTCGTACTCTGCCACATAGTCTTCTTCATAATCCTCCTCAGACTGCGTCGACTGCCCTTGCCCGTCGTGGTTCGGTGGTATATCCGGATCGTACATCTCTTGGCGATCCAGCTGCTGATTTGGTGCATGCTGAGCCTTGCCTTGGGCTTTGCTGTTCTTTCTCCCCTTCCTCCCTTTGGCCTTGGCCTTCTCCAAGAGCCGCTTTCGATCGGCTTCCTCTTGGCGCGCTCGGCGATCCTTGAGCTCGTATTCTCTGATCAAGGCCCGAGGGGGCTCGCCGAAAATCTGTTCATACTCGCAAAACTCACACATCCAAAAGTCTTCTGGCTTGGGAGGGTTGTGCCAGTACTTCTCCACGGCTATCCGCTGGCGTTCGCGGGCCGCTTCCCTGAGCTCCCCGTCGAGTCTCTTGCGCTGTTGCTTACGGGACAGCTTTTTCGGTGCAGGTTTCACATGATTCCCCTGCTGTGCTGCAGAGTTCGGAGGCATCATGCCCACTGGGCCTGAATTCATGGACCCTCCCCTGGTGGTGTGACCTGGGCAGGGTTAGCTGTAATCTCGGGACGGGCGTCTGGTCAGTAGGACTTACCTGGCCATGCAATTGACCCAGGCACTTGGGAGTCACATGTGAACGTGAACTGCGTTGACGCCGGCGTAGGTTTGGTGGTGGCATTGTGTTGTTGGAGAAGACTGACGTTTTCTTGCCCCGAAAGGGGATGTTTCCCGGCGTTTGCGATGGCATTGGAGATGATACCGCCTTTCGTTTCGGTGACTGTTCATGACAAAACTTGAATTAGCAACCTGAGCTTGTGGCACATATACTGGTCTGAACGCATCGGGGGATTATGCTTTACCTTGATGCTCCCACGACGAATTGGCAGTCTTCTGATGCCGACCACCAGCAGACCACCAAGCATTGTTGTCTGAGATAGTACGAAGGGGACTCCTGCCATTCCTGGAACGTCCGAGACGCCCTCTGCCAGACCCTGATAACCCAGGGCTATTTGCCCCGTAGCCACCAGACCCGTTATGATAACCTCTATCACCGTTGGTATCTGCTGTCGACGGTACACCGACTTGCGCTGATTGTGCAGCTACTTCAGCTGCCAACCCGTGAACATTGCTCAGAGCCGAATCTCCAGCTGAAGGAATTTTCCGCTTCTTCTTGTTATTCGTATTCTCGAAGGAGTCGTAGCCATCGACCGAAGATGTGGCAGACAGGGAAGTCTGGGGTTTAGGATGCCGAGACTGGTCACCGTGTGCAGCCCGTCCGTTCACTCGATTCCCTTGGCCAGGCGGTGACCGAGAGGCTGTCGTTATACGTGGACCATCGCCACCGTGACCGGAGGGGAGGCCATACCCTTCGTCGCGGCGGGGTGTCCAATTCCGATTCAGATCCCCGCGGTGTACTTGAGACGTCGGGCTCAGAGAACCTAGGCGAGTCGTGCCGCGCTCCTCTCTCACGGTGAAAGGAGGATACTGAAACAGAGGAACCGAGTTCAGTGTCGAGGACGGATATCGGATCGAGTCGGCCTCCTCAGGCGAGAGCTTCTCTCGTAATCGCCGCTTCGGCAGCGGCCTGATTGGCCGTTCAGGGAAGAGATCGGAAACGGTATCTGATGACATCGTTGGGCTATGATCTATTCGAAAGTACCATTTTGTCAGCCAGTGTACGGTGGCGAGGAAGGAGCAGCAGGAGATAGCGATGGTGCCAGATTTGCGCAGCACCCGAGCATCGACGACTTGGCTCCAGGACCACTGCGTAGTCCATGAGAAAGACATGCTGTAGTTGTTTGGATGCCCGAAAGATGCAGGGCGGAGCTCTGAGCCAGGTTACCCCTCGTGCTTGTCGACGGTGCTAGATGCTGGATGCTGGAAGGAGGTGCTGGGGAAGGTGAGTTGATGCAGTCAACGAGCCCGTACCTGAGGTAACCATCAGACATTGTACCAGCCTTTTTTCGCCCGGTAATTCGCAGTTGAAGTATTGATCCGTCCCCGCACTCGTGTTGATTGTCCAAATCGTCGGTCGATCGCCGCGAGTTTACGTTCACGCGCTATCCAAAAAAAAACAATATCCCCAGTCCAGGACGGGACCAGTTCCAGGTCTGATGGAGGCGTATTCTCCCACACTATCTTACCGCAACCAAGGTCAGCTAGTATCCCACCACGTGAACCCTGTCCCCTCGCAGCTTCAGAATATGTTCATCTGCATCGAATGTCCCGTATATATATACCAGGCTTTCGTGTGCGCACAACTCCCGAAGGCTGCGAAGCTTACCGGGAGACTTGCCTCGGGCTACACCGCGAACGATCGGGCGACGTGGGCGATTCGGTATCGACGGGGTCGCGGAGGGGTTGTTGGGCCGATCAGGGAGCAAGCAACGCTATGCGGTGAAAGGAAAGGTCAAGGGCGAAATAAGGACTCTCAAAAATGAAGATGCGCTCCCGTTCTTTCCCCTTGGTTCTACAAGGTAGACGAAGGAGGGTCGGCTGCTTGGAAATGCTCAATGAGGTATCGGTTGGAGTTGTGTGGCACTTGGGAGCTAAGGGGGCACGGGGGGGTCCAGACCTTAGTCAGCCTAGCCGCATGGATCATGACGGCGACACAAGGCTAGCTTAACCTAAGAACAATGACGGCGGGCCTCTGAGCCTCATGCGAGACGACAGATATGGCCAGGGCATTCATATAGACCGAGAGGAGAATATTTTGAGAGACCCAGGCACAATCTCAGCTACAGACGCGATTGCAGTGTTTTCATCTGGCGCCGAATTCTCACATCACGCATTCAAACCCAAGCAACCTCAAAGGTCGTCAATCGCCCACATGATTGAGGCTCAGGCCACCAGGAAGGGGGAATGTGAGATCTACAGGGCAAAAACAGACCTTTCGCCAGGCGAATAGCTTCGACATGCTGACAATAGCCGATGAGGAACATGGCGTCACTTTGTGCTCTCGCGACGTTACCTATCCACGTGAAGAGACGTCAAAAGCCCCGCATTGAAATGGCCCGTCAGGCATGGATGGCATTCTCAGGAATGAGGCAGAGGGGGCGTAATGCTGGTGCGGATTTCAGCACCTGGGTGGGCATTGAACCGGGTAGGCAATTCAGGGTGGAGATACGTCTAGCGCCGGCTGAGCGCTGACCACACGCAATGGCAATCGCAGCACGCACTTCCGGCCGCGGACAGCTCGTCCGTCCAGCCCTCGTTTCCTATCCCACTCTCCCAGCAGTACGCATTCTCTTCAAACCACCCTCTCAGCGTGCTTCTGCAATCATCTCTTGGGCGCTACCACATCTCCAACCCACTATATCAGCATGCGCGGTTGTCAACTTTCACCTCGAAGCTATTACTGTTCCTTCACGCGAATCTCTTTGCACTAGCGGGCCACAGTGCTGGTGATCCAAGACAAGACTTTCGACAGGCGACACTGGGATCACTTGGCTTCAGCTGGACGCATTTCGAAGAGCTACACGAGCGTATCATTACACAGCATTACGCTGACAGAGCGTTGCTTTACTGCTTCACCATAGCCATCCGCGGCTGGCCTGCGCGCTCTCGTCGCGGGCGCTACCACCCACCACCACCACCTCCTCCTCCTCCCACACCAAGCGCTCGTTCGACAGACCACCATCCGCTTCAATGGCACCGCCTTCGCCCCGACGCTCCTCGAGAGCGCGAGCCACGAACGTCCCAAGCCATCAATCCTCGACTTCCTCAGGCCGCGCCGAGCGCAACCACCGAGCCAACAACAAGACGTCGTCGGGCAAGTCGACACCTAGTGCGTCCTTGTCCTCGGAACCACTGGAAGACTACGAGGACACACTTCTTGGTCGCCGACGCAAGCGCGGCCACGAGGACGAACCGGAGAAGCCACAGCGTCAAGACCAATTGGACACGGCCCATGCCAGTGACGATGGGCAGGACGAAGAAGACGAGGCTGTGCGGTGTATATGTGACTCGGAGGACTATCCCGGGCGTCCACCCGTTGAGGGGCCGGACGCCGACTTTTTCGCAGCGATTGAGCTGACAGAGGATGTCACGGGCTTCTTCGTCCAGTGCGACATTTGTAAAGTGTGGCAGCACGGTGCTTGCGTTGGAATCTTTAGCGCCGAAGCATCCCCAGACGAGTATTTCTGCGAGCAGTGTCGCAAAGATCTTCACAAAATCAACACAGCCATCAATGGGTGAGTCGCACTTCTCCGGTCACAGCTACCGTACGCTGCCAGCCACTTGTCCCGACACTGACACAAATCGCGCGCACAGGCAAAAGTACTCCAAATATCTCCCGCTCCATCGACCACCGCCAGCATCGCAACCTACCTCTCGAGCGACGTCGGTAAGCAGGGACCGAGGCCAATCGCCCAAGGGCTCGAAAGAGAAGAATGGACGACCGACATCTTCACAACTAGCCGCCAAAAGACGGTCTACTATGAACAGTCGCGATGCTGCGTACGATGACGACCAATTACGGCGAGCAATCGAGGCTAGCAGAGAAAACAACTCTGTAGACGGCGACGGACCCTTGAGGCGGACGAAGAGGGGGCGCAGCGATAGTGAGGAGTGAGTACCTACATTCCCGGAATTGCTTCATATGATCTGACTCCCTAGCAGAAACGCCCCCAGCGTAAAACGACAACGGACGAACTCGCACTCGCCTTCGCCGCCACCGGAAGAGCGCGAGGATGCCAGCCGGGGGCAGTCCGAAGACGAGGCTCAAGCAAGGAACGGAGCGAAGAAGACCCGCAACGGCAGACATCAGAGAACAAAATCCGAGGTGGAGGACAAGGACCGCCTGCGGCAAGAAGCAGCGAACAAGCGCAGAGGCCGCGCAGAGAGGCGGCGGGGTGACGGTACTTTTCTCGGATCTCTCTTGCAAGACCACCACTGACATGCTACGCGCAGATTCAGATCCATCAGAGGACCTCCCTCTGGCCCAGGTCAAGGCAGCGCCGCCCCCGGACGAAGAGCCGACGCCTGACGTCGAACCGACCGTACCACCACCGCCTGTGCCAGGCACGCCGCCAGCCACCGTTAATAACGCGGGCAGCTCACACAAGAAAGGAGCTCGAAGCAATCACAAAAAGGGCAAAGGCAAGGGGCCTACTGGCAAAGACCTTCATCATGAACGAGAAGATTCGCCGGCACGGTCAGTGCCGCGGGACATTGCCAAAGCAGCAGACGATCCACCCGCACCCAAATCGACGCCGGCGGAGAGCAAGCCATCTGGCAAGGGGAAGGCTGGGGTCGCACACAAGATCACAATGCTAGACATGAAACGCCGTGTTGGCGCGATCATGGACTTTATCTCGCGGACGCAAGTGGACCTCGCAGCAGAGGGCAGCCTGACATCGAGCAGCAGCTCGACAAGCGGGCAAGCGTCGCCTCAGAAGACCCCTCTGGAGCCGGTCACCGGCGAGACCAACGGAGGTACGCCGGAGACGACGGGCCATGACAGGGATTTCAAGGACCTGGACTGCATGCAGATGATGGACGTTTTGACGCGCGATATGGTCAAGTGGCAGAACCAATATAAATGAGGCAGCATGATACATGGAAAGAGATTGGGGGCATGGGCGGGATTTTTTCCTCTGGGCGTTTACGGATATCTTTGCGACGAGCACAGCCGTCGTGTACATCTTCATCATCGGGAGTACTAGGTGTCGGAACATCCCCCGATCCACTACGCAGCAGCATTGCGAGGCTTCCCTGTTCATTACCCTTTGTCGTCGAAAACAGTCAGACCACTATACCCTGTTCAATTTATCACTAGGACACAACACACGGAGCTGTTGCTGTTCGGTTTTCTTGGATTGGATGTCATATTACGTCGTGATATGCTGGTGTTTTTGTACATGGTGTCTCTCTATATGCAAGAAACTTCTTCATACAGGGCCATCTTTGGCCTTTTTCCTCTCTTCCTTCATGGCCTTCTTGGCTTGGTTGAGACTCAGACGCGGCTCGGACTGCGCAAGCTCGTGGGCCTGCAGCGTCTCCTCGGACAGGTCATCCAGCACGTACTTGCCCAGCTTGCCATCTCGCCAGAGCGACAGGACGCGCGCGGCGGCCTCGGGCATGTTGGGCACGCCTCCCTTCTTCAGCTTGCCCTCCTTGCGCGCCACGGCCTCGAGGAACTCGTAGACGTCGTTGGTAGGCGCGCAGTAGCTCCTGTACGACTTTGGGTCGAGTAGGTTGAGCTTGTATAGTAGGTAGTCGCACAGAATCTCGTCGTCAATGAGACCCTTTTTGATGCCATGCGCCAGCGCGACCTTCATCATGGTCTCTCCGTCCTCGACGTAGGGCTGGAAGATGCCCGGGGTGTCCATAATGTACACGCCCGATGCGACGCCGCCCTTCTCCGCCGAGTCGATGATGCGCACCGCCGTCCCGACCCTACGGGTGACGCCGGCCTGGTCGCCCGTCTGCGCTGCCTTGGCTACCTTTCCGGAGAGGCCGTTGCTGCGCAGCGCGTTGAGGAGCGTGCTCTTGCCCACATTGGGCATGCCCACGGCCAAAGCGCGCAGACCTGTTAGGCTGCCTTGCTGCATCGCCAGCTCTTTCAGACGCTCTATGAGCTTGGTCGTGGTCTTTTTGTCAGCCTTGTCCCAGAAGACGACCCGGTCGCCGTAGACACGCCTCAGCGCCTGCTGCGCATTCTTGGAGCTCTTCCCTAGGAGTGTCTTGGTATATACCACTAGTCGCTCTCGACCGGCCAGCATCTGCTCGAGATGCGGATTGTGCGTCGATAGCGGGAGGCGGAAGTCGCGGCATTCGAGGACGACGGAGATCTGGGGGAGGATGGTCTTGATCTTCTCAGCACCGGCATGGTGATGACCGAGGAAGTATGTCTTGGGTATCGAATTGGGCGTGGGGAATGTCGTGCGAGGGGCGAACCCCGTGATAGCTTTGCCTACGCTCATCGTTCCATTGTAAGAAGCACAGCTGCTCAGAGGAAAACGACATTCGATCCCTCAGCAAGGATGGGCTTCTTGGACTTTGCGCGTTGACGCGTTTCTGGAATCGGATTTGGAAATCTTCTCACGAAAGCACGTGTCGATAAGATAAGACAAGTGGCAGAACAGGCACGATAAGGTTGGCGCAGCCAAGACGTCACCGACGACGTCTGGGCCCCTCGGGATTCTGATTTTTGGTGCCACATTCCACATTCCACACCAATCGAGGATGCAGATCTGCGCATGTGCCGCTCAGTTACACGATCAGCCAGAGGTGCATATGTTTGCAAACTCTATCGGAAAGATATGGCGGAAGCAGGCATTTAACTGAGTAGGTAAAGCCGTGATATCCTTCCAGAACAAGTTGTTTAGCGTCACATAGGAACAGGTAGATCTCCTGCGGGAGCCTGATCATCCTCACTAAGGGAGGCGGTGTTGGGCCGTGACGATAGTCTTGCCGTTTTCCCGCGTGGTGGTGCTCGCTCTTTTCATCCCTGGCATTTTCTTCTGATAATGATTCCTTGTGGCAACGAGAACCCAATTGCATTGATCCCTTCCCCATGAAGCTTGTCTCGGAACCGACTCGACTTTGTCTTATATACCTTATATACTGGCTCAATGACAGCGACTACGGGGTCAGATGACCCCCACACCAACAACACACAGCACAGCACTACCAGAGATGCCGTGACGAGGCGTACAGGCCGAGACGTAGTGTCGACGGACTCCACGCGCCTTGACACGCCTGGCCTGGTCAACGCCCTGGAAGACGACCACGATGACCCAGCGTCACGGAGGGCGAAATGGAAGGGCTACTTTGGCCCAGGCGGGAACTTGAGACCGTTTCGACTGCTCAAGGTGGACTTGATCAACCTCAAGGGACGCTGGGTGTCGGACTGGACAGTCTTCAACCAGCAAATTCTCGCCAGTTCGATTTACATCTTCTTCACAAACTTGCTGCCGGGGATCACATTCGCCAGTGATCTGTACCAGCTGACGGGAGAGTCGTGGGGCACCATTGAGATCGTCTTCAGCACGGGTCTGTGTGGAATTATATTCGCAGTGTAGGTCTTTTCGGTTATGAGAACGACATGTTCGTGGTGGCTGATCTTGTCTAGCTTCTCAGCACAGCCGCTGACGATTCTGGGCGTCACTGGCCCATTTTCCGTTCTGGCTGAGAACGTATATGAGCTGTCAGAGAATCAGTTTAAAGTGAGTTGCAATCTCATGGATGAGGACGCAAGCGAGCAGACCATACTCATGCTGCCAGGTCCCCTTTCTCTCCGTGATGGCATGGTCTCTCATCCACGCCGGGTGGATGCACTACCTCCTCGCCATCTTCAACGCCCACGACTGGACGATGAAGTATGTCACACACTTCAGCGGTGACATCTTCTCCCTTCTCAACAGTGTCATCTACTTCCACAAAGCTGCCATGGAACTGAAGCGAACACACGAGAGGACGGATATGGCAGCCTTTCTATACGCCATCATTGGTGCTGTGGGCACCTGTCTCGTCGCCATTTTCCTGTCAACCGCCAACAGATGGACACCCCTGTTCCATCGCTACGTGAGACTCGGTCTGACAGAGTACGCGGCTGCCATATCCATCATCCTCTGGATCGGCATCCCATACATTGGCGAGCTGCGGGACCTCGACCATGTCAGGCTCGAAGTCTCGACAACCTTTCGACCCTCGAGCCCGAAGCGCGAGACGTTTTTTGTCGAGTTCTGGAAGATACCCCTTGAATGGGTCTTCCTGTCTATCATACCCGGCGCCATTGTCACCGTTCTCTTCTACTTTGATCACGAGATTAGCAGCATCATCTGCACCATTGACCGCTACGGCGTCCGCAGGCCTGGTGGCTTCGCCTGGGATGTCATTCTCCTCGGCACGACCACAATCATGTGCGGCATCCTGGGCATCCCGCCGGCCAACGGCCTCCTTCCCCAAGCACCGCTGCATTCCGAGAGTCTTCTGCACTATGTGAAGAAGGAGGAGGAGAACAGTACAGGATCGACAACATCCGACGGCCAAGTCCGGGAGCCACAGTTCGTCGCGCGCACCTACGAGCAGCGGTACTCGCCCTTGATCCAAGCCGTCCTCATCTTGGTCTTCGTCTCCCCGCCGTTCCAGAAGCTTCTCGGCTTCACGCAGACTTCCGTGCTCGCTGGACTCTTTATGTTTATGGGCTACCAGTCCCTGAGCGTCAATCCCATCCTGAACCGCATCGCCAATCTTCTGACGCCTCCATCGGAATTACCACAACTACCGGACAAGGTGACGTGGATGGGGATCCACGGCTACACGGTGACGCAGATTGTCGTGACGGGTATTGTCTTCGGCGTGACGCTGACTGTTGCCGCTCCTGCGTTTCCCCTGATCATCATTGCGCTGGTGCCTCTTCGTCTGACGCTGATGATGAAGATATGGTCAAGAGATACTTTGCGCCTGGTCGATGGATGGGCATGTCGAGAAGGCAAGCCGGAGGATGAGCCGCCTGTTGTTCCCGAGGAGACGTCGCTGCCTCTGGATGAGGAGAAGGCGAAGCATGTGGCGTCTTGAAAATGGTACGATTTACATATGGTGATGTGCGAGACTTGGCATTTTTGGATACGACCGCAAGACTAATGAATTATAATTATAGACTACAATGGATAGATCCATCTTCCCCATCTACTTACATTTCTGTATGGGCGATCATTCGTAATGTGTGTGCCGTATGGTAGACCAACTATAATCACACCCAGTTTTCAGAGTCATGCATCATCACAAGTGGACAGCCACTGACTCAGGAAAAGGGTTCCAAGACCGGAAACTCCGGATTCTGCTCTTGGATCAACATGCAGGACTGTCTGTCCGAGGAACCAACAGACGACCGGACTCTGAATAGCTCCAGTCCTCAGCGCGCGGGGTATATGCTGCGCTGGGGAAGACTATAGCCGGGGCTGGTAGCAACGGCTCGAGGGGAGGCAGATGGATTGTTTAAATTTCCCTGACGTACAAGAGACAGTAGTGCCTTCATGTCATCATCTCTTCTATTTACATAGCGTTTCTATATCTCCATCACCATGGTGCTTTCAGTTGCCGGCAAGAATGCCATCATCACTGGCGGTGGATCAGGTATGCACATTCACTCTCACTGTGAAGTGTGGGCCCACACTACTAGTGTCTTATTGTACTAAACGACTTGTCATAGGCATCAACTTGGAATTTGCCAGACTCCTTCTCAACAAAGGCTGCTCAGTCCTCATAGCCGACCTCCATTGTCGCCCCGAGGCCCAGTCCCTGCTGGAGCAATTCCCCCCGTCCTCCTCCAACAAGCCCCAGGCTCTCTTCCACAAGACGGACGTCACCTCGTGGCCGCAGTTGACCTCGCTCTGGAAGACAGCCCTCGCCCACTTCCCCAGCATCGACATTGTGGTGCCCGGCGCAGGCATCTTCGAGCCCCAGTGGTCGTCCTTCTGGGACCCGCCGCAGTCCGAGAGCAACCCTTCCTCTGCGTCGAGGTATGACGCCAACGGCGAGCCGGGCCACTACGCCGTCCTGGACGTCAACCTCGCGGCCCCCATCCGGCTGAGTCAGATGGCCATCGGCCACTGGACCTCCCACAAGCAAAAGGGGTGCCTCGTGCATGTGGGCAGCATCGCCGGGTACTGCACCGCCATCAACACGCCCCTGTACTTTGCGAGCAAGCATGGCTTGCACGCGTTTGTGAGGTCCCTGGGTGGCCTGCGAGACGAGCTTGGCATCAGGGTCGGGTGCGTGGCGCCAGGTAGCGTGCGAGTAAGTTCTCTGTCTCTCCGACCGCAAGCGAGGAATGTGTGACTTATATCGATCGACAGACACCCATGTGGGCGGAGGACCCAACCAAGGCCCGCTTGGTCGATGAGAAGACCGTCCTCATTGAGCCAGAGGAGATTGCCGAGGCCATGTATAGCCTGGTGGTGGATGAGGACCTGGGCAACGGGACGATATACGAATGCGGCAAGGGAAGCACGAGGGTGGTGCCCGAGTACAACATGGATCCGCCGAACGTCGCTGGCGCAATGGTGCCAGGGTACCAGGACGCCCAGCGGGAGCTATATGAGAATCTGAGGAACAATGGCATGAAGGTGTAAGCCGGCGAGCTGCTTCGCATGGAGGGTAGGACAGCAGAGCAGTGTTGTCACTCACTTGTGCTGGTCGTCCACTTGCAGAACAAAGTGTACACTGTGTAATTAGCAGCAAGGGACAACGTTGCGTCAGTAGTGAAAGAAACTCATGTGAACAAGAAATAATAACAGTCATGTTAGATGAAGCCCTCCACCCGGGCTGGGTATCTCAACTTCCAGTCTCTCTCTCTCTTTCTCCTTTGGCAAAGCGCTCCCGTCCTTCTTTATAGTCCTTCTCCTCCTCCATCTTGCCCATCGCGAATTTGGCGCGCCTCCTCCGTAGCAGAAAAAAAAGTTTATAACAAGAGAGTGTAACGCCCTGGACGTCGTCAAGCTCATCCAAACGTCGAGGGAATACAGGCATGTATGTAAAGGGAGCGTAAGAAATAACACCGTATGTACCCCAATTTCCAAAAGATTACCACAGATCTTCACTTGATGTTCTTGAAGAGATCCTGCCCCAGGCTCCCGTCGTCCTTCTCCAACTCTTTGAGCTCGGGTATCATGGGTGGCGGCGGCCCGCTGGGGGCGTGTGTCGTCGTTTTCGCTGTCGACTGCTCGAAGAGGAGACTGGACCGCTTAAGATCGCCACCTCGCAGGCGTCGGAACCACCCGCTGCTTCGCTTCGATTTCCGATCATCGTCCAGCACCGAGGAGGCGCCGGTCCGGCTGGGCGGCCTGCTGCCGCCGTTGATCGAGGGGGCCGCTACCGATGGGGCTGTGGCCGTCGCTGTGCCGTTTCCGCTGGGTTGCTGCTGCTGTCCCTCTGCATAACTGTTATTCAACAACGTTCGACTGAGGAGGCGGCGGAGACCGCCCGACCGTGTACTGGACATGGTCGGACTGGGGGGGATGTCGTCCGCTGGCCGCTTTGTCCCGGCAAGTTTGTTACCATTTGCGCCTCGTTGCTCCACGGCGGGCTTGCCCTCGAGTGCGGCCGCCGTCTCTGGGTCCTCCAGCTTCCGAGCGGTTGTCGCAGCGGTCACTGACGATGACTTGTCGGCTGGCTTCTCGACGGGGGATTTCGGCGGGGGCGGGATGTTTGTGCCATCGGTGATGCTGCCAAAGTTGAGGTCCAAAGCTGGCAGCTCGAAGCGCGAGCTTTTCGTGCCATTGTCGATTCGGCCAGGCATATTGATGTACAGTATTGATCGCCGAGCGAGCCCGGTATTCGGTAGGTATTCGATCTTTCCCGGAAGACGCGTGTGCGACAGTTCAGAGGAGGCCGACAGGGGACAATGGTCGCGAGTATCCAAGAAAAGGGGGTTTGTTGCAAGTGCTGGCAAAGGGGGGTTCCCCACGTTCAATTGATTGATGGGAAATCGATCTAACAGTACGTCGTACGAGCCAGACTCGAGAGATGGTGAGAGATCCAGAGATGCAGAGCGTGACAGCAGGGCAGACGCGGATGGTAGCAGCAAGCAGGGTTGCTCAACAAGCTCGTCGAGTGCCAAGAGACCTGGTTCTCGCTCGCGCAACGCTGCAGACAGTTGAGAGGTGGCGCGGGCACCGGCCGGCAGGACTGAATGAGGCTGGTGCTGTATTACTCGCAGGCGCTGTCAATAATAGCCGTTGATGAACTGAGAGCGACCGGAGGCACTAATGAGCAGACCCTTGTCGTTCCAATTTCGACCGTGCGCCGTTGGTAGATGATATGTGCAAGCAAGCAAGTGAATTTCGGGGCTCAGTCAAGCAGCGAGCGGAGCAGAGGTCCAATGGTACGCCGTGACGAAACGAATGGCCAGGGGTACCGAATTATACAGATATGGATGCTGTACAGTGATGGGAGAGGAGGAAAGGAGGTGGAAAGGGATGACGAGTCCGGTAGTTCTCCTCTCTCGTCGCCTCCAGTCGAAGAATGACTGTTAGTCGGAGGTTGGTTGGGCCTCGCCCAGGCTGGGAGAGTGGCAACCGCTCGCTGGGGAAACTCGCAAAAAGGGATAGTGGAGCCGGAAGGTCCCATGCAAAAGTCCACTGCATGTCCACTCCGGCGCCTCTTGCTAGTGCGGACGCCTGCCGTGGCCGTCGGTCTTAACAGGTTTATGGATGGGCGACATCCATGTCCCCGCTAGTTAACCCCCAAGGACAGTTCCGACCCGCTGGGGATACTTGGACCCTGCAGTTAAAGTCAGGTAAGGTAGCCCGATTGCCTCCATCGCTGTCTCGGTACTCTGAACAGTCTCCAGTTCTTAGTGCAGCTGCAAATAAAAAGTAAGAGAGCACTTGTTCAACTGCGAGAGACAGGAGGATCAAAAAATGCAATCAGTCGCCCTTGACCTCCATGTGGCTGGTTGTAAGCTGTTTGTAAGCTGTGCTTGCAAAGCTCAGGTGTCTGAGCGCCCCCGGCAGGTTACCTTACCAGGGGATCGCAAGGGACTGGAAATGCGCAGGCGAAACATGTTCTCAGCAGTTTCAGTGAGGCGTTTCTAGTCAGTGCTCCGCCCTTGAAACGACTCGTCATCGCTGGAATTTCGATTGGCATGTTTTAAATGTGGTGTTTGTCGACATCTCCATCCCTAATCATTCTGCCGACACTTGTTCGAGTGGTTGTAATTCTAACGGTTACCCTACACCCGACTGCCCATACACTATACAGGCTACTTGCTGGGTCTATGGAGGTTGCTAACATCTTGAAGTCATGAAATGTTTGACGCCTGTCAGATGCGGTACTACCACATACTTATGCATAGGTACAAAATAATAAGCCGGTACATATAATCTCATCAAAATCTTGTCAATGACCCCATGCAGTGTGCGTTAGCCAACCTCGGATCTTCAAGGTAGCCCATCCCCGAATTAACACTGCAAACATAACCTGCGACGAAATATTACGAGCTCTTTGAACGAGACGGTTTCTTGCGATGATCTAAATAAGAATGATTCTACGATACGTTGTCAATTGATCAATTAATGCGGTGCACGTGTACCATTGAATTCCGAGATGCCCAGGACCGATAAGATAGGACCATGTAGCCGAAAACGTCATACCTCTTTAAAGCTCTGCCGAGCTCTAACTTCACCCATTGAGCTGCATTCACAGTCCAACCGCTTGTCAAGATGGCATCTTCACAGCGTCTCAGCATCCTCCCAAAAGGCCTAGTACGGCCCAGAGCCCTTGCCTCTCGCATCCAACCCAACGCGAGCCGGCGCAAGTCTGGTCCTTACGGGTACACCCAGGCCAAAGCGCTGGTCTTCTCGAAACCAGGCGAACCCCAGGACGCGCTCTCGTACGCTCCCTCCCCCCTACAAACTCTGATGCGCTTTTCTAACGCAGTACAGACTCCACGCGCACTCCATCTCTCCCAGCATCCCCTCCTCCGCCCTGCTTGCACGCACCCTCGCCGCCCCCATCAACCCGGCCGACATCAACACCGTCCAGGGCACCTATGGCGCGAAACCCCCCTTCACCTCGCTGATCGGCACGGCGGAGCCGTCCGCCGTGCCGGGCAACGAGGGTGTTTTCGAGGTCCTCGCTGCGCCGGGCGGCAGCGACATCCACAAGGGCGACTGGGTGATCCCCGCCCGGTCCCAGTTCGGGACCTGGCGCACCCACGCCGTCGCCGAGGCGGACGACTTTATCAAGATTGACAAGCAGGGTCTGAACCCACTACAGGTCGCGACGGTGAGCGTCAACCCGTGCTCCGCGTACCGCATGCTCCGCTCCTACGGTCCCAGTGCTGGCTTGAAAGACGGTCTCGGCATGCGCCCGCTCGAGGTTGGGTCGGGGGCGTGGTTCATCCAGAACGGGGCCAACTCGGGCGTCGGCCGTGCCGCGATACAGTTTGGCCGGCTGTGGGGGCTGAGGAGCATCAACGTCATCCGCGAGAGGGACTCGGCCGAGGAGACGGACGCGCTGAAGCGGGAGATGTACGACCTGGGCGCGGACGTGGTCGTCACCGACGCGCAGCTACACAGTAGGGAGTGGAGGGACCAGCTGGCCGAGATCACGCGACAGGGGAGGGAGAAGATTGGCCTGGGGCTGAACTGCGTGGGCGGCAAGAACGCGACGGCGCTGGCGCGGTCGCTTAGCGAGGGCGGCACGCTCGTCTCGTACGGCGGCATGGCGAAGCAGCCCGTCGCTCTGCCGGTGGGCCTGCTGATCTTCAAGGACATTCGCTTTGTCGGCTTCTGGCTGTCCAAGTGGAACGAGAAGGACGTCCAGGGCCGGAAGCACATGATCAACGACATCCTGGACTTGATCCGTAGCGGCAAGTTCAAGGACGTGCCTGTGGAGGAGGTCCCCTGGCACTGGGAGACGGAAGAGGCTACGCTCAAGGACGCCGTGCAGGCCGGTCTCGGTGGATTCAGGAAAGGAAAGGGGGTGTTTGTGTTTGGCGATACATAGAGTTGGCCCGTCGACACAGCAAGTGATGTGTAAGTAAGCAAGCATATTATCATTGTATGTATCATTGAACGTTTCCCTTAATGCTCTATGACCTTAGTGCTTGGGTCCATTCGTGAAATCTATCGATCAGGACCGGCGCATACGATGTCAGCGACGTGTCAATCAGCGATCCAAACTGCATAATCGCCTCGTCCTCGGTCAGCTCCAGATGGAACCTGTCCCGCACCTTGAGGACCGCCTTGTCCGGTTCGAGGCGAATGTCCGGTATGTTGGCGTCCACCATGAGACTGAACAGGTTGAGGATCAGGTTAGATGACTTGCGCAGCGCAGTGTACGCGAGGAAGCAATACTCCCTGAACTGCTTATAGTTCTCGGACTTGTCGCCCCCCATGCAGTCGACCATCTCCTTGGAGAGCTTCATGGCCGGCGCAAAGGGCTTGGGATCGCGTCCCAAGATGAAGCCAAAGTCGGCGTGGAAAAAGTGGCCGTCGGGCGCCAGCAGGAGATTGTCCAAGTGGCGGTCGCCCACGCCGAGGATGTACGTGATCACGCAGTAGCCCGCACAGGATCGAACATATGTGTCAATGGTGTCGTTGCGGACCCCCAGAGGCTGACGATCGTCTGGATTGTGGTGGCGCAGGTAGGCCAGGGCCGGGTTGGCCTTCCACTTGTTGACGATGCTGGACAGGCTCTGCGACTGGATAAACTGGGAGCCACCGGCCGACGTGCTCGTGGCGAGGATTTTGTACGGTGACAGCTTCAGGTCGAGGTTCTCCTTTTGCAAAAGCTGGTCCATGAGCGTGATGATCTGGATGACAAGCTGATCCTGGCGTAGGTCATCCCCTAGTTTGAAGATGACGGGGTACGTGCCCCCCGTAGCTGTCTTGAATGTGAACTTGATCGGGTTCAGGGAGGACTTGAAGACGATGACCTGATCCGGCACGACTCCCGTCACCTGGACCGAGGGATCCAAGGGCATGGCCAGTGGCGGGTCAAATGTCAAAAGCTCGTTCTTGGGGTCGCTGATGGCGGCTCGCACCCGTTCCACCTTTTTCGGTATGGACTCGGACGACGCCTTGACTTCGCTCGCAATCTTGGAGAGGATCGCAATCATCTCCGCCTGCCGCAGCAACATCTTGCGCTCTGCCGCGCCGCCGGGCCTCTTCTCCAGCTCGAGCATGAACTCGTAGGCGACCTTGCGGTACAGCTCGCGCGTGTCGGCGCCTTGTATCGGGCTGTGGTCGTCGCACTCCACCATGAGGTACCAGTATAAGTAGTTGCCGAGCATGAAATTGGCCGCGGCACGCTGGACCAGAAACCGCGCAAGGGACGAATCCTCCGTAATGTCCTGCCCCGAGTCGACGGAAACGTGCTCATATTTGAGCGCTTGGACGAGCTGGAGGAGGTACAGTAAGAGCTCGTCGTCGTCCGCCTTGCGGAGTCGCTCGACCGCATATGACCTCACTCCAGAGTTGTCAAAGGAGGGGCCCAGCAACTCCAGGGCATCATCCACGTCAATGGACGTCCAGCGGCCCAGGACCTGGATGGCCTGCTTCGCTTCGCCCTGGTCGGCCCAGTTGACGGACTTGACAAACTTGGTCAGCGCCCGCTTGTCTCGCGTCAGATGGTAGCGGAACTTCCACACCAAGTCCGTCTCCTCTGGCGACAGCACGTGAGTCGGCGAGTAGGACATGATCTGGGCCAATTCATCGCGGACCTTGGCGTTGGGCTTGAGATCCTTGTCCAGGATGCCATGGCGATGGGAGCTTCGGAACAGTCGTCGGTGCTTTGCCTCGCAGGGGTTGTCCCGGAGGCCTGCCTCTGGATCGTACAGCTTGATGAGCCGGTTGTTCAGACCCTCACCACCATCGTCGTTGGCGTTGATGCCAGGGCCGTACTGGACCTGAGGTTTCTGTGCTGCGTTGATTTGCGATGCCGACAATGGTTGGTTTTGTAGGGACGACACGGGTGGAGGGTCGTATTCGTGGTCGGCGAAGACGACTGGATGGTCAAAACGCGGGAGTTCCACGGTCAAGAGGAAGCTTGCCAGGCCATCGCGGCCGTCACTGGAGCTAGCCTGCGAGCCAGGCGTCCCGTTCGCGTGTTCCATATGTAGCCGCTTCACCCGCTCTTGCCTACGCTTTGCCATCTGCGTTGCTTTTTCTCGCTGCTCGACGTTTCGGAAGACTAGCTGATCTAGCCAGTCGACGCGGGGTATCTCGCCCATCTCGTGCTTCTTCAGTAGCTTCTCGAGCCGGTCCATCTCCTCAGCGTCCTTGTCGACCACCCTGACATCGGCCTTTCCCCTTGCCTTGCGGCCTTTGCCTGCGGCGATGAGCGCCGGCGTCGTGGTGTTTCCCAGACCGTCCGCCTTCCTGTGTCGATGGATGATGCATTTCTGCCGACCCTTTTGTATGTGGTTCTCGTCGTCGAACATGGGCAGAGTCGTCCCGCCGAACGGTGTGGCGTGCCCGATGGCATCTTTGCCCCCCACCGGTGAGACGTCCCAGACAGTGATGGCGAGGGTCGCGTCGGCCGGAAGCACGCTGTAGTGTATCGGCAGCTCGAGCCACTGGTTCCACTTCCTTTCCGCTCGAAAGGCGCGATAGGCGGTCTGCACGGGCACAGTCAGAGGCTTGGAGCCGGCCCAGACCTGGACGGTAACGTAGAGATCGGAGTGAGGGCTCGTGTTGGAGCCAATGTGTCGTAGATCCGGTCGTTCGAGGAGCGTGGACGTCTTGAGCGCCGGCTCATCTCCTTCGAGGGAAACTCTGTGTCTGGTTAGCCGTCGGCGCGATCGGTGAGCGCAGGCTGGGATGGAGCGCGTTACATGCGAATGCTGACCGGGTGGTCAACTTCCTTGGATCCCGCGAAGGAGAACGAGTCCATCAACCTCCCGAATTCGGTCGCCATCTTGTCATGTCATGGCAGTCGCTGATCCGTCTATGCGATATTGACCATGGGTAGGTCTGAGCGAAGAACGTCCCGCTGAATGTTCGCTTGCAAGCGACGTGGGGGACGGAGGGAAGCTTGCCGCCTTGCGATGGGATCGTCATACGTACTACCCAGCTGGGTGCCGTGTCTTATCTTATCGCAGCGTGCCGTGAAACTAAAGGTGTCCAACTGTCAACACCCAGTCATTTACGACGAGTTTGATACACAATCAAGATCATCGAATATGCGTCCAATTAACATATGCCTGCGTAATGAACATGGTATCTATGCAACAAAGCACGCCAACACCTACAACAACACCACCACCAATCCCTCCTGACGACAAATTGTGCATGCTCAATGGTGCTTCCCCTCGATATGCCACTCAAACGTCTTTTGGAAGACTTCCTTTGCGTTGCCTTCCAGGACATCACCGTGGCAGGGAATCAAGTTGACGAAATCCCACTTGGCGATGGCCCGGATGCTCTCGTTGAAGCTCGCCCTATCCTTGGCGAGCACAAACCAGTTGAACCTCTTCATCCACTTGTTGTTGCCGCTTTGGGGGTTCTGCAATCCCTCAAAATGACGGGCGAGGAAGCCATTTGCCTGTTTCTGGTCCTCAGGCACCCGGCTGTACTGCTCGGTGGCAGGTAGGTTGAAGAAGAGGTCCGCCTCGATCAGGGTGCGGTCTGGTCGGAAGTTGACCACAATCTCCTTGTTGGCGTGGCCGTCGACGTACTCGTAGTCAAAGTCCCTGTCAAAGTCGTCGCCGATCCTGGTGGTGCTCTTCTTGTCCTTTGTGAAGACGGTCGCAAACGGCTCGGAGCCGATCTTGGGGTCGTTCTGCTTGGCGCGCTTCTCGGGGAGACCCTCGGGCCCGACCAGTTTGGCGGTCGGGTAGGCTTTGAGCCATTCGGAGAGGAAGATGTGATGCTCAAAGTCGAGAGCCACAATGTAGGCGACGTTGCCGCCTAGCTCGGCCACCTTGGCCTTGGCCTCTTCGGTGAGAGCGACAGGGGAGAAGACGGCTAGATCGCCCGAGGTCATTTTGACTGCGGAGTGTCAGCGATGCCTTTCTTCAAGGTCACAACCAGCAACACATGGGCTGCTCACCTAGTGTCCCCCGACCACCGATCTTCATTGTCCCGAACCGCGAGAAGGGGACTGAGAATGTGACGACGTTGGGCGTGACATGGCGGATGACCATGACGTCCGCCGGATTCGACGGAATAAGTTTGTCGGACATGGTGTGCTGTTTCTGAGGAGTTGTTGCAAGATGCCGATGTTGGATGTGTCGAGTAGCAAATGGCGTCGTAGATATTGATGTGTGAACTGTGCAATGGCGACGTGAAGAAATTTGTCGGTCGATGACGCAAGGTAAGGGTGCAACGCGCAATGTCAAAGTCGAGAATCGAGGCGATGATGATGAGGCTGCTTTCGGCGTGCTAGTAGCTCGGCAGGCATTGGCCTTTATGGATATTCAATTTTCAAGGCTCCGAAAGTCCAGGGCAGCAGGACAGATCCAATTACTCACTATTCGCATGCTTGGCGGTCTCCCTTTCAGACAGGCCCTCGTATTAGAAATCCGAGCGAAGACGATAAGCAGATGCCGAGGATGAGGATGCTGGATCGCATGAGGCATTGCCCCAGAATGACATCAACCACGTCAATCGGAGCCTTCGACGTCTCCGGAATCCGGATCCCGTCCCAGGGTCCAGTCGCGCTGGCGCGTTTGCATCCTTATTATTTTTCTCGGCCTTGTCCGAATTGGTGGGAATCGATTCCAAATTGGACGACAAAGCTTCAAATCCTCCAAAGTAAGCCGAGGCTGTTCGCGACGTGCCTGCATTAGACGGCATCAGGTTACCCTGGTCCCTGATTTCTGCATGTCTCAGACTTGCACACACACCGCGGCTGACCTAGCTTTCCAGCTATTAAAATAGGTCTCAATATATGAATTGAATTTGTTACAATGCCCGACTATATCCCAAAATATTACTCAACTACTCATCGCAAGGACGAGCATCATAGTTGAAAGAGGCACTTGCGACATAGCGGCTTCCATTGAGTATTGAGTTCAACTGCTTCTATCTTGTTTTGGAGGTCAGGTACATTATGCAGGACAATGGATTCACATGTCGCTGCGATGGAACAAGTACTCTATTCCACGAAGGGTATCTCCCAGGAGAGAGCTTGAAGAATCATGTCTCTCAGTCGGACTCAACTGCCCAGGTCGACGACCCGAATTTTCACGAAGCCCTTGTCAAGTTGTCAGACGAGAATAGAGGGCGTCATTCACAGCCTTAGGCATCAACATCGGAACATACCATTTTATTCGCTCCTCTTGGACTAAGTTCTGGATGAATCGCTCAATGGATCGATTTGCTGGCCTATCACGAGCGTGTTCCTTGGCGTTGTGCCCCCAAATTCAACACTTGTGTCCGGCAGCCCCTGAAATTTGATCACATGTGTGCAGCCTTTGGTGTATGTAGTATTAGCTCTGAACCCGGTTCGCTGGCCCTGGTAGGGGGTGAGTGCGCTGCGCTGTTTTGAGTGCAGCAAGTCTAACGGCGGTAGATTGTCTGGATGTTGTATGTGTGTGTGTTGAGAGCATGCAGGCGGTTTGTGTGCCAGACAGCCTGTGGTTGATACGGTGTTCATTCGGCCCACGTTATCAATGGCATCTTCGGTCGTCTTCTCCTTGCGCAATGCTCGCCTTTTTATTCCTCCTGCCTCAAGTTGTTTCGCTGCGATTGAACAAGTACACTATGACACAAAGGGCATCTTCCAAGAGAATTTGAAGAATCATGTCTCTCGTGGGGTCTCCCCCGTACCCTACCAGCCAGAGAGGCAATGAGCCTAAGATGCTGAGGCTGAAAGGAGTCCACGGGCCAAATGAAAATGGCCCGGTGGAAAGATACCTCGGAAACATGAATCTGTATATAGGGAGGAATATCTATAATACCTGGTTAGCTGGCGAGTCGCGATAGGATGAGTCGAGGGAAGTCATATAGTACCGTTTCTGCTATATCAAGAAAAGATCCTGCAAGCAAGTAGAACACCACCTGGTCGTGAAGTGTGGCCTCGTTGGGACTCGTGTTTGACTGCCAAATAGAGGCGCAGGTTACTCCAGATCCGTTCAACTTATATAGAAGACTATTGACCGTTGCCCCGAGAAGTCCTAGAATGCCCACAAAGCCGAGTTGGAAGCACCAAAAGGCCCCTAGTGAATGGATGATGAAATACGGTCAGCGAATCGTCACTCAAAGGCCCATGAACACACTGATTACATGAGCTTGGTCGAGATCTCGTCGCTGGAGTCTTTTGTTAGTGGCCTGTATATCTTTGGCCGACTGTCACTCACGTTTTGCCTGATGGCTTCTAACGTGGCCACAGCAGTGAACGCAAGCATTGTATGGGTGACGCCTTGGATGTAGGCCTGCAAATGGTCTCTTGTCGATGAATAATCGTCTGCGACAACACCCAAGCAGACCATCAAGCATGCTGTAGCGATCAAGTGACACGAGGCGCGCCAGTGGCAGTGAGGGCGAATTCGAGGTCCAACGAGAATGATGTAGGTTCCCCAGGCCAATAGCGGATAGAGTAATCCACGAAAAAAGAACTGGCTGCATCCCATGATAGATACAAGCCCATAATAAGTGACCGCAGCAATGGCTGAGACCGCCCAGAAGGAGACGTGATGTTTGGAGGATAACATGGTGGATGGTGAGGATTGAGGATTCCCGTGCGGTGTGAGATACGGGAGATGGTTGATGATTCGAACACGGGGAACTTGGGACTTTAAGAGAATTCTTATCTTTGCGTGTATATATATTAGGTATAGTGATAGAGCTTTGCCTTTTCCCGTCGTGAACTTAAAAACCACCGGACTTATTAGAGTTCGGTGCACGTCTACTCATAAAACCGTAAATAAAGGGCAAAAACATATATTAGCCGTATTAAGCACCCTTATCTATAGATATAATGCCTTCTAAAGGGGAATATGATCCCTCTGAAACAGAAGCAAACGTCGCTGGAATAAACATACCTATCTTGAGTAACTATCGTTTACAACGGTATAAAATAAAGCAACATAGTGTTATTAGTATACGCTCTGAATAACCAGTTCAGCTATAATAGCAAGTCATGTTCAGACTATCAAGTAGGCCTGTCCTATGCAAAGAACCGTTTTTGAACTACACCTCAACTCATCTCCTCCCGCCTTTCTCATTCCATCCGCCACTCTCAAGGGACTCTCCATATCATCCACTAGATCGCGCCAAAGATACAGAGTCAACGAGTCGCTGACACTTAGCCTAGGACAACTGAAGGCCAGAGTAAGAGTCGATAGCAGTCTTCAGTGAGCCATCGAGAGAGTCGGTCTCTTCTTGCAGGCGTTGGGCGGCAGACTCAGCCATGTCGATGAGGGAGAAAGCAAGAGACTGTCCAGCGCGCACTTTGTCAGTATATGGGCAGTCAAGGATGGAAGGTGCAATCTTTGTATGGACTTACATCGACAACGCCCTCGACAGCACGAAGGACTGCCGCGACGGGTTGGCCGATAAAGGGAACCGTGCTAAAGAGACCAGACTTTCCAATAAGGATGTTGAGCAGCTCCTGGTGGACCTTGACGAACTGTGTGCACAAAGTTAGCCCCAGATCATGTTCTTCCCAAAAGTGAAAAGTGGTACTGACAGTTCGGAAGGATTCAAAAATAATGTCGGAATCCGCAGGGCTGTACTCTTCCGGGTTCATGCCGTTCAAGAAACCAGTGCCAACGTTCACGATTTCGGTGAAGCCTTGAATGACAGGCTGATTCAGTTAGGTCAGTTGACATGATCCCACCATGCGCGTGTTCACGTGTGATCACTTACTGGGAAGTTGCCTTGGCCAGTGAGGAGAAGGGGTCCATCCAGGATAGAGAGCGACTTGGCAGGAGTCTGGAGGTCACGGGACAGTGCCGTGATCTGCCCAATGTTGTCGGCGACCTGCTGTGCAGGAATGCAAGAGGCAATGGTGGCCATGCCAGCGACGAGGAGAGCTGTGAAACGCATGTTGCTTAGATGGAGTCGCTGAGTAGGGGTGGCTGGAGGTTTGGTTGTCTGGTGTTCTTGTTGCGGGAGAAGGAAGGCGAGTGAAGGGAGATGTGCTTGTGAATCTAAGTTGATCAAAAGCGTCGGCTAGAGTTGGGTGACTGATGGGTATTTATACGCGTCTCATCAGGACTGATTGCCTTCGTCTGACAGAGAACCTGCTCAATATTCATGTTCGTGACGATCAGTGCTGGCCGTGGCTGGGGCTTTCCCATGCAAGTCTCAGTTAGCTACTTTGTACGTACCCGACGGAGTGTGGAAACACGTCCGGTAGATTGAGACCGTGTTCCTTCCAACGCATCATGTTGGCGGAGACTATGTGGTTGTGGAAATGGCGATGCGCAGACTAGGCCGGCATAAGCATCGTAGCCAAGGCGCCAGGGGGCCGGGGTCCTGTCGGCAGCCAGGCCAGCCGACGGCCCGGGGCGGTAGTTACGGTCGGCTCACGCAAAGATCGTCGTCGGAGTTACTCTTCATGGCCGGCTAGTCCGATTAAGTACCATGCTGCAGATCTTCACTGGGCTGAAGCTGATGGACCGCAGCTGAAGACATGGAGTCAACCCCATGCGACCGCTCCAGCATTGGGCGTTAGTTCTGCGGCGACAATCAGGTGGATGAATCGCACCGCCCAAGCAATCGACAGCGCTCACGGTTAACAGAATCAATCACACCGATGTCAGGCGATGAGAGATGTGATACTCCAATGCCCTGGCTTGCCTAGGTACGTGGTGCATACTGCCTATGGCCCCATTGGCTCGAGTTGAAATTGGGAATGTTAGCTAGTGTGGACCTCATGCATGTCTCTTCACATCGCGATGGAGAGGTATCATCATGAAGACGATCATTGTGGACATGAAGGTAATGTGCTCACGAGAAGGCGCGGTACCAGCAGCTGGTCTGTACGTACTACGTACCAGACATACTGTATAGAGTAGCGCCTCCAAGGACTAGCCTGGGAGACCCAGCTTGCTGAGTTCAATGGTGGCATTTCGAGAGCCCCAGATGTGATGCTACGCTAACGTCGCCTGGGTCCCGGCAGGACTGCACACAGGCAGACGTGGACATGTCACCCGAGCAGCCAGCCTGACGCCCCTACACTAGACCGCCCAACGTGGTGTTGTGTTGTCGTTGCGGTGAAGCCGCTGCTTGCGGGGCGTCGACATCGTCGACGGACAAGTTACTTGAGTACACTTTGAGCCAAGGAACCCTAGCCGGTTTGTGATACTTAGGTGATCTGAAGTACCAGCTTCCCAATTTGCCTGCCTTCCCAGATACGCTGCACAGCTTCCTCTGCTTGTTGAAAGTCGTAGACATTCTCGACAATGTCATCAAAAGTGAGATTCGTCGCCGTGACGGCATCCGTCAGGTCGTTGAGGTCATTCACCGAGCCTGCGTTGATGCCACTTTTGCAGCGAGTCAGTGATTATTGGCACCGCGGCTCGACTTCTTCACACTCACCGAATGTTGACTCGTCTATCAATAATGGTGGAGACCAGGTCCTTCAAATCCATCGGGTCCTGCTTGCCCAGGTACCCAACCTGGCTGACGGTGCCACCACGACGCGTGCACAGCACACTCTGCACCAGGGACCCGGTGCCGCCGTTCTCCAAGACCAGGTCAACGCCCACACCGTCCGTGAGGTTGAGTACTTGCTCGTGCCAAGTATCCGGGTGCGTGCCATAGTTCACACCATGTATAGGTGTATTGGGAAATGACTTTTGGATCTTCTCAACCTTGGCATCGCTCGACGAGCTGAGCAGGATCCTGTAGCCAGCTGCTTGCGCCAGCTTGAGGGCGAACATGGCCACGCCTCCAGTGCCTGCATATCACCAGATTACTTAGCATGTCTCTTGATCACACATTTCATGCGCACTCACCTTGGATCAGAAGACTCTGACCAATACTCAGCCCTTTAAGAGCGGACCAAGCAGTCGTCCCTGCACACGGCAGTATGCTGCAATTCACCCAGTCAAGCGTCGCGGGCAACCTCGCCAGCACACGCTGGTCGAAGACGAGATAGTCGGCCAAGACGCCATCCTCATCGGCTGCCAGCCAGGATCTGCTCGACTCCCGACCGGTCAAGTTCTCTGTGTCTGTATTGGGAGCCACACGGTCGCCCACCTTTAGTTTGTTGACTTTGTCGCCAATGGCGATGACCTCGCCTGCTGCGTCGTTGCCGATGATGCCGTGGGGAGTGACAGGCCATGGGTTCCCGCCGTTGGCAATGTTACTGTCTCGATAGTTGAGAGCTACCGCGTGGACCTTGATGAGGATGTTTGTGGGCGCTAGGGGAAGCGGGAGACGCTCAGTGACTAGCTTCAGCTTCGGTTGGCCCTCGGCGTGGTCGTCTGTGCGGCGCCAGGCGCGACGATGGGTCGGTAGAGAGTCTGACATGGCGAGAGTTGTGCTCAAATATCAAATCTCTTTCTCCCAGAGTCAGGGCAGTCTTAAGATACATCCATCGTCGTCCTCGATGCCCAGTACGCGCATCGCGGGGAAGTGGAGAGATGACGCTGCCAATGCCACCCATTAATAATGACGAGGATGATTACAAATGCCACAGCCCACGCAAAAACTCCGATGATCGCCCTCCCGGGAACTCAGAGTCCCGCGGTGACTTCCAGCTTCCGGGCCCCGGGACCGAATGCGGTAATCCGGGACGGTGGAGCTTCCGGTGACGGCACCGGCGCCGGCTCCACGGCCTGGAGCACCACACTATGAAAGGGAGCTTGGGCGATTTTATCTGAGTGTGATCGCCAACTCGTCCGACTTGTACATTCATGTAATCATGAGGCTTTGGCTGCGGCGACCTGGACGAAAATGTGCCCACGGCTCTCCCGCTCCGGCCAATTGCGCGACGCAGGGGTCAATCTGTGTGACTTTAGCTACCCCGAAAGTGCCTCGAGGACACGAAGTATGGCTGCGATTTGAGATATCAAGCCCTAAAGGACACTCTCTCCACAATAAGAGCGTGAAACCTAGAAACTGCCTCTTTCTACGCGCTGACCGCCACTCCACGCTAAGTGGTGGACTGAAAAGACTTGGCTGATTAGTGATACCTGCTGCTTATTTCGTTCCTAACTGCTGGTAAGCGCAGGGCCGTAAGCATGAAAAATAGTATCAACTTCAATTGACGACAGACGAAGCTGGTCGTATCTCAAATACAGTCATTCGTTCCAATCAGGGCCGTGAGATTCCCAAGTCGTTTTCGCGTAGATACGCAGTGAAAAATGTATTCCATATTGTATAATGAACAAGGAAACCTCTTTAGAGGTCGAGTAGCATACAGAGTGTACTCTTTCACCCAGAAGCATGCTGTAATTTTTCTCTCGGGCAGCTCGCTCAGCAGGCATAGGCGGAGATGAAACCACCATGTGAGGTCCGGACTGCCAGCCATTCCTGACTTTGGCTGTCGCATCCACGGTTCCCCTCCGAAATGTGCAACATCATGGCCATCTCCAAGCATGGGGCCTCTTTTCATATTGATCATCATCATTCATTGTGTCGAACGGGAGCATCACACCCGTCTTCTTTGTCTTCAGATACCGAGCTCTGTTCCGTCATCAGCATCCGGGCCTTCAACATTGTCGTTTGAAAACGAAACCATCGCCGGATTCGAATTTCCATGTCCGGATTGACCTTGCCATCTGGGATGTTATCGAAGGATAGAATAATTGGTCCCTCAAACGAGTCGAGAAAGTCGATGAAAGATGGATAAACCCAGGCCATGTCCGGTGACGGCAAATACTGCAGCATTGGGCCAATTTCCTGAAAATGAACGATACAACTCCACCGTGTAGCAAGCCTCTTCAGACTCTGAAGTGCAGGCCTCAGATCCTGCTTGCTGTAGCTCAGTAGCCCAAAGTGGTAAAGCGGTCTGTTCACCATCCTAGAGATAATGCGGGCAGCGTCTGCTCTCCCCGGCGAGCCAAAAGCAACGATGGTTTTGTCCCGCGGTGGACCACCCGCGCTCTTTTCATTTCCAGGGGCATCCTGGCGGCGGTTGAATAGGTCCGTGAGTTGTGTGCGCGGGACATCGCCGAGCACTCGATCGCATACCTCCTGCGGATATGGTGCCAGCTCTTTCATGTTGCGGACTAGCAACCTTTTCCAAACGTGCTCAGTGAGGTGATAGCCATATGTCACATGTGGCCAGCATGCATAGTCTTGTGGATGTTCATCGTAATATTCTTCGTAGTCGTCATAGTCGTCCTCCTCGTGATAGTCGTCCTCCTCGTGATAGTAGTTCTCCTCGTCATAGGCATCGAAATAAGGGTGGCCATAGGAAATGAGAGTCTCCTTGCGCGACTTGACAGTTGATGCCCTGTGACCGGCTTGACTGTCGCTTTTGTACATTTGGGGGTCCAAAAAATACACCCCTTTGTGCTACGCATATGTATTAGCAACGGTAGCAGTACTGGAAAGGGTTGAAGGGTTCAAACCGTATCATCAAGCTCATCCTCTTGATACTCCACGACTTGGCTGCGGAAAAGGCGCTGAAGCTTCCGACCACGGTTAGATAGATAACCGAGGTCGCAGCCGTTCTGAAGGTTCAAAGGCAGTATCGGCAAGTTGCTAAAGTAAAGTTCTTGTGTCTTTTCAGTGACAGCGGCAGGGCGTGGAATATGAAGTACACTTGTCTCCTCGGAAAAGTGGTTGTCACTAGGTCTTTTGCCCGTGATCTCAAGATGCTGGCTACCATCTGCATCGCAGACAAGGCGAGGCATGTCAACTTGTTTGAAAGCACGATAGTCGTCGTCATCTAGACACCGCTCCACCACGATACAATCAGGTCTCTGGATCAAAGTCCGTCAGAAAATCCGGCGCCAGCTCAAATAAAGTTTAAAGCGTGGGTGTTGACTCACGAAGATGAGTGGCAAATGCTCCCACTTGATGGAAATTTTCTGTCGCAGCGCACCATCAAGCTGCTTGTATTCGTCGGCCATGGAGCTCTCAATGTGATCCAGAAAGTCGCGTTCCACTGCCTCATCTTCCTCGAAAAGTTCTTTTTGCCCCGTCGTGGTGCTGAACGGAAGAGGACGCGGACCTTTGAAAAGTGTACGGTGAAGATAGTACCACGCATGAGGAGGTGATAGCTCCATTCCGGATGTGAAAGTAATCCATGCATCATCGAAAGGGCGATCAACTCTTTCATTCAGCTTCGTGGCCAGGGCTGGTGACAGGAGCCTGATCACCGTCTTCTGAGCCGACACACGCCGGAAATGGTGGAGGTCGTGTGAGCAGGCGTATTCTCTGATCTCAACCCACCAAAGTGGAGAGTCGATATTCAGGAACGACTCGAGATCGTTGATCGGCTGTTTCCCGGAAAGATGAAGAGATTTCGGTACCTGCAAAGAGCCGTTGTCCCGGAGAACCATCCACTGATCGTCATGTTTGCTGCTTAGGGCATAACTGGGCACGTCCAGGAACACTCGGGCAGGGCACAGATCGCAAGTGACCCTGTGAAAGGTCTGATGATACTTCGCCATGGAATCTTCGGACGTGTTCAGAATGGGCTGTTGAACATCGACCCATCCCTCTTCGTGAAGCCGCCCTCGTGCAGACTCGGATTGCGCGTTCTCCTGGATCCGATAGAGTCGGGTACTAGCGGCATCGGCAACAGCATCCCGCCCTACCATCCTGGCCCTTTCGATCATCTCAAGGTCTGCAGGCTCGATAATAGATTCAACCTCATCCTGGATGTATCTCCTCTGGCGCTTGCGCACATCCATATCTGATCGTGCGGTCAGGGATTCAAGGTCGTCGATAAAGTCTTTCAGATGTTGAACAAGGTCGCTGAACCTGCTCTTACCCTCAATTGCCCATCGAGCTGTTGCAGGAAGCCCCGGCGACTTGTCCGCCTCTGACGTGGGCTGGGGTTGCGTCAATCTGGCCAGGTTTGTTGCCCTCAGCCTTGGCACGAGACCCCTAATGAGCGCGCTCGGTGACAGAGCCTTGCCCGTGGGAGTGGCGTCCACAGCCCTTAATCCGTACCGTTGAGAGAGCTTGCTATGATTTTGGAACAAGCTGGCAATGTGGCCCAATGTCTCTTCCACGGCTGAAACCACTTCGTGACTCCAGGTCGGGCACCCATGATCTCCGGGGTCGTCGCCTTCAACAAGACCACATGCTCGCCCCCACGTCCACAGTCGCAGGCGCTGGTTGCTGTACTTTGTCTCGAGAAGAAGGAAGTCGGCGCCGAAATATCGACCGCGCTGGATAAGCTCGAAGCACTCAAGGCAAGAAGAAAACAGACCCGCCAGGCCTACGACGCCGACGGTAAGACCGACAGGTTCCATGGCCTCGTCGCAGGTCGCGCCCGATTTGATCAATGGTGGTTTGGATATCAAAGCAAAAGCAAAATGACAGACACGAATTTCAAGCAGCAATGCCCTGATTATGTACAGGTATAGCAGCGAATCAGCCTCGTCTTCAGCTTCAGCCGCACAGCCACCACCACCTATAACAAGGCGGCCCAGTATCGAGGCCTATCCACGTCATCAGTCATCGGGCGGCAACAGAGCCAATGAACCATTGATCGAGTACCTGCTCGCACGCGCGCACGCGTGTTCGCACTCGACCAAAGCCTTGCTAGGTACATGCTGCGGCCATTGCATGCTGGCCTTGAATGAGGCAAATAGATGCGCCCCATTCAAGTGCTCCATTTCGTTCGGTCCAGGACCATAAAGCCATAGGAGACGGGTCATTCTTATGAAAGCGGGGATGCGTAATTCCAGATCAAGGTTGAGTTGACAGTCACTATGCCTCGTCACAGATAATGTGAGCGATGTGGTCTCGCACATGTACATTCGGCAATACGTGTTCAGGGTCTTGTAGGCGGTATAAATTATATGACTTGGCATGTTCAGAAGCCATGCGTATCTTGATATGTTCCTCATAGCGGTACGACCCGTCAAAGCAAGTGCAATACGAAAACAGCCTTCACACTGGACCTCACCAGATACCTGCAAACCACCCAGCCCTGCAAGCACTTAAACACGGAGACCACGAGCCATATTGCCATCACAGACTGGAGGCGCAGTCCTGCTGCTCGTGTTCTCGACATCAGGGCCAGGGTTAGGATAGAGGACATCTGAGCCCTCGACCGTCCGGCAGTTATTCCCCTTGCTCCCGACATTGGCCACGAAGATATCCGGACGCCCGCTTAGTGAGCCACCGTTGTGTCCGCCGATGGTGACATGCGCGCAGTTCATGTACATCTCGCGATTGCCGATATTGTTGTGCCAGCTCCAGGCGAGCAGGGCCTCCCCACTGGGGGCATCGCTGGGGACGGTGAAGGGCCAGTCTTTCTTGAGCGGGCAGTTGCCGATCCAGCTCTTGATGACCTTCCAGGAGGCGCCGCCGTCGTAGGACAGCGAGGCCTGGCATGAGCCACCGTTGTGGGTAGCACTGCCGACGATGGAAAGGGTCTGCTGCGAGCCTGGTGATGATACTGTTGCAACCAAAGACTCTGAGAGGCGGCTTATCTTATACTCGAATCTCGCTGCAAAACCTAGTTACAACCTCCCACGATGTCACAGTGTAAGCTTGAACGCAGGTCTCATCTTGCTGCTCCCATAGCTTCCGCGCCATGACCACTGGCAACACGTCGATCACTCGAGCTCCCATACAGAATAGTCTAGAGAGCTTCGCTATCATTTTGCGAGAGGGGGATGAGGCATGAGACCGAAACGTCCCATCGCTAGGGGTAGATTTCCCTTCCTTGATCACATACAGACGAGACGTTACGTTAGACCTGCCACTTTGAGCTTCATATAGCTGAGAATTATTGACAATGACCTTCGTTCATCTACCGTGCCAAGGAGAAGGAACCGACGTCTCGTGCCTCAAGTGTCAAGCTCCCATCATGACATTCTAACAGGTGCATCTGACCTCCTGCTCTGCTGTCTGATAATGTTGAAAACTGTCACATGTTCCTTTCCCTACAAGATTTCTCAACTTCCTTCTTCTCTTGTTGTTTTCCGTCAACGGCAACGTAGTGTAGGACGCTGTGTTCCTGTCGACCCGTACAAGCCCCGGACTGCCTAGCTCCGACCATTGGCTGCTCCTTGTCCTTGGAAGCATAAGTCTTGCCAATCTCCAGCTTCTTGGGTGCAAGTACAGTTCTCTCCATGCGTCGGTGATATGCATGCCTCTCAATTGTTGAAACGCACATGTTTGCAGGCAGACGTCGGTACTTGCGGTAATTGTCTGACACAAGCATCTCCGTCTTGTTCACTGCCGACTTTTCTCTACCGCAAACTTTCCCAGTGCCTTCTCGTGCGTTCATGCATGTCCTCCGAATCCAGGGGTAGCATCGTGTTCCCCAGACCTATCCACAAGGACCCAATTCGGCAACAGAGCATTTATTTCAACTGGCCGAGGGCTTGACTGAAAGGCACAACAGTAACGTTACCTCGTAGTGTGCCATATCTGCCCTTAATGCTTCGATGCTACAGATGTTACAGCCCAGTCTCGTGGATAGAACCACCAAGCCTGACGTTGAGAAGTTGACAGGCTGTTTCGACCTGCACGATCCGGGAGATTATTGCGCAACGCGGATAATTCCCTCGGCGCACATAACAGTGCAAAACGCTGTCTCCAACAAGGCGTGTTGCGATTCAGATCCTAGAGTGACCAGAAATATCCAGGAGTAGATATAGCCACGGCGCTGCTACTTCTCTTGCTGGAAATGAATTGCTTGTCTGGGGATCAAGTTATCTAAACTGGTCTGCAGTAGCATCTCAGTGTGTTGTAAATCTTCAAGATAGTACAAATACCACAAATATCACGTTAAAAGACAGAATAGACACAGCCTATCCCTCAACTCCCATCATTCCACTCTCCAGGGGCCTGCAAGTTCACAGGAGCTGTGATCACCTCCGCGGTCAGAAGATGGCTTGTGGAGCTCAGATGCAGAACTTCTCAACCGAAACCCAGCTTTTCTCCAAATCAGCAACAAGCGTCTGCCTACATGTATGCTTGGTAGCAAGCACGTAAAGTGAGCCAGCGAGCCCAGTGCCGCGTTCGACAGATGACAGGCATTGTGCTGTACCTTTTTCTCAATGTCCCAATTCAGCATGTTAAGCTGAGTGCAAGTGCATTCTTCAAGGTGCTAGTGCAGCGTTTGCTAGCCCCTCACGTTGACACTTGTGTCTTAGGCGCTATTGCTCGCTCCTTTCGTCACAAGTAGCCACCACACAGCTCCGTGCCTGAACTTTGAGGCATTGGATAGCGCCGTCGATCCGAACTTGTCCTTCAGGTTGACATCCGCTCCACTCTCGAGCAGAAGCCGCGCTGTAGCTTCGTCACCACACCCTATCCCTGAGGCCTTTATGAGTGCCGTTGATCCATTACTATCCCGGGCGTTGACATCTGCCCCCTTATCGATGAGATACCGTACCACGGCTTCTCGCCCAGCCTTGGAGGCATACATCAATGTCGTCCGTCCCGGATTGTCCCGAGCGTGCACATCTGCTCCGCGATCAACAAGAAGCCACACCGAGGCTTCATGACCCGCTGCAGCAGCAAACATTAGCGGTGTCTGTCGCTCTATGTTCCTAACATCAACGGACCCGCCGCCCTCGTCAATAAGAAGCCGGGCTATGGCGTCGTGCCCATAATGGGATGCTATATGAAGCGGTGCTGTTAGGTCATGGCGCCAAGGAGGGTCATAGAACGGCTTCCTTGGGAGACGGCCCTCAGGAACTTCGAGAGCCGCTCCCTTTTTGATGAGAAACCGCGCGAAGTCTTCGTGTCCCTTGTACGATGCAAAATTTAGTGCCTCTGTGCCATATGACTCCAATTCCGCTCCGTTGTCGATGAGAAGCCGCAGAATGCTTTCATGGTCGTGATAAAAAGCCCTGAAGAACGGAGAACATCCCTCCCCGTCGGTTTCGTTAGGGCTTGCTCCATTCTGTAGTAAGGCCTTCACAATTTCGCACCTCCCAGTTTGGGCAGCCCATGACAAGGGTGTGCGACCTTTGAATTCCTTCGAGTCCTTTCTGCATTTCAGCCCTCTGGTGATATCGCGGCCCTCGAAATCGGCCGAAGGCAAGCCTAGAAGGGCAGCTACCGTATCCTTATGGCCATTAACCAGGGCGGCGAAGAAAGGGTGTCGGAATCGCTCCCCGGGAACCTCCTTTGGTGTCTCTGTTTTCATTCGCGAACGAACAAGTTGGTCTAAGCCTTGGTCCGCCAAGACATAAAGAGCAGGTGTGTGCAGATTATACTGCCTTGCTTTGTATCTTTGGAACAGATTCATTGCCTTCACCCCTTGTAAATCGAAAAACTGGGAAACGAAGGTATCCTGGGGAACCACTAGCGCCGCAGCGTTGGCATGGTGAAGGGCCTGCTGACTGACATATTCTAGGAATGGAAATTCCTCTTCCATGGCGTTTGGTCTGTCGCCTTCTGTGCTTGCCTCGTTGATGATTGCCTGTACTCGATGGTGCTGCAGATATGCATGGCAGCAGCTTCTGAGTCTTTCCTGGCACAGGCTGTCACGATCGGACGAGTCATATCCAAGGTCTGGCCACAACAAGGATAGACCTTTATCCTTGAGAAGAAAGTCACGGACCGACTCGTGCATGAATTGGACAGTAGGTGTTTCACTTCTTGTGAGTTCAGCGAGGCCTTTGGAGGAACTGATTATGAGCCTCTCTATGCTGCCATTTCGGTATCGGGCGGGCGTGTCTGGTAAATCTTCGTCGATAAATTGTTCCTGATAAAGGCCAGACCAAAGAGCGTGGTCAAATTCTTGAGGGGATAGTGGTTGTTTCGCAAAAAGGATCCATAGCAAGCAAAGGAGGAGCTCGAGATTCTCCCCATCTGACCTGTCACTTTGGTCTCTTTTCAAGATGTCCCCGAAAAGTTTACTTAGATCATCCGGGATCTCTGCCAATCGTCTCTGAAGAGCCATCCCGCCGCGGCTATTCTCTCTATTGAGAATATCCACGACGAGTTTGACCCACAGGAAGACCCCACCAGCTTTTTCGAGTATCTTTAGTTGCATTGTCTCTTTAAGGCTCGGGTCGTTGATTCGAAGTCGATTGTTGACGTATCTTGTCAAGTCCAGCTTATGCTGGAGAAGATCCTCCAAGATAACTCGCTCTCCTCTACGAATTTCTATGTAGGGATAATGCCTACTGGAGAAGCACACTCGGAAGTTGATCCCTTTTTGGAAGCTGCTATCGGCAAGATCCTCAAAATACTGGACCATTTCGATAATCTGCTGTTCGTCGCTTTCGTCCAAGGCATCGATAAAGCAGGTGAGCGAGCGTTTGCCGAGCGAAAGTACGGCAGTGCGAAAGATATCCTTTAGAGTTACCAGCGCAAGACGTTCTGTCTGCCGGGGACCAATGTCGTGCAGCTGTTCCAGGTTCATGGGCAGACCCATGCTCTTTTGAAGAAGACGGTAAAGCAAGGAGCGGTACATGCCTACCACGGACTTTTGAAGGTATGTGCCTCGCGCATTGAAAAAAAATGAGAGGGAGATGCCGCGTTTCCCATCCGGAGGCTTGAAATTCGAAAAGGCAAATTTCATGATAGTCGACTTGCCAGCACCCGGTTTGCCGCGAATCCACAAAAACCCGCGATGTTTTGGAAGCTGCGTCACATCGAGCCATGCTTTGTAGCTCTCGTGCTCCGTTATCCACCGGCACGTATCAGCTTGCGCTTCCTCAATCGTTTTCTCACGGACCTTCATATCATCGAATGCCAGCTGTTCGAGGAAGCGCTTCTTTATCGATGCTTGGGTGTCTCCTGTGGGGACGTCACGCTCACGCCTACTCGCCACAGGCATGCGGCAGCGGTACTCTTCCAGCAACTCTCGAGCATAGGAAGCCGCAGTGGCGGCCGCATATTTCTGCCAATCGTCATTCTTGTGGGAGTCGGAGTAATCGGAGATGCCTCGGATCACGAGACAAGGGAGGGTGTCCACAATCCCGGCTGCCTCCATTTCAAAACACATGACCTGCAACTCCTTTCCGATTGCGTCTCGCTTGGTTGCGTCCTTCATCAAGTGACTGGCCGATGCTATTGCTCCATAGTGCACCTTCGGGTCCTTGGATATTCGCTTGCTGCGTGGGACCTGCTGCGAGAAGTCGCACTTATCGCAGGTAGATGTGCCAGAGCTGTGTCTGTATGTCTCCCGGAAAAGACGGTCTTCCAAGTTCGGACGACAAAAATCTCGGTATTTGCCAAACTTATCGATCATAATGGTAGGCAAACGGCTAACGTCAAGCTCGAGCTTGGACCGCAAGCTTGTGACGAGCGTACCAAGCTTGGACGGCAGCGGCCTGGGATACGCCTTTCGTTGAAATTCGTCGTGGACGTATTTTCCTAAATCGCTCTGCATGATCCTTGTGCCAACAACGACATCTCCCAGACGCAGATCAGCTATCTTTGGGGCTCCTCCACCTATGCCAACCATAAGAGCAATATCGATGCACTTGAAAGTTCGGTGTAAATTTGCTGCGACGTCTGCTGCCTTGACGAGTCCGTCCTGACCAATTGGGAGACAAGCAATAACGACGTTGTGTTGCCTTATACCGCCCAAAACATAGCTGTTGCTATCGTTCCTGTCCTTGGGAAGCGTGTCGTGGATTTCGTCGAGCACGGCGCGCGCTGCTGCCATTTCGATGGCCAGCGCACATATCCACGCAACAGTGTAATCTTCGTGCTTCAACGCGTGGCGTCGTTTTATTGAGGGTTCGGACTCGTCATTGGAGCATTCGTCGCGAACCTTGCGCCGCTTGGGGGTCGGTGAAGGAGACTGGACGTCCGAATCGCGCCTCGTTGGGTAAAGGGTAGCCGTGAACTTGGGCACCGTAACCTCATCAGATGCCTCGTCATCGGACGATATTACAATGATTGAATCCATCGTTGACCTTGCAGTGATGGAGCTGAGTTGGAATTGAGAGACTCCACGAGGTGGGGAGCAAACTGAGTCCAAATCGATGAATTGTTGGTCGCGGACTCGAGGAGGAGGCAGTCGCGAGTGGGGTTAGCGCCTGCGCCTCACACCCGAAGGAGCGGACGACAAGGCATAAGACACTCCTCAAGCCGATGGGTAAGAGGAATATAAGGGTAAACGAGATCTGATTAGACTAAGTGCGATGCAGAGGAGGTACTTACAAACATGGAACGTATACTACAGCCCCTAGGGATTCCAAATATTAGCGTATGAACTGCAGCTATAGTACAAGGATTAAAGCTACCTAATCCCCCACTAAAGATAGCCGAAGAAAGAAGTATCTCTAGGATCCGCACCACTTCTATAATCTGATTCATAAATTATAACTAAGTTAAACACTATCCTTAGAAAAAGCCTTTGATCACAAACAAAGATAGCCGAAGTAAATCAGAGTCTATTCATAAGCTAACATTTGGAATCCCTGGGGACTGTATAAGCTAGGACATTTCCCGTACGTACTTTGAGTCTTTGACCCACAGCCGGCCCGTACCGCTATTCCCGCTAAATAAGCAATTGAAAGACGCAAAACGTGGCACGTGTGCCCACTTGAGGCGCCCCCTACTCTAATAAGGCTCCGAGGCCTCGCTAACCTTATTCCTCCTTGTCATGGCTGCCGCGGCGCCGCTTGTGCGTCGACTATAGTTGCGAAGAAGCCGAGAAGCGCGACTCGATGAGGCGGCTAAAGAATGTCCGTGTTCCTAGTGGCAACGGAGAGGGTAAAAGTTAAAGAGACGCTTAAAGTATCTGTCTGTCTTACTCCGACATTTCCTGCCCTAGAATATCGAGTAATTCGCGATGTACTAGCTTGCCTAAGAACTAAAATCTTATATATAATTACTTATAGCTAATAGTCTACGAAACGACCAGCGGTATAAGGAACTATAAGGTCGAAGCTTATTAAAGGATCCTTCTCACGTGAATCACCCCTCGTGAGACCTTCCTGTATCTCCAATGGCAAGGCGGACCATAACTGTTCCAATCCTACTAGAGCCTCAGAAGCTAGCTCTTTAGCTTGTTTAGGCTGGATGAGTGATTCTAAGATCATCGAGTAAAGGTATTGAGCGCGAAAAAGGCATTCCCGCGACCATGTGGCATTCCCATGGGGATCGAAACAAGTTAGAATAGCCTGCCTAGCAGAATTTGTTAGACAGTCTTGTGTGACGAAAGAATGATAGAGACCTTGCGCTTACCTCGCTTCTGTCATTCTCCCTAGACGATGCAAGATGTAGGCTATCGCGAATGCAGTGTCTCGAGCGTTTCGACTTGAGACCCCAAAAGTTGCCACTCGTACTCGATACACACTCCGTAGTCTCTCGAGGGCTTCTTCAGTTCGCTCTGTCCTGAAGAGGCATAACCCATGACAGAAGTTAAACCGTGTGTGGTCGTTAGCAGGTCCGTCGGCCTTGTCAATAATTTCTGTTGCTTCCTGGCTGAATTCCAGCGCTTCTTGAAACCGTCCCTGCCCAATACGCACAAAGGCAAGGTTGTTCTTTGACTCGGCGTACTCGAACGCTGGAATCTCTTGCTGAGAAGAGAGAACATTTTTCAGGCTCAGAGATTTTGGCAAGAAGAACTCTGCCTTCTCGTACTGGTGCATATGTATATACTGACACCCAACATCGTTATAGGCATTAGAGAGGAGAACCCGACTCCAAAACCTCTCATCCTGAGGTAGATCCATTTGGGCATGTTTTTCGCGGAGCTCCAACACCTTTTCGATTCGTGTAGTTGCATCCTTGCCACCGCTTGCTCCGTGGTTCTGAGAAATTATTCCCCATGATATTGTCAGTGCTGTTGCCTCGAGTTTGTTCAGCTCAGACATGCCGGCATAGGATTCTTTGGAAAGCGATGACAGTGTGCATGCAGCTCTTTCAGCTTGAGCAACTGCAAGACGGTATTTTTCGCAGATATCGACAGACGTAGATGAAACTTCGAGGCCCGTTTCTGCGATGCCAGTTTCGTATAGGTAATTGCCAGCACTAGTCAACAACTTGGCGAAATCAAGTCGACCTTGGATCGGAGTCTCGTCCTGACTGCATGATATGAATACCTCTCGCAGACTAGTAATATGCGCAATTGATTTCTTATAGAAATCCCATTGCCCGAACATGGGAACCATGTACTCTGACAACGGTGGAAATTCCTGTTGAACAAGAGCTACCGCTAGGTCAAATGTATATTGTCGAGTCTGCGGGTCACATTTGAGGTCCGTCAGGACCTTCCATTGCAATTGTCGATGCATCGAATAAAATGGTGGCCCAGATTCTGTTGCATGGTACTCAACAAGGTGTCGAGTCACTAATTGGCTTCGCAGCTCTGGGTGGAACCTTGGCTTGTCAGCTTGGAAGACCTCAACATGGTGTGTGGTTCATGCCGCAATTTGTCAGGCTGTTCAGGAAATTCCAGGCAGCTATCAGTATCGACTATAAGTGGTTCTTCAGAGACACGGTCTGGCGAAAGTATGCTCATAACTCGTAAGACAGATATTGGGAAGTCTCCCAGCTTGCTCAAGGACATGTCATAGGCCTTGTGAATCGGGACTTGATACTGGAAGGTGACGGAATGCGGATCGATACTATGAATGATGCTGTCATTCTTGTTCCAAGAGCGCTGCATGGCTTGAAGGGTTGTTGCGATGGACATGTGTGAATCAGCCATGTAGCCAGCAAGACCAGCGAGTAGCAATGGTAAGCCCCCAACCTCTGATGATAGTTCTCGAACAAGGTCTCTTGTTAGTGCAGATGGCTTGGAAATGTTTTGGAGATGCAGGAGAAGACGTGATCCCTGCTCTTCTGTCAAAGGTGATAAATGTAGCTTTGACCTTGAGCGATGGCCTATCTTTCGGTCCTGGGACGTGACTAGAATGGATCCATGTCCGCAAGCAGGCCAATATCGATTGAGAAGGCTAGAAGCCTCTGCATTATCGAATATGATCAGCCAACATGTATCTTGGATTCTCCGTCAGAATATGCACCAGCATGGTTAAAGTGAACTTACTTTGACACAACCAGAGGCAAGTCTTTTCGACCTGGAGAGCAAGATCTACACTCTCATTTTTTGAATGAAGGCCAAGTAACACTGAAATCTTGCCAAATGCCTGTGCGAGCACGGTCTCATCTTCTGCAGGGATCCAGAAGACAAATGGACAAACTTCCTTGCGTCGAAAGGAGAACTCCAATGCACACTGGGTCTTTCCCACACCCGGCATCCCGTGGAGTACGCAGGACATCTGTTCCGAGGCATTCGGAGCAAGGAGCTGTTGCATCAGCTCCAATTCATGTTGTCTTTCGAAGAAACTGGCTTTTCGCGGCCAGGGAACCGAGAAAAGGCGTGTCGGGGCCTTTGGAAGGAGATGAAGGTGCGGGAGCGTGTTGGAGATGTTGGAGAGCTCAGAGCTAGTTGTAATTGCAAGAGCCAAGCCTGCTTCCGCCTCGAAATGTGCAGCTGCAACGTTGATACGGTTTGTAGCTCTGTTAAACGTTTCTGTCAAGGCGCCAATCTTGAAAAAGCTCATTGTCAAGTGCACTGTCACGAAATTATATCAGAAATTCGAAGCAAGAAAACGAGAGGGGAGAGGCTGGTCACCTAGGATTGGACGTCTAAAGAAATATGCAGCTTGAACAGAAAAGTCCAGGTACGCGGCGTATATGCTATGAAGAGCGGATCGAAGCGGTTGTCGACGTGGGAAAAGTTGCATGTACTGTTCGAAGCGTGGCATGGCGCGACAGATCTCCCCGTACAAAATGACGATCCGCTCTAACGTGGCTGATGTAGCACAGGCAGCCTAGTCGAAGATATTAGCATGGAATAGACAAAGCCTGGAATTGTCGAGAACAGAGATGTGGACCACGTTCAACTCACATCTAGAACGATCTTGAGGGTGCCCCAGACCTTGATACACTGTTATCAGTATCGCCGAAGCGCCGTTGTCGTCTTCAGCATGCTTCTTGGGAGTAATGCTCACTAGGCAGGCAATCTCTGGGTTGGATTGCGTAAACACACCTATGGCATTGCTGAAGGTGCGGAGGTGAGACATGACGGGCTCGAGCTTTCTGAAACACCGAGAACTTCGACTCGAAGCGTGTCTCTGCCGCAAGTCGTCCATGGACTGCTGCATGGCCTCATAGGACATGGACTGAAGCCGAGAGCCCTTGCTATTCACTCTCGCCATTGCCTCGACCGCTCCTGCCGCAGCGTCCGCCCAAATTTCGTGAATCGTTACGTCCTCCACATTGCCCGGTGTAGCCATGTCGACGGACGGTCGGACAGCATGAATCGAGTCAAAACCAGCGTTGTACACGAGTGAATGATGCTCCGGCGGCGGGCACACGACTGGAATGTCGAAATTAGATCTTGCGGTTATGCAAAAGCGGTGTCTTGAGAACCTTTCGGAGTGCGACTGGCAGAAGGGGAAGCCAGAGAGAACATGAAGCTGAAGTAGAAGCTCGAGACAACCTTCAGGCCAATCTGCTGCGCTCTCAGCGTCTGGGGCATTGGACATTGCCTATCCATTCTACGCAGCCTCCCTGCACGTTTCCATCTCCTATGGACGGGCTGGAACGGGTGTGTGACTAACTGCCTGCTGGAGCTGCACTTTCAAGTTATTTGTGTGACGGTGAGGCTTAATAGAGCCTCGCAGCACCGTGCGGCCCGTGCGGTGGGATATTAGGTCAACACCGTACGTGTAGTCCGTGCCACCGGTGAGCGGCCGCCACTGTGCAGGCAGCAGCACAGGCGTGGTATGTGGTTGGGGGTCAACAAGAGACTGGAGCCGGAAATCCGCCTCGTCAAGTGTATCCTCACCTTTCCCTCCATCCGAGTTCTTTCGTGCATTTCTCAAAGAAGCGATTGCGTAATGGCCGTCTAATCAAACTTCTACTTGGGGCGGGCCATCGCTCATGTCTATTCCTATCGCTTCTCGCCATAGCGACTTTCGTCGTCGCACGGCCCGTTCACTTCCTCCCGACCTGATCGCAAGACCCAAAGATTACTCTCCATCACGCCAAACACCCGCTGTTGTCACGTATGTGCTAGATCTTCCATTCAGCCGATTCTCGTGCAGAACTAAATAATCGTAGCCCGCCACGACTATTATTGGGGAGAGTCCTATCGCCAACGTCATGAGACCCCTTCCCTTGATGGAGCGCCTTGACAAGGCAACTACAATCATTGCCCAGATCTGCAATATCTCTGGTAGCCCATCGGCATCTGTTGGAATTCTCCACCACGACGAGATGATATGGGACCATGGTTTCGGCTACAGAGATGTTGCTGCACAGAAGCGACCAACCCCAGACACGATGTACGGGATCGGTTCGCTAACAAAGGGATTGGTGGCTGCAGGTCTAGGACAGCTATTTGACCGAGAAGCTGCCCTGAGTTGGTTATCCCCAGTCCAGGATATTATCCCTAGCTTCAAACCGAAGAGTCAGCAGCTTGACGGTATAGTTTCCGTAGCGGATTTCTTATCACACCGGACAGGCTTGCTTGCGGATATGTCCGTGGCATCCCAAGGCGATATGGAATTTCTTCTGGCCCCAAAAGACATGATCCCTACTATCGCTAACCTTGATTCTGTTGCTCCGTTTCGACGGCAGTGGATGTATAATAATTGGGGGTACAGCATGGCCGGTGCGGTTATTGAGGAACTTTCCAAGCGGCCGTTTTACGACCATGTCAAGGATGTGGTTCTCGACCCTCTGAATCTGTCTAGTACTACCACCAGACCGGTCGTGGGAGAGGACTCGGACTTTGCAGAAGCATACACGGCTCTCCATGATGCAAGTTTCCATCCGCTCCCGAGGGTGTTCCCGTTCAAAGGGAGCGTTTTTGAAGCCGCTGGAGGTATGTATTCGACGGTCAATGATCTCCTGAAATACGCCAAAGCCGTGCTCAAAGCCGAGCGCGATCCACAGTCCAGCTCAATAAAAAAATATGCGAATCCTTTGGAGCAACCAAATTCCCCTCGACAATCCGTCTCGGGATTGCCGCTTCTATGGCATGGGATGGATCGGGACACAACTTCCTGGTGTGGTTGGGCTTCAGGGAGACAATGCGGACCTTTTCGACTGGGACGAGCTGCCAATTTTAGGTCAAGACTCGCAGCCCATGATGACTTACTATCATCAAGGCGCCGGTCTTGGGTACTACTCGGCCATATTTACGTTCCCCGAGACGCGGTCCGCTATTGCCGTGTTGACCAACTCCATTCCACTCAATGATGCTGCTGATTGGATCGTCCAAGTCTTGGTATCGGCGCTCTTCGGGTTCCCTGAAAGGGCTGATTATGTTCATCTTGCTCAAGAAAGTCGCCGCCGCAAATTGGCCAACGTGGCTGCGATGAAAGACGAGTTTGACAGAATCAGAGAGGATCATCCGGGTAAAATGAAGCCATCGAAAGCATACGTTGGCAGGTTCTTCAATGCCGTACAAAGTTTTTTTTATCAAAGTCCGAGAACAGGGACAATGCTCCAACTGTTTGGAAATTTCCTTCCAAGGAATGGACACCCAGGTCTACAAGCTGCGTCATCTCACAACGGACGTCTTTGAGTGGGCAATGGAATACGACGAGTCCGCTCGGAGAGCAAGGTTTACGATCTGGGACCCCAAGTACTTCGAAATTGACTTCCAATTTGAGGGTGGTGACAAAGCTGTCTCGTTGAGATGGGCCAAATGGACAGACCTTAGCCCGGAAGGAATACCGATGAATAGGCAGGTCGAGGATGTCACTAAGTTCACGTCAGACACTGGGACGAATAACGACTTAGAGCTATAGCCGACATTTGGTAACATCATGCGTCCTAACTGAGGTAGTGTCACGCCTTTAGTGAGAGCCAGTGCCTGAGTTAGCCTTAGCTTGTTTCAGTCGCTGGTTGCTAGATATTAGAATTCTCTTATTTGATCTATGTGACCATGAGCTAAGGCGGGATCGGGCCGTGCACAAAGATATCTTCAAGCCTACTAGTCGAGCTTCTGTATAATTCAGATTAGGCTGTCACGAGGACCTGAAGTGTTGGCCTCATGACCTGGACATGCCTTACGACGAGAAATAAGAACCTACCTTCCTATTTGTTTGACTCTCTTTAAATGAGCAATATATATTACCCAGCGGCAAATATGGAGACCTAGCACAGATTAGTAGAATTACCTTATAAGGGGGATATTATATAAGACTTTAAGGCTAAACCGGGTAGGCAGGGACCTCGCGGCCCTAACACCGTCCCTACTGCGTTACTATTCCCTCTAATATACTAGTCGTAATAATTACGTAGAAACATAGGTATAGAAAATATATACTCTAAGAAGTCCGCTAGAGACCGTAAGAAGTCCTCGGAAATAGAGCGCTCCGGAACTATTATAGTACTAACTCCTTGTTAAAGAGACTTACTGTCTTCGTGGAGGTATATAATATATCCTGGTACCGTTATTACATTCTCCCCGATAAAGTCCGCAGCCTGGGGGAGAGCCAGTGGTAGAAGCCCTAAAGTCCCGCTCAACTCATAAAGGCTAGTTATCGTGATACTCGGATGATCGTTCAGCTTGCTCCTGATAATCTTCTCAGCCTCCCTCTTCCACCGCTTTTGCCCCCACCATCTATCTACGTCTTCACAGATCCTCCTCCGATGACGCCTCACCCGGCAGCCAGGGGAAGCCCTCTGGTGGCGTCGCCGGCCTGTCTGCCCCGAGAGCATATGGCCACAGGGCGTCACCAGGTCCTTGTGGTGTGGCGAAGACGTCTGTATTTTCACGCACGTCTCCCCTGATGTGAGCCGCGTGCTCCAAAAAGTCAGAAAAGACGGAGCGGGCCATGTCGTCGTCCATGGCCATGATGGACCCGAGATCCGGTGGCAGCGGCTCTAGCTGCCATGTCTCCTGGATCGAGGCCACCGTATGCGCCACCAGCGCGTCCACCCATCCCAGGTCCCCCTCGCCACTGTGTCCGGCCTCGCGCAGGAAGCTCTTCAGGTCGCCGACCAACTCAACGGCGTCCCTTGTCCTGGGATCCGGCCAGGCGACGGGCTGCTTTGCGCGAAGAAAGGCGTACCGCACCACAGGCACGCCAAAGGCCGCGTCGGTGGGGATGCGACGCCGTGTGAGGCGGGCACGGCGGGCGAGCGTCTTGGGGCCAACGTACCATTCGTGCGAGACGACGAGGACCCAGCTGCCAGGGTCCAGGCCGGTGAAGAGGGGCCAGCATGGGGCGACCAGATTCTCAGCTGGGATGGGGGTGACGGCGATGCCGGGGAGGGCCTCGTCCTCGTCCTCCTCCTTGGGCGGACACGCAGCGAAGCTGGTCAGGAAGCGGTCTGCGTGCAGGCGGGTACAGTACTGGAGGAAGCCCCGAACGAGACGTTCCGGTCCTAGGAGGCCGTCACCTAGGAAGAAGTGCAGGGGTCGGAACTGAGGCGGATGGCCGGCCTCGCGGCCTTGCGGGCCCGTGATGGGGTCGGTGAACTGCTGGCGGACGAACATGTGCTGCACGGGGTAGGCCCGGGCTAGACTCTCTGAGACCAACCTGTCGCCCCGCACGTCGAGGAGCCAGGGCTTGCGTCGGAGAGGTGCGGAGAAGGCCCCCGTGAGCTTGATGTGCTTAGAGCGGAGGATGTGTGGTGCAAGGGGGGAGGCGCAGATGGCGGCAAAGGTACGCGAGGAGAGCTCATCATCGGATCGGCTGGGATGGGCTAGGAAGAAGATGTCTATGATATCGTCCGTCTCGCTCAGGATCTGGAGGAGCGCCTCGAGAGAGCCGGTGCACTCGTCGATGGCTAGACTTAAAGCGTGAATCCCGGCGAGCTCCTCGGACCGGAGGGATGTGGCGATAGCTTCGAATTTCAGGCCCGTGAAACCGGCTAGGTTGAGATGTGACGCGTTCGCGAAGGCTAGCCGAAGGAGAGGCGAGGCGGATAGACCTTGGAGACCGTGGGGCCTGGCTCGTAGCCTCTCGCTCAGTTGGGTCTGGAAGCCGGGGAGGTCGATGGAGGCCCGGTGAAGATGAGTCATGTCTAGTCCGTCCTGTTCTTCGCCCTCCGCGTCTTGAAGAATCCGGTCGATGGTGGGTTCAAGGTCCCTCCCGCCTGCGCCATCATCTGGGCAAGACGGGACGGACCTTGAAGTCGAGCCACGGCCCCTTCGCTCGATAGACACGGGCCAGATATCTGCCGAGTTGAATTAGCATGCTTCTCACGATTGGGGGTGGGGAGAGGGGTTGGTCACGGTCGAGAGCGTGTCTCGCCACAACGCGGTGCCGTTTTAAATAAGCCAATGGCAGCGAGGACTCGTGGAGGCCAAACTTTGTCATAAATCCCGAGGCGGCCATAGGTGAGCGGGAGGGCGACCTCTCGGCCTCGGGCGTAGGAGGATGAGGGAAGGGGGGCAGGGGCTCGACAGGGTCTATACCCCAGCCAGGGCCTGGGTCGGGGGCTATGTCTGCCACATAGCGGATAGCGGGGGCGACGAATCCGTAGCGTATATCGTCGAGGTTAGACACATCGATAACTACGAGGCCATGCTCGAGCTTGTCGGCGCGGAAGACGCATCTCAGGGGCTGCTCCTGGACGTCGCCGTACCTCGTGTGGTAGAAGTCGTCGGCGGTCAGGGCCAGGCGGAGACAGGTCGAGGTGAAGGGGAACTCGCAGGGGTCGAGGCGGCAGGGCAGCTCGGGGCGGTCGGGCTTGCCGATGCGCTCGGGCCAATGGCCCTTGTATTCCTTGTCGAAGGCGGGCTGAGGGGCGTCGGGGACGGTGACTTTGGGCCCAGCGCCCCCGGCATGTCGATACCAGGCTACGGCGTGGGCCCGCTCGGCTTCCAGGGCGGAGCGGTTAGCGGGGTGGGTTAGGATGGCGACGGCCCGGGCGACATCGTCGAGGGCGTGGCGGACGCGTTGGCCGGGGGCATGGTTGCCGTGCGCCGGGACGTGGCCGTGGCCTTGACGGTAGGTGATGGCGAGAGGGCGGCAGTCGATGGCAGCAGTGTCAGTGTCAGTGTTGGGGGCGACGTTGGCGACGACGCAGAAGAGGAATGACCGCGGGCAGGTTGTTGAGATGGCGTTGCGCGGCATTTGATGGAGAAACAGAGTAAGTGCTTGAGTGAGGCAGAGATGAGGGGGGCTTTGCGACAACTTGAATGTGTCCTGCAGTTGCCAGAACGAAAGGACTGGACCTTCCTAATTCAGGGGTAAGCAGAACCAGGTGCACCGTGCTTTCCCTCGGACGACAGCGGGTTGACCAACTATAAGAGCGGATAGAATACTATTAGTAATAATATATAACTTATTTTTAAACATTAAACTTGTTTTGTTTTAGTAGACTTGTGTATTATCAAAGGCACTATAGTTTAGTTTATATTTCCTATAAGGCTTCATAGAAACCCTAAAGAATAGGCACCAGTCTCAAGTATGCCTCATTATCCACGAGCGAACTGTTATCCGTTGCAAGGCTCAGACGCATTGCAACTAAAATAGCACGGTAGATGAGCAGGTTGTCCAACGGGTGCTGCTCTGCATCCGCATCTGCAGTCCACAGCTGTCCAAACTTGCGCAGCTCACGGACCAGCGAGTCAAATACTTCCTGCTCCTCTGGCGCTCCCCTGCACGGACCTAGAATATCGTCTGCCGCACCGTAGAGGTTTTCCTGCACAATATGCCTTGCATGTGACGGGAACCAGTCACAAAACCTGGTCGTGTCGTCAAGGAGGCGCTCGACGTTTGACCGCACCTCTGGCGTAATGTACCGCAACTCCGCCGGGTCGACACGACCACGCCTCGGTGTCTTGGAAATCTTCAGCCATGGGCATCGACTTCGAAGGCTCATGTCAGCTGGAGACACCTTCCAGCAGGCTGCCGCGGTGCAGCTAAGCGAGAGCCACCTGCACGCCACCGCTCTCCGTGAAGCGCGAGATGCATGCTCGTCGATTCCAAGCCACCTATCGATCCTGTCAAGCTCTTTTTGAAGAGTGGTCGTTTTGTCTCTGGTCAATTCCCACAATGGATCCTGCCATCCTCTTCTCTTGATGTATTTGCGACTCAAGGCGAATACGTCAGGATCGGAAAAGAAGATATCCCCTTCTCGTGGGGTCTTGTGCTCATCCTCGCTACCCGGACGATCTAAAGGCATCGCGACCAAGCGCAACAAGTGCGGCGGCGCGTCGGGGTCGGAGTCTTGAGCAGGGGCTGTCTGCTCCAGAGACCACAGACGACTCAGCGAAATCAGCCCCAGCAGTCTCATGCCAATGTCCATTGTCCGAATCGGAAATAGCTTTGGCGTGAGATGATTTGTGGTCGAGGCCCCAAGGAGGTGCAAACCGCCCTGGAACACGTCCATGTTGATCAACGCGGACGCCTCGGAAAAGGACATGGGCATGGTGCACCACCTCGGCCATGGGACATCGGAGCTAGGGCAGCACTCGAGCTCCGTCAAGCCTGCATCGCTATGCGACCTTTCAATCGCCCTGCTGAGTCGATCCAGGGCATGCGCTCTCCAGTGCCGACCTTGATGCTGTATATCGGAGAGTGGACGCGTGCAGTGCGCTTTAATGAGGATCACCTGATTGCCAATCAGTTTGTGTTGAGGGATGTACCCATTGGCCAGCAAGATGGCCGCCTGCGCCGTTTCATCCCGGTAGAAGTGCATAGATTTTACACCTGTCATCCGCCCTTGGAGACTGAGTCTCAAGAGATGCTGGTCCGAGCGCTGCTTGGGTGTTCCCACGTGGCTGCCACGGGCCCCCAGCGCCCCATACGTCTGCACGACGCCGTAGGTGCCTAGAAGGGGATGCTGTCGGAAGTTGAGGTCAAAAGTCCCGCTGTGCATCGAGGGCGGCCCGCCTCCTTCCTGCGCTCCTATCCGCAGCCGGTGCCCCTCCGCTCCCAGCATGGCGCACAGAGTGTACATGTCCCGGACGGAAGCGTACGCGGGCGCAGCGGTCAGGTCTGACGGCATGTAATCGGGTCCCGAGACCTTCATGTCAAAGTAGTGCGGGTGGTCCAGGCCGAGAATCGTCAGGAAGGCAAGCCAGGTGGCTGGGTAGTACTCGTACGCTTCCTTCTGGACCAGGCTGATCCTCCCTTGACCCCCATCTGGCCTTGCACTGGCATTGGAGTCCTGGTCCTGTTGCCGCCTACTAGTATGTGTCAATGCATCAAAGACGAGTTTGCCGCAGTCCAGGATCGGGGTGTACGCCTCGGATCTAAAGCGCAGCTCCGACATGTTCCAGCGATGCGTCGAGTACTGCGCCCAGGAGCCAATGGCATACTCGCTGCACTTGTGCCTACCGGGACCCAATGTGAGGAATCCCTGGACGATGGTGAGGCCGGCGAACAGGAGGGCGACCATGCTGATGATGGCTGTCACGGCGAAGCTCAAGGGGTCCCAGTTGAACTCATCGTTGCCCCGTCTGACCTCGGCGACGATGCGGTCTGCGGCCTGCACAAGACATTCTGTGACGTTGAGGGAGCCGCAATCGAACGACATGACCGAGAACGTCGGGCCGAGGGTTGATGTTTGTTTGATCGATGGGAAAGGGGGCCGGGAATCATATGTGCTCATCAACATAGAGTCCTCGTTTGCCGTGTTGGCGGCTGAAGTTTGAACATGGGTTGCGCTCGCAACGGAGCCGCCAAGTACGCCAAGAGTTGATCGATTTCAATAGTGGCATCAATAGAAAGCAGAAGGCTTCGATATTGAAGGTAGCATCCGTAAGTACTAGTAGTGTCCAATAGAGTATGGTGAAAGACCAATTGCATCGTCAATCAACAAACCTTATATATACCACCACGGACCCCTCTGGAGGAAATTGGGGCAGTTTCTATTTTGGCGTTGCCAACCCGCGTGTTCTGCATGCAGCACTGCGACTTGCAGAACTAATATGCCTCGTCCATGGGAACGTGACCGTTGGTGCTCTGCCCAAGGGATACGGTGGGATATTAGATCACAAGGTGCCAACGGTATCAATGACCAATTGCACAACCACCACACAACACACATACGCACCCTCGTCATTACAGCCTTACCCAAAGAGCTACGCACGCCATAGAATTCAATTCTATAATAAATAAATTAATTTGCTATAATCTAGCGATAGCAGACTTCGTGATAATAGTATTTATTTTTTATATAAGGCGTGTGGTAGTTATCACGGAGGCGCTAAAGTTCTTAAGCAAGATATATGTTCGTATTTAATTAGTTATAAAGTGAGGCTATAAGTAAGGTTGTAAATAGCTACAAATTTAATCACGACCGCCGCGCCCGGGCGGTTAGCCTAGCTTCACGCTGTGAACGGCGAGGTCGCACCTCTTTATTAACGCTGCCCGCTGTAGGCGCCCTTAGCCTCTTCCTAACTACCTTATGAGGTACCTTAGCGGGTGCCTTATCGGCTGCTTTATCGGGTGCCTTAGCGGGTTCCTTATCGGCTGCTTTATCGGGTGCCTTAGCGAGTGCTTTATCGGCTGCTTCATCGGGTGCCTTAAGGGCGCCGATCTTAGTTAGCAAGAGGTCTATATTATCTAACGCTTTAGACAAGGCCGTCTCGCTACGTGTCCTACCCGCCAGGTCTTATAGGAAGGCTTTAAGGCTAATCGGCTCGTAGGGTGCTAGATTTGGCTTTGATTTAACCCGAATTAAAGCTAGCGTTAATTCCCTTTACGACCGTTCGCCTGGCGCCGTAGACTTGGCCCTCGACCGCGGCTTCCGTGGCTTTAAGGTAGGCTTTTTAGGGCTATCTTCGATAAATTAAAGCTTAATCCACACGACAACCCGGCTATTACTAATAGCCTACTAGAAATTATTATCTTAGCCTAGTATATCCTAAAGGCTATTATTTTTCAAGGAAACCGATATAAACTACCTAGGCTTTTATTTGCCGTTCTTCTAGAAGGACGTGCCGATATATATCATCGACTTATCGAGTATTTTAAGGGTATTATAAAGAATAGAAGGTTTAAGGTATATAGTTAGAAAATCGGCTTTTATAAGGAATCTAAGGTCGGCCTACGAGATAAGTAATAGATCTATTCTACCTACGGCGAATTAGCTATATTTTAGAATATCTAAATTAGCTTACTTATTAATAAAGAGCTCGAGGCTTTAAAGATACTACCTTAGAGCCTGCGACCGGTGGAATAGACTAGCTAGACCCGGATTTTAAGGCTATAAGGATTTTCAAACGGCGAGATAGGCTTGGCCGGCCTTATGGCGATAATAGCCTGCCTTATGTAGCCACGTAGGTTATTAAGGCGATCGCCACGCGTTAAAGATAACGAGGATGATCGGGGTAGCGCTTATTTAGCGATACTACGACCTTCCGACGACGCGTAGCCGTTGATTAACGGCGATCTATATATAGTTATAGGCGTTAGAGGGTCGCTGAACGTATCTAGGGCGTCGATCTCGACTGGCTTAGGCTATCGCCGGCCATAGAAGGGGCAGAGCAGCCCGACGGAGGCAGCGCGTATTCTATCGTATTTTTCGCGTTATAGGTACGTGTCGTAGACCGTAGGAATCGATAGCGGTGGCTCGGGTATTTCTATTACTAAAATAGACGTTAAAACACATAGCCGAAAGTAAGAGATTGATTAGACCTGCCGTTTAATATAATGCCGCCGGTTAGTAGGGAAAGAACGTAGGAAAGGGCTATATTCGCGGATGTTATATAGTGTTATAGGGGGGAAATTACGGTAGGTCTAGTAGTATAAGGATTATATATATATATATAGGCCCGTCGCGTAAGGCTTTAAACACTACCCTATATAGCGGTGAAATAAAGCTTTTCGCGATCTATTCTATATTATCCCCTTCCTCGATAGCCTAGCTTATTTATGCCTGAAATTCGGGCGGTATCGCGTTACTATAGAGGCCTGGATCGTCGAGGTAATTCTGCTATAACAGACGTTAGTATTCGGCAGCGCTACTAGTATGAACTTATAAGATAGCTAAGATAGGCTATACGCCGGAATTTTAGTGCTTTTCGATAATCTCGCGAAGCTTTAAATAAAAGCTAATAAACGGCTTTTTAAGGTTATCCTTTTCTACTAGGTTAGCCTCGAAGCCAAGCCCTTAGAGCTATGCCTTATACTAAGCCTCTATCTCGGCGGGCAGCAGACTATCGATATCTATCGTCTCGAGAGGCTCCTATATTTCGCGAAGAAGCTGCTACTATAGGCTATCGTCGTTATTATCGAAAGGAACGCCCTAGTCCGGGTCAGCGGTTATATAATATAAATCCCTTGGTATGCTAGATCTAATATTAGGTCGGTTCTTCTAGTTACGGATAATATGCCTATTCCATAGATAAACAAAGTTAGTAAGTTCATCGCGGATTATCTCGCCGTAGATAGCGTAGACGGCTACCTAATCGACGAGGCTATCTTCGCGGAAGAGGCTATAGCCGATTAATTCGTTAAAGAAGATAATCTAGCGGTCTATAACGTTACGCCGTAGCTACCGCCACTAAGACTCGATCCTCACGTTCCTTATACTTAGGCTATATAAATAATAGCTATCTAGCCGATCGCCTTAGGCATAATAATAAATATTTCTATCTTTATCGGTATATTTAACTTTCTTAGGGCTAGCTTTAGCGAGTAACGCCTACGCCGCTGCCCATAGCGGCGTCTCTGTGCCGTGGTTAGATCTCGTAAAAAAGGGCCGCTTTTATAGGCGCCGGACGGCCTTAAGATATTATTTTAACGTGCTAAGAGACGTTATTGCTGATCGGCCCACGTAAAACCATATAATACAGCGGGAATAGGCGTCGATACAACCGTAAATCTAGAAGCCGACCTTCCTAAGCTTTTCATAGCTATCGAGGGACTATAAGAAGTTCGGTCCGGGCACGCGAAAGTCGCCTCTTTGCTTAAAGTTACTATCACAGCGGCTAGCGACTTCCTTTAGAAAAGCAGCCCGATAAATATCGTATAAACGGCGCTATAAGACCATAATTTGCCCCTTCTAACGAATATATTAGTATAGCAAGTCCTTACTAAAGCTTAAGGCCGCGCCGCTCCTCTAGAGGTCTTGGTAGAGGAATTCGACGGCGTTATCGAGCCTCTCTTATTATTCTTTAACGGTCCTAACCCGGCGTTTTATACCGTGCTACTAGCGGACCTTCTTTATAGCCGAGAGGTAGGCGTGGAAGCCTCCTTAATAAAGCTCCCGTAGAATCGATATATCGGACAGCCCGAAGTTAAAAAAGAGGTATTTAATCCGATCGATTAGGGCGTCCGAGATATCTAGCGCCTAGTATCTTATATCCAAGCCCCACGCCTTTAGCTAGCGTAGTAAGGTCCGTCTACTAATAATAGGATCACTAGCTTCTTATAGCCGTAAATTAATATCTTCGAGAATATTATTAATTAGGGTATTTAAGAAATAATAGCCGTAAATATAGTCTTCTAAGATAGTTAGGGTCTAGCGGGCTATTAGACGAGGGGCAGTCTATAATACTAGCGCTCTTTTAAGCGTGATTTTTAATATAGTATTCCTACCGTTACTAACGATCGTATTATTTAGAAATTTAAGAATCTAAGTCGCTAAGAGGCCCTTATTGCGTGCATCTAAAATTAAGGCCTGATAATTTTCGATATTCGTTCGTAGCGGCATATTAAAAAGTGTGTAGGTTATAAAGTATAGGAGGGGCCACCGGTGTGGTGTCGTTGCACTGCGGGGGTTGATACCGTTGGCACCTTGTGATCTAATATCCCGCCGTAAAGGGACGCCACTGTGGCACCAGCTGTGACAGCCAAGGCCTCAACGATTGGGTTTATACTTTATACTCGCATGCTTGAGTGAGCTAGGAAGGGGCTGAAATGCAAGACAAGACCAGGTACGGTGGGATATTAGATCAAGAACTGCCACACCGTATCAACCCCTCCTGCCCCGACTGCCCTAACTGCACGCACGCACTACCGTCCTCGCAGCCTTATAGAAATAGCTGCCCTTACCGCGTAATTGTATTATATCGTATCTTATTTAATTTAGCGTGATCCCACGATCGTAGACTTCACGATAATATTATTTATATTGTTCGGAGGGTATATAGTGGTTATTAAAAGTGCGTGGAAGTTCTCGATTAAGATAGGTAGTCGTATTTAATTAATTATAATATGAGGCTGTGTTCACGATCACGATCGCCGCACCCGGGAGGTTAGCCTCGTTTCCCGCTGAGAACGGCGAGGCCGAACCTCTTCGTTAACGCTACCCGCTATAGGAGCCCTTAGCCTCTTCCGTGGCTGATCGATAGCCTATTTAACTACCTCACTAACTGCCTTATCAACCGCTTGATCTACTATATTATCGTGAGCTTCTTCGGCTGCCTTAATATCTATCGAGGCCTCGGATAGTTATCGCGGCGGGCTAGATAGGTTCGTCTCGCTAGGCGTCTCTCGCGCTAGGTCTTATAAGAAGGCTTTAAGGTTAATCGGCTCGTACGGTACTTAATTTAGCTTAGATTTAACCCGAATTAAAGCTTTAGTTAATGCCCTAAGCGACGGACTGCCTAGCGCTATAGATTTAGCCTTCGACCGCGACTTCCGTAGCTTAGTAGTAGGCTTCCTAGGGCTATCTTTAATAAATTAAAGCTTAATCTATATAATAGCCCGGCTATTATTCACTAACTATTTAAAATCGGTTTCTAGGCCGAGTATATCCTATAGAGCCTTATTAAGCCCTAGTTTAAAGGAAATTAATATAAATAGCCTAGGCTCTTATTTTCCGGTCTTCTAAAACGATATACCGATCTAGATTATCGATTTATCGAGTATTTCGATAGGAAGGGCAGGTTTAATATATTAGGTGATAAAATCGCTCTTTAAGAGGAATTCGAGGTTTTCCCACGGGATTAACGGGAGATCTCTTATACCTAGCACGATTAATTATTATTTAAGACCTATTAGTTAGCTTACTAATATAAGCAGAGCTTAAGGCTTTATAGATTCTACTTTATAGCTTACGGCCTATAGAATAGACTAGCTATAGTCGAATATTAAGGCTAAACTTATAGTTAAAAGGTAAGGTAGGCTTAGATAGCTTAGTAGTAGCGAAAGCTTCTCTATATAGGCGTCGTAGGTTATTAAGCCGATCGCGCGATATAGAAGATAACGAAGATCGAGGTAGTATCTATTTAGCGATAGCCCGAACTTCTAACGATACGTATCCGTTAGTTAATATTAATCGGGGCGTTAATATAGGAGGAGGGCTAAAAGGATCGTTAGATTCGACTTCGATAGCCTTAGGCTATCGTCGGCCATAGTAGCTATAACGTAGCCCCTTCGTGATAAGCCTTATTTTATAATATAGTTCGCGATCGGGGTGCTCTCCGTAGCGCCTAGGCAGCGACCGCGGCGGTTCCGGTATATTTATTACTAATAAGAGTATTAGTATTATATTTAAACGTAAGGGAGAACTAATACCTGCCGTTAAAGGTAATACCGCGAGCAGGGAGGGAAAGAACGTATATAAGGGCTATTTTCATAGGTTATTATAGTATTAAAAAGTAGGAAATTACGGTAGGTTAGATATTAAGGATTATACGCCCGAATAACCTCGTCGATTTTAGTATCGAATACTACCCTATATAACGCTTGAAAATAAAGCTTTTAACGATCTACTTGAGGGAAAAGTCTTCTTTATAATCTTAGGTAATTTATTCTTAAAAAGCGGCTAGTATTAAGTCGCTAGTAAGGTCTAGATCGGCCACGTAATTCCGTTAAAGAAGTTATTTATATTTAGTAGCGCTACCTATATAAATCGGTAAGAGACTAAGGACGGGCTGCTAGCCGGATTTTTAGTATTCTTCGATAATATCGCGAAGCTTTAAATAGAAGCTAATAAAGGGCCTTTTATAGTTATATTCTTCCGCTAGATTGGTATTAAAGCTTAGCTCTTAAAGCCGAGCCTCGCACTAAGCCTAAGTCTCCGCTAGTAGTAGACTATCGATATCGATCGACTAGAGAGGCTCCTATATTTCGCGAAGAAGCTATTACTAAGGGCTATCGTTATTATCGTTAAATAGAACGCCCTAATCCGGGTCGGCGGTTATATAATATAAATCTCTAGGAATACTAGATTTAATATTAGGCCGGTTCTTCTAGTTACGAATAATATAACCGTTCTATAGGTTAATAAAGTTAGTAAGTTTATCGCGGATTATCTAGCCGTAGATAGCATAGACCGCTACCTAATCGGCGAGGTTATCTTCGCGGAAGAGGCCGTAGCCGATTAATTCGTTAAAGAAAGTTATCTAGCGGTCTATAACGCCTTATCGGAGCTACCGCTACTAAGACTTAATTCTCACGTTCCTTATACTTAGCCTATATAAATAATAGCTATTAAGTCGGTCCCCTTAGGCGTAATAATAAATATTTCTATCTTTATCGGTGTATTTAACCTTCTTTAGCCCTTTTTTTGCAAGCGCTACCTACGCCGCTGCCTAAAGCAGCGTCTCCGTGCTATAGTTAGATCTTATAAAAAAAAGCCGCTTTTATAGCCGCCGGATAGCCTTAAGATACTATTTTAACGTGCTAAGAGACGTTATTACTAACCTACCCACGTAGAACTATATAATATAGCGGGAATAGGCGTTAATATAACCATAGACCTAGAAGCCGACCTTCCTAAGCTTTTTATAGCCGTTAAGAGACTATAGAAAGTTCGGTCCTAGCACGCGAAAGTCCTTTCTTTGCTTAAAGCTACCGTCTCGCCGGCTAGTAACTTCTATTAGGAAAGTAGCCCTATAGAAGTTATATAGACAGCGCTATAAGACTATAACTTAAGCCTTCTAACGAATATATTAATAAAGGAGGCCCTTGCCGAATCCTAAGATTATACTACTTCGTTAGAGGTCTTGGTCGAGGAAGGCGATAGCGTTATTAAGCCTCTTATCTTACTCTTTAACTATCCTAACCCGCCGTTTTATACCGTGCTACTAGCGGACCTTCTTTACCGCCTAGAGATAGGCGTGGAAGCCTTCTTAATAAAGCTCACGAAGAATCGATATATCTAAGAAGCCGAAGTTAAAGAATAAGTATTTAACCCGGTCGATAAGGGCGTCCGATATATCTAGGGCCTAGTGTCTTATATCCAAGCCCTATGCCTTAAGCTACCGGAATAAGGTCCGCTTACTAATTAAAGGATCGCTAGTATCTTAGAGGCGTGAATTAATATCTTAGAGTATCTTATTAATAAGGATATTTAAGAAATACTAGCCGTAAATATAGTCTTTAAAGGTAGTTAAGTTCTAGCGGGGGACTGGACGCGGGACGGCCTAGGTTACTAGAGCTCTCTTAAGCGTGATTTCTAATATAGCCCTACTACTATCACGAACGATCGTATTATTTAGAAATTCGAGTATCTTACTCGTAGGAAGCCTACGTATCCGTGTATTAAGAATTATTTCTTAATAATTATTAAGGTTAGTGCGTAGCGGTATCTTGAAAATCACGGATATTATTATGTATAGGTGGTTGTGATGTGTGCTGTCGTTGTGTCTGCGGGGTTGATACGGTGTGGCAGTTCTTGATCTAATATCCCACCGTACCAGGCGTCCAATCAATGCGTGCGATTGCCCATCCCGTTGCAGCAAAACCCAATCGAGGCTTGATCTAGAGTCTCTAGACCATGCTGAGGCTGAACCGCTTAACTTAAAGCTGAGCCCGCACGAGGTACGGAATAAGCAAAGACTTGACGCAGCCTAGAGAAGTAAGGTTAATTGGAGATGCCGTATGGCTGCATAAAACCATCAATGACTCCCTGTCTACGAAGGAATCATGAGCAGTGTCTGGACTCCAAGTTCCAACACGCTCCACCATTGACGTCTCAATCCACCTACCCTGGAGCCGTCGATACAGCACCCTGGCACCAGCAGTCTGTATCACTTTGTAAAAGCAGAAATGAAGCTCTTTTCTACTATTTCGGGCCTGTCCGTGCTCGCCCTCGCTCCTATGCCTTCTGCAGTGTTGGCGCAAGATCGCGAGGTATGCTTTACCGAGAGTACGTGAACCCCTGCTCGCCTTACGGATACATAGCAGCGACTGATCCTATGAATCCTTGTGCTAACCTTTCCTGCCCAATAGCACGCGATAGATATCCTTACGCCGTGACGGAATGGTACTGCGGCTCCGGCAGCACTTGCTGCAGCGTCCCCGACGATTCTGACGATGGCGAGCTGCAATGGGGCTGCATTGACACCGACGAGACCTGCTCCAGGGACACGTGGCTCACCAGCGATAACATGGGATTCGAAATCACGGATGACGGATACGGAGACGACGGCGACGACGGCGACGACGGTGAAGACGATGATAGTGACAATGGTGCTCGCGGGTCTGCAGCGTCGTTGTTGGCCGTGGTCGGTGGCGTTGCTTTGTATTGGGCTGCGCTGGGCATGTGAAGTAGATACTCCTTGTCCTCATCAGTGTGATAGAGAACCTGTTTAAAAGAGGCCTCAAGCTGACTGTACCTAGTACAGAAGAGGAGTCGGACGTCTCTCCATCTCTGCGTATGCAATCACGCCGTACGTGTCATCCATCTCCACGGCTTCCCGATCTCCCAGGCTCGATTGGATAACACCATAGCACCAGCGACCTCCCATATTCCGCAGCGCTTGTCTCCTCTCCCGCTCCGTCATTACTGCCGTGCCCTCCATCTTCTCTGTCCATCTCGACTCGGCAACGTACCACATCTCACCCGCAATGCTGCGCGGATCCACAGGGAACGTCGGCCAACTGACAAACATACTTGCGATGAGAACGGCCGCCATGAGAACCAAGAGACCAGCGCTGGTGCGTGCGCATACCACGTGCACACCCTGGGTCTGCGTGAGGTCGTATGGGACGTTGGCGAAGAGCATGGGCAGAAAGTCGGATAGGACAGCCATGGCAGAAACGCCGAAAAGGAGAGGGTCGCGATGCCGTAAGCCGGCGTAAATGCCGGTCACGGAATATGTCGGTCTCTTTGCCAGCACGGATCGTGTTGCGCCTTGAGGTTTATTCGCCATGCGACGATATGGTGCGAGAATCGCGACACCTACAACAGAATTCGTCAGCATCCCCTTTCCCAGTCTTCCCTTCCTGGAGAGAGTGACTCACTGTCGAATATGCATTCCCAACAAAGGATCACAATGACGCCAAGGGTGGAAGATGCAAACCGCACACCAAACCTCTCTTCTTCCAAGAATCCTTCAAGCTTGTCGGAGAGGGCAAATCCAAGATGATAGTACATGATAAAAGACGTGAGAGCCACAAGGTAAATCAGAAACAAAAGGCGCCACCAGATCGTGAGCGCTGCAAACGTCGAAGGCGCTCTCTTGTGTGTCTGGATCTGGCTGTACGGGCTGCCACCGATGGGAGGATACCGAGCGCTCTCCGAGTGACCCGTTTCACTCATCATGGCATCGCATTCTTCAGGCCTTGACCCATGCAGACTGTGCTGCTCTTGGTCATCACAGACGACAATGCCGTACTCCTCGCGGGGTCCGTTGCGAAACCAGCCGAGGCGAAAGTGCATCTCGGACGTGGCCGTCTTGATGGCCGCAAAGTCTAGCGCGATGAGAGACCGTATCTCTGGATTACGGCATAAACTTGCCGCACCAGCAAGACACCAGGGGTCCGCAAAGACACCTGTCTTCCACGATTGAGAGACAATGAGCAGAAGAGCCAGTAGCAGTCCCACAACGGTGCCCATCAGACCAAGAAGAACGTACGACTCCAGGGGCGATACTCCCAGACGAAGTGCACAGCCGACTGCATATTTCGATTTGCATGAGCCGTGGAGCTTCAAGCCGATCGCCTCACACGCCACCGGTGCCAAGGCTGTCGACAGCCAGACGGCGAGCGTGGACAAGAGAGGGACGAGGTGGCCCTTGGATAGCATGCCAAACGGCCGCCAAAAGCCCTCCCAGCCATCGAAATGCAACGTCAGCGTGTCTTTTCCGGACGCGCCCCGAGGGTGGGACAGGGCGGCGAACGGCTGATACAACTTGGCGGTCATGTCGACGGCCCGCACGGCCAGGGCGACAATGACAGCCACGAGAGGCGGGAGGAACTTTCCTATGAACACTTCGGCAGGTCGGAGGTCATATTCCGTACCCTCGACAATGATGAGCGGATCGGAGCCTCCCGTCGGCGTGGAGATCACGGTGATCACTGCCTTGGTGGGAGGAACGGATGATGTGCGCGTGATGGGAGCCGGAAACGTCGTCGAGGTGGTAGGCAGTCCATCCAAACCGACGGTGACCTGGATAATGGGCGGTGGTGTCTCCACGGACGTCACAACTGTGCCCCCAATCTCGCTCGTGAGGGTCCTGGTCACAGAGTCCTGTATCTTCTCCCCATTTCGGTCGACCGTGAATGTCGAGAAGATGGTTGTTTTGCCCAGCTTGACATATGCCTCGCCGGGTTTGGTGGTCGTGACCACAACGTCGGTTGTGACTGATGCGCCGCTCTGTACGGTCAAAAGGAACGTCGTTTCGGATGGTGGAAGCGTGCTGAGAATAGGCTCTCCAGGAAGCGGCGCGGTCGCTGTTTCGCCAGGTGGCAATGATGCAGGTGCTGTAGGCGGCAGTGTGACGACGGATCCAGGGATGGTCTGGGTCGTGGTGATGACAATGTCGCTGGTGATAAAGCTGACGGTGTTTGTGGTGAATGTCTCAGTGATGGGCGGTCCCGTCGTAGTGAAGCTGATGGGCACTTCCACCAATGCTGTTGTCAGCGTGCCCTCCTCCGCTTCGGTTGATGGGCCACCAGAGGCGCTCTCGTCATCTGTCTCCCCGGCAGGTTCGTCTCCTTGCGTCGCATCGTTCTGTCGCTCGTCCAGGGACTGCTTAGTCGTTCGCGTTTGGATCTTTGCTGTGGTATCCGATCCTTGAAGCGCAAGGTTGGCGTAGACGACCACTCCGATCAGGGCGACAAGTACGGCGATCAAGCTACTGAGGTACCACCATCGCAGCGATGCAGGCCGATAGTCTGCCTTGCGTTGTCCGCTCTGTCTCGCGACGGAAGATCTCCGGACTCCCTCGTCCTCGAACAGCTGGGCGACGTTGATCGGTGCTGTCTTGATGGTCAAGGGATCGGCCGCATCACTATGCGGCTCGGGGGTGGTCGGCCAAGCTGCCTGATACTGTTGCGCAGAGTACTGGTGCATGTTACTCGTTAAGCTCGGCTAGAGAGTAACCAGATTGCTGTCTGGTGAGAACAGTGTATCATGTGAAGTCGGGCTCCCGCAAGGATTTGTAGCGAGATCGCATATTCAAGTCAAGCAGGCCGGCGGTGCTTCTGGGGGTCTTCTGCGTCTAATAAGACAACAGTCACCGGACGAGTCCTAGCCTCCTAGGACGCCTCATTGACCCGAATAGTTGTGGCATGTGCTGTCATTGGAGGCGTTGGGTGAAACCAGGTAGGGAGGCGCAAATAAGCGTTGCGCTTGGCTTCAGCTCAATGGCGAGAATGCCCACAGCTGGCAAGTTGTACATAATCTGAGGCTGTGGAAGACTTGGCTAGCTGAAATCTGTCTCTGTGTGAGCCGCGAGCATGGTCATTTTGGCCGGTGATTTTGGAGGCTAACTGTCCTAGAAGTCTTACTATCGGGTTCGAGGCCCTTCGATACACGGTACATCCAGCCCCCGGACGCCTCACGTAGTTTGATTGGAGTGATACCCGCAGGGCTGAATAAAAGCATGTCACTCTGTGCGAACGAAAATGACGGGACTTTAATTATTGAACTTTCTCACCGAGACCCGGTGCAATGCATTAAAGTATACTTTGGATTATGCCAGGTGATAATTGCAGCCTGTGCTGAACAAACATACAGCTTCAATCTGGAAGATGTGCAATCAGTGGTGCTAAGAAAGGCAGGCGAAAACTTTCAACATACACAGCCTTGATTGAATACACGTTTGAGAGTTTAGTCAATCTAAATTACAGAGAGACACTCGGTGGCCAGGGTTTTCAATGGTTTGATCATTTCATGGCAGTCTGTTGGCGAAGATAATCGCGTGGTCACTCCATTTGACATCGCTCTGCGTGAGTACGGGAAATGTTCTCTGATTCTTTGAGCACCTGGGGTACATGTTAATACTAGGGGTGATCTCGACCCGATCAGGACCTAACGCATAGACCTAGGAATAATTCGGCGAGGGCAATGTGCTCAGGGAGATGTAGTAGTCCCGATTATATATGTAACAAGACGGGACAAGGACCTGGGTCGCTCGGTCTGATATTCATGTTTGGCGCACAGCGAATCTTGTCTGCACAGTGGCCACGGGTGTTTGCTTTGAGTGGCGCTTCCCAGCATTGGATGACATCCTTTCACCGACAGAATGAATTGGCATCAGGACGCCCGCGGCAAGTAGTCTAGAGATTTGTGGTAGCAGCTGGGATTCTTCTCGTTGGTAAACATAAAGTTAAAGGAGCACAGTACGTGGCTGGGAAGACGGCAGCGTACATGTAAGAGAGCATGGCGCCTGATGTCGTCTGAAATATAATTCTCAGGCGTTTAGGATAAGACGTAGACGGGATGGAAGCTCGGGGAAGCTTATCACGGCCACTAGCGAGCACGGCACGGACTTGACGTCGATCATCGCGCACGACTTCACCCCAGGGCCCGTGCGTGCTCACCGCCATTGCCATTGCCGCCGTCTAATTATGTACTTGACTACCCGGTTCGACTTATGCATGGGCTGTATCCTGCTGACCACAATCTCCCCTGCATATTTACTCCAATGTCAAGATCATCTCACGCGCCATCCCCTTCGAGAGGATCATTAGCGAGCGGGCGCAGGGCGCCGAGCGCTGATCTACCAATATTCACGGTGGCGCGTAAGCTGTCGACGAGCATGGGGCACGGGAGCTGCCGATATGGATCATGGGAGGCGGTACGTAGCGCCAGACTACCGCACTACGGTACGTATATGGGGAATGCAGACAGCGCACCCGCGGGGCCATGCTCCAGTCTGTCGGACGACAACATTGAACGTACTAGAAGATGGTTGACGTCCTGGCTGGAGAGTGGACTGATTAATCCAGTCTAGATGTTGCCTCTTGCAAGTTGCAACCAGAGCTAGTCTAAGTAAAAGCATTGACTTCTCCTAGGCGGGCAATGGCACTCTCTCACGGAGTACGTGACCTGCCAGGGTGAACGCTAGGACTGGAGGTCTGTTAACCCTCCCCCCCCCCCCCCCCCAACAGCGGACAAGGGCTCAGCGTGCCGCTCAACTGCAGCACAGTTATTTCGGAAAGTGCATTTCTGCGACAAAAGAATTTTCACTTGCCTGTGGGTGAATCCCTCTCCTTTCTTGCGCATTTTTTTTTTAGAGCTGTCGAACCATAACGTACATGCGAAATGGACCGTTGGTGTCGCATTAATTACCGTTCTCTCATGAGAAGTGGAAAATGGGACGTGCCGTGGCTTCAGGAGGCCGTCAACAAGGGCACAAGGCTCTGCTAGAGGGGGGGCGTCTCGCTAGTGTCGCTATTTATAGCTCCAGAGGATAGCGCTGCTATCTCGGAATCTTCGAGTTAAACTACTGCTACCTATCGTCTCTACTGCAGCGTAGCTATAGGTATAGGCTCGGAATCCTAATGTTAAGGCTATGTAAACCTAAGAGGGGTTAGAAACTAGCTTTATCTCTCGAGAAGCTTCTAGTATTAGTTAGAGAGGGTTAGGGTTATTAATAACTTACTTCTACTTCGAGTACTAACTTCCTGTGACTTGGGCTCTGTGATAGAGGGGCGTGTGCTATTAAAACGAAGCGTGATAGCGTGGATCCTTATTCCGTGCGATTTTAACTTTTAATTCGTCCGGAACGCTTCCGCGGAGGGTGTAGTTAAATCTGTTAAAAATAGGGAGCTAATCCTCCTAATTAGGTGCCTTACGAGGCCCTCTCACAGAACCCTTACAGGGATCTATTCAGGCCCTGTTACAGGGGTCCACAGCGCTTACAAATACAGTGCTTCTATTGCCTTCTATAATATTCGAAGGCTAGCACTACCACACTCGCTATTATAAATTAAACCTTCTATAACCTTCCACTAGGTTCGGTTTAACCCACTCTTTGATAAGGTATTACAGCGCCCTCACGCCTATAAATATAGGCCTTCGTTCACTACTAGATAGTTCTAAATTAAGTTATTTATTCACTAAGTTCTTTACCTATATCTTGCCTACCCTAAAGAGAAGATTGCTAAATCGGTCGCTTTCTTCCTTTACTATAGGGATTCCCGGATTATCGCGATTCACTTACCCTGCGCCTAGAAGAGTACTACTCTTTAATAAAATCAACATGACCTTACGCGGCCCACCTACAATACGATCCCTGTAAGATTATTTTTCAAAAAAGCAAAGGCTACGCTAGCAAGGGCCTTAGAACGAATCAAGGTCGGAGATTTACTATTGACCGTTGCTAGCGCGGAAACTTACGGATACATCGTACGGGGCCAAGTCACTTTCGTACAAACATTCAGGGAATCCAGTCATGGACTGTACATAGACTTGACGGCGCGCACTGCCTAACGTTAATCGAACACGCGGACTGACAAGCAACATTCCTCGCACGACCAACAGACCTACACCACCAGTGAGATGCAGCTGCTTGGGATCTCTCCAGTGCGCGCAACATTCACGCCGCAGCTGTGCAATCAGGAGGCGATCAACGACATGGATCTGGACCGTCCAGCCTGCACCTGTGTTCACATTCGCTCGCTACTCTGCTCTCGAGTCCTCCTCGTCTCGCCAACGTTCTTCACGCGAGGAAACTCGATTGACTATGGGTCAGGTAGCGCTTGATCCTGTGACAGACAAGCGATGGCACCCGCGGTAAGTCAAACCCAGGGCTTCGAGGTGCTCAGAGGTCGCGCGCCGTGCATACCCTGGCTGCCGATTGCCTATTCCCTCTCCTCAACATTGCAATCTTTCTTTGATGACGCTATGGAACGGCAGGCCTGGTCTGTGCTATCCACGCATGCTGGCTTGATTCATGTGTTTCTGTCGCCGGCTTCGCTGCACGAATTGGCTTGCTCGTCCCCCCCTCCCCCCGGACGCTTGTCTTTTTCAAATTGCCTAGGGGCTACACATATCGCCCTTTTCCCACAGCATTTAGCTTTTATATAAATATGCAGACAGTCCCCAAAGGTTCTGGCTCTTCTTCTTCTTTTTTTTGACAGCCCAGGCCCATAGCTCGAATAGTCCTTCTAGCAACTTCCTTACACATATCCACTTTGCCTCCACGACAGATTCTAGGCTCATGCCACCCATCCTAGTCCCCTGGAAGACTTGAGTCTGAGAGATTCAATTCTGCCGCGCAATGTCTTCGTTGGGCGTCCGTGACGCTCCGGCAAAGAAGGGCTCTCAGCTGGCAGCAAGCCTCAAAGCCATGGGCAGCACGCAGGCGGAGTACGAAAACCACCTTAAACAAAGAGGCGAACTAGAAAACCAGAAGACCAGAAGGGAGCAACTGTTCAAGAAGGCCTGGTTAGATGCGACAAACCTCGGAAAAGCAGCCGACGGCGTGTTCGACTCTGCCGAGCTTCACTTCGCAGAACATCGAAAGATTCGACAGCAACTAGCAGATGTGAGAGAAAAAGAGGAGGCTTCTTTGCAACAGCTAGAGAACTCCTACCGCTCTTACGGTTTGATCATCGAGTCCCAGCGCTCCACCCAATCCGCTAGTGAGTATCGTGTCAGTCCGCGGTCACCCACCACATCTCAGCGAGACGCAGAGGCTCTGCGTCCTCGGGACAGCACAAGTCCCGCTCAGCGCGAAGCCATCGACACGATGCGGACGAGCGACGTATGCCGCAGTCAAGAACCCAACGTCGACGCCATCGACGCGCAGAGTACAGTTAACTGCGAACGCGAGGCCGGGCCTGATACTGCGGACGGCAACATCGACAACGTGACGGAAATCCAGCAACCCCCCCCGGCGCGAGTCAAGCGTTTCTCGGAAATAAACTCTGGCGGTCAAGCTATCCATGGGATTTGCAAAGCGCGACGCGACAAGGTGAATAATTGGATTTTTTCGTGCCGTGGGTCTAAACCTGCATGCGTCAAGAAACGGTTTTTCTATCACAGAACCGACGACAATCTCCTCAATGCTGTATCACGTCACGCTACATCGCATCATGGCATTGCAACAAGAGACTGGCCAGAAATCTGCCGACAGATGGGCACCAGAGTCATAGACTGCACAGAGGACGACGTCAAACGGAATAACGAAGCTTTCAATGGCGTTGTGGATAGGCATGCCCCCAAAAACAATCCAAAAGACAAAGCGGATCCAGAATACAAGACACGTGGGGGAAAGGTCCCGGAACAACGGGCTACGCGCGATCTTAGGCCGAGGACAGCAGAAAGACCGCCCAGCGAGACAACGGCTGAGCTTGAGCAGGATGCCCAGACAGGTGCTTGGGCGTCACCCGAGCGCAACACATCTCCCTCAGGGGACATGGACATGGAGGCTGTGCTGCAGGAAGCTTCGGAGCAAGCTCGAGCTGCTCTGGCCGAAAGTACCCAGCCGCAGCATGCCTTGGCACCTTATTCTTCCGAGATATTTGAGCCCTTACCGCAGGCTGCCCCAGTCGCCGAGATGTCGTAAGAAACGTCTTGAAAGTTCCTATGTCGTCGACTCAAAAACATAAACGTTGGAAAAGCTTCGCGTGCCTGTTTAGCCTGAGACACAAGAAGAAGAAGAGAACAATAGTAGGAAATAATTGTAGGAAATAATTTAAAAGCTTGGGTGGATACTAGCGAAGGAAACATAGGGTAGGTAGCTTATTATCGGATACTTTTATATATAGGTATTTTTTATCCAAAACATGCTTCGGATCGCCCATCTGCCCTCTCTATACGTTAGTGGTACCATCTTCGTCCACTTACGGTGAGTCATTGGTGTTGTTAAAAGTCGGCCCTTAAACTATCCGCGCCTGCGGCTCCTGTAAGACCAGAACTGATGCGTCCTCAATCTCTCTGTTATTTATCATGCTCTCTTCCTGAATTATTACTGGGTCGATCTGCTCGTCGACGAACTTTTTCACAGCCTCGCGAGCCTGGATTGCCCCGATGGAGCTCCGCGGTGGCTGTCTCGGGCTCTATTGCAGCTCTGCATGTTCTGTTGCCTGTATTTTCGAGGAAGCAATCTCGATCGTAAGCTGTTCGTCCCTAATCATCCAGCTATAGGAGGTACTATGAATATCATGAGAACCCTCTAAAATTATCACTACGAATTTGAATAGAAATCCTAGCTTGATTGCTCGAAATATCGCAATCGATACTCCCGGCTCGTATGGCGCCAAGCATTCGCTTTTGCCTTGGTCTTTGCCCTTCAGCGGCTCGACCACGTCGACGCCCGTACAACTACTTCTACGTGTCATTGCGGCTTTGTTTGTGATAATCAATTATGTTCATTTCAAAGGAGGGGCTGCTCTAGCAATCGATACAGGACTTGCGTTGGCTTCTCGCTACGGACTGTGACTAATCTCCCCATATTATGTTCCCAGCCAATCCCAATCCTGGTAGGACTGAATGTGTGGCCATATGGCAACATCAGCGGTTCGCGCCCTGCCTCGTCCATCATCGTGTGCCATAATCAAGGTTTCTTCCCACAACTTGCACTTGATCGAGCAAACAACAAATATCTTTGCCATCTTATTTCTGACTTCTCTTTCTAGTCCGCCAATGCCCTCCAGGAAGAAAAGGTGCCAGCCGGCGGACCAGCGACTTGCCACGCAACGCGATGAAGAGATCACGCGACGCCTCGATGCAGACAGAAATAGTGCGCGGCGAGTAGCAAAAATTGCACTCTTTGGTATAGATCAGATCTCCGATCCGGGTACTCTTCCACTAACTATCGCGAGGCCCGCCAGGCTGTGGAAAGTCGACCTTCCTCAAGATGGCGCGTTTAGCGCGTTCCCAAGACGCGTTCAGCGACGAATATCGAAAGTCTTTGCGCGGTGAAGTATTCGCCAGCATCATTAAGCTCATGAAGGAAATCATTGCAAAACTCGATGCCTGTGACGCATTTGAAGATGATGCACTCTTAAAGCCGCACATACTAATCGTGCTTGAGGCGGCTACACCTTATGAGCACCAATCGCTACGCCCAGATTTAGTGTACGCCCTCAAAAGTCTATGGGGGGAGAATCTCATAAATGAAAGGGGCTATGGCATGGTCGAAGATGAGGGCCATGTGGTCGAGTATGCAGGCAGACAGTGAGTTTCCCTTGCATCTGCTGCCAACATTTTGGGGCTTGCTCACAGCATCTTTCAGCTATCTCGGCAACCTCGACAGAATTGGCTCAGAAGGCTACGTTCCAAGTCCTGAGGATATAGTCAAGCTACACCAACCGACTCAAGGCATTACAACGACGCAATACCCAGTGAAAGATGGTGAGACCAAGCTTATGTTCTTTGAAATTGGACACATGGTTTCCGAAAGACGAAAGTGGCTCCCTTACATCGACGACGTACAGGCAATAGGTTTCATGGTTCCTTTGTCCATGTACGGTAGTGGTACGGGTCAGGGAGAGGACGCAGGCTTGAGTTCTGTTCAGCGCGCCTTGGACGAGTACGATGCCCTCGTTAACTCGCCGCACAAAGGACTCAATCACAAACCCATTCTCCTTTTCTTGAATGGAGTGGACCAGTTCAAACGCAAGCTGCCGTCGAAGTTAATCAAGGAAGCCTTCCAAGAATTCGAGGGCCCTGAGTCTTTGAGTGAGGCCGCAAATTTCATCCACAACCTCTTCGTCGAGAAGACAGAACAACAGGTCCGGACTGTGTATTCAAATTTCACTGCTTCGCTGGACATTATGTCAGTGAGATTCATTCTTGAAAACGTACATGGCGAGTTCACCCGCGTGGTTTCTTCACAATTTGGCGAACACAGCTAACACACATTCAGAATGTTTGTTCCAAAGACCACTGCAAGTCTCGATATGCTTTTGAGAATAAAGGGCCACGGGCTCCTATTGGCTGTGATTCAGGAAAGTAGGCCCTCGAAGACGTACCCACACAAATCATCCACTAAGAGGGTGTCTGGCTTAGTTCCTTCGTTTAACCTGATCACACTGCCCCCGAGACCAAATCTACGCACCCTCGGACGGAAGCTATTTGGAAAAGTCTATTCGCTTTCTTTCTATTTCATGAGCACTTCCACTTGGGGAGGGTTTTATGTAGTTAAATCTATAGACTCTATAGCGGGCGCGGACGAGATCATGCTCGCTGTTAGTTATGGGACGGGAAGATATATAAGATACGATACTCCTCAGAGTCTTCAGGGATTTTTCTACAACGATTATCCAAATAGTCTCCCCGTTGCCTTCCGAAGCCAGTTCAATCCTAGAGTGGGCGCTCGCGTTGTGGGCGACGATATCTTACAGACGCGTAAGAGCCATATCGCTAGGGGAAATATTATCGTGATCCCCTGGTACACCGTCGAGAGGGCTAAGGCTCCCCCAGTCTACCGTTTCAAGCTCATGTAACTTCTAGCCGCCGATCTCATAGTGTCCAAGGTATCAATATTCTAGGCGCTATGCATCCTGACAAAGTCTTCCCGATAAACTAACATAAGGGCGTTGTAGCAATAATGGATTTCTATCGACGCACGACCCCGTCCATATCCTTTTTTAGAAGTCCCACAGGGTGCCAAAAGCATGGATACCGGCTACGCCGCCGGAATCAGTTCTCGTGGTTCACAATTGATCGCAGCGATGAGACATACCTTCATAGCAACCTTGCATCAGCTCGTCGTTGCCTCGCTTGTTGGACGTTATGAACACAACTTCGGCTTCAAAGCTTCGCCACGTATCCTTCAGGAGCTGCAAGGTGTCTGGTCTGCCACCTCGTTGCTTGGTATCCCAGAGAATCATCCTGGATGCAGGGATGTTCCGATGTATCAGATCTTTGATGATCGGCCCAAACGTTTTTTCTTGATCGGAGCCAATCCAAATAAGAAACCTAAACACACATGGTCAGTCAGTCCCGAGGTACGCAGAGAGTGTTCAACATCCTGCGGTCCGACGTACCAGTTCTCGCTCTGGATGCAGGTCGAGAGCGCCGCGCCGATTCCTGTTCCCGTGCAGACGCGAATCCCCCGCTTGAACATGGCGGATGCATGTCCGACCCCCGCTACGCCCAGTCAGTCAACTAGTTCTTGTTCGTGATTCGAGTCAGGACATACCAAACTTGAATTGTCGCGTCCACAAGGCTTTAGGCGGGTCTTGAACAAGACTCTGAGTGAAGTCGCCCTGAACACCACACACCATGTAATGATGTGCGGAGTTCGTCCCCTCACTGATGATACCAAAGGCATGATACTCCATAAGAGAGGTGCGACTGATTCTGCCGAGATGGCCTTGTTGAATGCCTCCCTCGAAGCAGAGGATGGCCACTTTGGAGGATGGCTGCACAGGTCGCCTATGTTAGACAGTATGGCCCCCACACAGAATGAGTACGTACGATCTGCACCTCCACCGGGACTCTGCGCACAGTGGCCCAGGGAATGATGATGCTGCGAAACTCAGCATCTGACGGCCCAGTAGAAGGGAGAGCACATACCACAACGTGATGCACATGGTAAACCACAAGGCTTGTGAGCGAATCAACGTATCTGTGGTGACCTTCCACTCTCCACGAGCGGCATCGTAACTATTCTCTAGGGCAACGAAGATCCATGTGGCCTGTAAGAGTCAGTGCCTGCGGTCCGATATTGAACGGCCTGGTTGTAGATGCTCACTATGAGGCCCAGCCAACCAATGAACCGATGTTGCTTCTCGAACACGTTGTGGTAGTTACTGAGGACATTGTCAACTCCTTTACTCGAATTGAAGGGGGCGGGGGGTTACTTTCGAACCCATGGAAAGGCGCTGAGCATCGATATAAACATGAGTGCCATCGTGATGATGCCGGAGATTATGACTGATTTGTGTTGTTGTTCGGCGCCGCGGCGAGCAAGGTCAATGACATGGTAAATCAACCAACTGCCAGGGTGAGCATATATCTTTCTAGGTCCTATAGGGCTTGACTATAACATACGTTACGCCCGAGAGTGCGCATCCTGAATGGATGCCTCCAACATGTTGTAAGATGGAGGTCGCTGCTAGTTTAATTCTCAACGGGGCCCACTGATTGATTTGACAATGTGGTTAGCTTCATGCTTTCCAGTTCCAGCAATAAAGGAGCAAGTGAGGTAAGACATACACTGCGCAAGCCGAATATAGCCACTGCATATAGAATCCGTAAGAAAACCTCATTCCGCATGAGGACTGCAGTAAGGAGGTTTCCCAGTATAAAGGCACCAGCCTGGTCCTGTGCATAGCTGAAGCGACCCAGCACGGCCAGCAGCAGACCAGTGAGATTCAACGAGGTCGTGAATATGAAGAATAGTCTATATGTGCTGAACCAGAGCCGGATGAGAGTCGAGCGACGAGGTCCTTTGACTGGCGGCGATAGTGGTTTTGTTGTGATTACGGGCGCCAGTCGCTTGGAATCGTTGGAGGCCAGCTTCTCGGCCTCCACCGGTAGCTCAGGCACCTCTTGTCCCGCTGTTGTGTCGGACCCGAGGATCCGTGAACTTGGTACCGGTGAGATATTCACTGTTGTTGTCGATGTGAGGCTGCTGTTTTGTCTAGTGTACAGCCCCTTCTCTGCAAGATCCGAGGCGTCGGGGTCGCTTGCTGCGTCGCGGGAAGGTGGTGGAGACATTCTGTATATGTTTGGGAGGGAGAGGTAGAGGTTTGGTCGTTCCGGTGTATGCTCTTGCAAAAGATAACCTAGCCTCTCTCGACTCCGTGAGACATTCAACTCTTTAAGTGCACTACGCTGCATTCAAAAGCTCTAAATGGAGCAGAGGAATGACCTTTGTCGCTGGCCTGCGTTACTGACGCATTGAGTGTCCTCTGTCCTACACGATAGGACACAGACTCATCTATTGTCAAGACAATGGCGGCGCGTCCGCTGTAGTTCCGCTTCTACGGCCCGACTCTGGCCACATATACCGCATCAGGCGCAAGCTTATTGGGTTTCAAGGCCCCACGAAAGAGATCTGCCCCTAATAACCCAGCATCAACTTGGATGGCTTGGCGACTGAGGCTTTTGTGGACCTGGCTTTCTTCATGTCAGTTTGGGGAGTGACCCGTTCACTTGCGAGGCGTCCACATGATGACAACATCCACGATCGAGACCATGTCGGCTGCAAGTCTGACGGGAACCGCATGCAAGCAGTAAGACGCAAAAGGAAGAACGAGTATCTAGCAGTCTGAGTCTCTGAGAGTATAGTTCAATTTCCTATTCGGGACTTCGGAGCTACCCCAAGCTTCCCCCGGACCCCCGCAACGGCGTCGGCCCGGTGCGTACTAATAATTAGACTGGCACTAGTTTTTCTCCACAACCTTATATTAATCACTCCACGTTCTCCTTCTTTCACCACCAACACTGAAACAGCTCTCGGGATTGTCGTCCGAACTCCATGAGCGACGGATGCGGGTGGTAATGGCCAGCTGTGATGACCTGCCAGCACGCAATCTGGGCTGCGCCATCCTTCATCCGAGCTCCCATCCCTGCTGTCATCGCCCGATCCCGTTGACTTGGGTGGCACTGATGCATCCAACGTGGGATAAACCTTGTTCCTGCCGATCATGAGGTTTGATCTGAAGATCGACGCGTACCATACTACTCTGTTCAAAAAGGGCCGACCATGCAACGTACAGTATACTGCCATGGGACCACGATGCGAAAATACCTGCGTGTGGTGCATATCTCCACGTAAAGTGACGTGATGCAGAGCTTAATTAGCGATGCCAGATGGTTTCATTGCGTCGCGTGTCTCGTCACTTGCTCTTTTTCGGATACCCTCATGGAATGCAGGAAGGACCATACGTGGAAACCCCATGGAGTCATCGGCGTCCTCATCACTGCCCGGTCAGACAGAAATGTCCGCCATTTTTGAGAGTATCTTTTCCACGAACCTCACACCCACCAGGATCCCATCCTCATCGAGAAGCTCCTGCTCACTGCCAAACGCTGTATTGCCTGGGTCCAGGCACGTCAGGCACACCACCACTAGATCGGTATATTTGTCGCCCACCCTGGGCGGCAAATCCTTCCTTGCCAGGCCCACCAGGTGCTCCTTGGTCTGGAGCCTTGATGCCGCGCCAATCGTGGCAAAGTCCGTGTCAGACAGCGCCAAGCCCAGGCCCAGTCCTGGGACGGGGGCCGCGTCGTCGTTGTTTTCGGGATACCAGACAAACGACGTCCAGAGTCCAATCTCCAGCAAGCAGACACCGAGACTGTAGATATCGTGCTGCATGATGTAGCGATGTTGCACGCAGGTAGCCTGTCGCTGTGGATGGCGGTAGAGATTGAGGTGTCAGCGCGGATCGCCCTTGAGGTGCGTCTGAAAGCACGTGTCTCTGAATTGGCTGAAGCCCGTGAGAAAGGCGGAGCCAAGGGCCGATCCATCATCCCCCCGAAATACCAGCACGCTCTCCGGTCTGATGTTCTTGTGCACAAAGTCACAGGCGTGCACGTAGCTCACGGACTGTACCAACTGTCTGGCGATCCTGACCACAGCGCTCACGCTCACGGGCTTTCGCTCCAGGAGAAGCCCGCGTAGACTGGTTGGGTTGGCGCGGGTCTTTGGCGCCGAGTATATCATGTCCATGGACTTGATCCGTTGCGACTCGTCGTACTGTTTCACGATGCCGAAGCACCGAAGCAGGCTAAAGGTCCGAGAATCGACACATTTGAGCTTCCGCGCCAGATCCTCAGCGGATTGTTTGACATGAGAAATATCATCGTCCCCCAGAGAGTGAACAGTCTCGGAAATGAGGAGCTTGTCCGAGCCACGGCGGAAGACGACGCGAGCTGAAGAGAAGGGTATAGGCGTTATTCTTGCGTCTTTCAGCCCTGACGAGTCGAGATTGATGCTCAGGTTGATTCGGTCTGTGGGCTCGACATTGTCGCTCCGGGGCCTAATGGCGTGTCGCAGGGCTAGCATGCTGTGTAGCGGGCTTGCATCAAACGCCTTCTTGGCAGGATCGGCTCGCCTGCTTTCCCAGAGCTCGGCATCAATCACTCTATTCCCGATGAGGGTGATGATGAACCAAGTCGGATCGAACCGTGCCTGCCACGTCTCCATATCTACCAGAAGCTCATCGAGCTTTTTCTTGACGAGCGCATGCTTCAGCTTTCGCCGGTGTGTCGACGCGGGCAGATTAATCTGCGAGGTGACTTGGACCAGCTTGCCGTGCAGCTTCTGCAGTAGGTTGATCTGGCTCTCGGCCAGCTTCTCGTCGAGGTGCTCGGACACCTTACTCAGGAAGGTGAGCTGCGTCTCCAACTTGGCCCATAGGCCTTCGATGACGACAACCTTGTCGTCGAGGGACTCGTCGGTGTCGCGGTACGCCCGGTATGTGTCTAACGCCTGACGACCCAGTCTGATGCAGCCATCCACCGTTGCAATCACGGCCAAAACCAGCTCTGCGACCATTTTCTTCGCGTGTGTGATGCGAAGAGAAGAGGGTGACACAAAGGGCCAGCTTGACGCGACCCAACTGGCCGCAGGCAGATCATGCTGCAGCTGGACATCGCAGCCGACAAGGCAGACTTGTTGGCGGCCTTGCGGTGTCGGCGGCGTGCATGAGGAATTTTCAGCTCACGCCCAGCTGCGTGGGATTGTGATTGATGGGAAGAGGTCGGCGCTTGAATCCCCCCGACATTCAGCTGGCGTCTACCTAGCCAACCAGGCCGGTGTAATTCAGCGACTCACTCGTGTCGGGTCCTTACTCTTTCGAATGGTCAACTTGCACGTCGAATCCACGTTGCACAGGTCTCTTTTGCTACACCCGATCCTTAACGTAGGTTCACTGATCATTCAATGAAGTAAAAACCATGCCGGCACGAACAGCTGCCTCTGACTTGGTGCTCGACGCGAAGCTGGATACCGAATTCTTCGACAGCTGCATTCGGCACACGCGCTTCGTCCAAGGCCCCTCGGCCCGCGAGCGTCGCACTCGAATTCGAGAAGTATGGGACATTGGCAGAATCATCGGCCGGGGGTCGTTTGGGTCCGTTCGCATCGAGTCCTGCCGAACGATGCTGTCTGGCCAGCAGAGTCAGTCGCGGATTCGCCAACGAGCCGTCAAGAAGATAAGCAAGGACTCCCGCCACCAGGGGAGGTGGGATTATCTCAAGGAATTGGAGACTGTCATCAAGTTCTCGCATGAGCGTGTAGGTTGCCCAGTGCCGTCGCCCCTTTCGGGTTCACGTGGGCATACGATCAATGTCTGACCGTGGCGGTGTTCAGTATGCTCCTCACTTCGTCCGCACCGAAGGCTGGTTTGAGAATTCCGAGGACGTCTTCATCACCCTCGAGTATCTCCCACTTGGCGATTTGCAGCACTTTATGAAGAATTCTCCAGCCTTTGATGAAGAAGCAGTGCGACGGATCACCGGGCAGCTGCTGGAGGGCATCGCATTCATGCACGATTCGGGCTTTGCCCACCGAGATCTGAAGCCTGGGGTGAGTTCCGCAAGAAGGCACTATCTAGCCCCGCGATCCAGATTCCAGCCATGCTAAAGGGGCAAATCCATGAGCAGAATATCTTGGTCGAAGCCGCGTCGCCGGACTGGCTGGTCAAGATCGCCGACTTTGGCATCAGCAAGCGGGCGCAAGAGGGCGGGACAGACCTGCGGACCATGCAAATCGGCACCTTTGGCTACATGGCTCCAGAGGTCATGGGATTCTTCTCTGGTAACGATCCTTCTGTTGCGTATTCCGTGACAGTCGATATCTGGGCGATAGGCATCATTGCGTATGAGTTGCTCTTCAAGAGACACCCTTTCGTCAACGTCAAAGACATTCTGGATTATGTCACTGGTGCCGAGGAACTGAGATTCTCGGGACGGTCTGAGCTGGGAACCACTGAAGTATGCCTAGATTTCCTTCGCAGTCTGCTCACACCGAACCCAGTTACGCGACCAACGGCTGGAGCGGCGAACAACCATTCTTGGTTTGGACGGGAACCATCCCCGATGGACACAGAAGAACCGTGAGACCACGCAGTCCCATACGGGGCACTGAGTAGTGAGTTGACGAAACATGATGCAGACTCTTCGTCGAGGAGGCCAGTGTACCAGACGGCCCCATGGCAGCTTTCCCTGCTGCCACCCCAGCTTCCGTGGCATGGAGTGCATCGCAGCTCAATGGGGGCACGCAGACCACAGCGACACTGATGCCTACGTATCAGGGGCATCATCTCGACGCAAGCATACTGATTCCAGCCTTCAGACACCTGGATCTCGAGAGGGTGAGAATATCTACCCAGTTACTGGTCAATGAGGATGGGAGCTCACTTCATGGCCACAGACCAAATATTGTGTCCTTCGATCCGATAATGAGCTCGATGTCGAGACGAGTGCGGCCCATGGCGTCTGGACCTCGAGTCAGCGGGTCAACAACATGCTCAACAAGGCCTATCTGAAAACGGGAGGGAGGGTCGTCCTGTTTTTCTCGGTCATCAAAAGGTGAGCGCTGCTTTTGACTCTCTCAAATGATGATTTTGGTGTCGGCTCTCTAACGCATATATTCTCGCCAGTCGCAAGCTCTGCGGCGTTGCGCAGATGACGAGTGAGATGGACTGGGACAACACAGACGAGCACTGGTTCGAAGACGCGTGGTCAGGGTAAGACGGACTCCCATTGTCCACTCACGAGTACACATGATCGCTAACCACTGCTGTTCGCCCGTACCTAGTCGATTCACGCTCGAATGGTTGACCCTGAACGAGGTGTCGTTTGACCTGGTCAAGCACGTTCCGGTGAAGCCAAGCACGCCTGTGTTTCGCGCAATCTCTTGTTACGATGGAACGGAAATTGCAGCGACGTCTGCATTCGAGCTCTTGAGGGCGTTTGCCCCCAGGCCAAACGTGCCGCCAGCAAGCGAACAGCCGATGGATGTTGATGTCGCGGGAACGTTGTGAGCATGGCAGTCTCACAAGCAGCATCGCCTCTCGGCAGGAGGTAATCCGGGGCAGGCTTTTCGTGATTTCCTGCAGTGACAGCGGTGATATCCGGCAAAAAAAGGGGCAAAAACACCTCTCACACAAACCTATGTAGGCGGCGTTACGTCGAATACCCTGACTATATTTGTGAGCTGCAGTAATTGCTTTCTGTCTAGCACCCAACTTCAAACTATCAATATGCTCTTGAGCGCCTCAACCCTCTCATTTCTCTGCCCTTAGTCTTTGCACAGGTGGTTGGCAATGCCTCATTAACCCGCCCAACGACGGTTGACGCATAGTGGATCTTGGCCGAGTATCAGATGAACAACTGACTCTCCCGCCAAAGCCTCACCGCCTGCATACTCTTCTCCCTGCAGCTTCCCAGAAACGGCTGTCTTCATCGCGCAGCTTCTGTATAAAACAACGTAATTAATAGCAATGATATCATTTTACTGGACTCAGCGACAAATGTCTTTCTGATGTTCGATGAAGTAATCTCGTGATAGTCATATAAAACCGGCTGCAATGTTCGGCCAAGACATATACCTGGAATCATATGCAAACCAATGTTCTTAACTACCGTCGCCGTGCAAGCGAGTTTGGCTTTTTCCTCCCGATGAGAACGATCAGGCCGAATCTTTCTACCAATGACTGATTCTATCTTTGCGACGTGCGGGTTTGGCCCAGTTATAGGGTAGCTAGTTGCAGAAGCCGACTGGTCCTAACTTATCGCACGACGTTGGTCATTGCACTTCACTCAAGAGCGTCACAAACCGGCCAGGAATCAGCCAGGCAATACATGTTATTCGGCGTTCGTAAGCAGTGAAAAAGCCGTGGGATTGCACAACTGAAGTGGCTTACATCATCTCCTGGGCCACAGGTCTCTCTTGACCTCCATCAGCATGTCCAGCAGCCCTTTTAGGCTCTCACCAGGCGAAGAGGCCTCTTGAATGAAGCCTGGGAACTGCCTGCATATTAGCCCGCCTTACAAAAGCGTCGTGGCATGAGTTTTTACGTCAAAGCTCTTGTTCAGTCCCCAAACTTGATCTGCAGCTAACGCAGACTCTCACAGATTAGCTTCATAGGCGCCGAGTGAAGACTGCCCCAGTTGACTTGGCAGACGCATTCATTCCCGCCATGCAAGTTTGAAGGCAATCAGAAGAGAGGGGTCAAAGATGATAGAATCTGTGCTAAGTTCTGGGTGAGTTACTGAAGCACTCAGTAACATCGATGATCAATTGCAACGGCCGCGGTCATGCCCGAACTGTTGCTCCCGTGTCTCGAGCATCAACGTCCATTCCAGCCATCAGAGCCGGATCCGTTCCACATGAGCTGCAACAGTTCCGACTGAGAGAAACGGAATTCTTTGATATGAAATTATTGAAAGTGAACAGGATGAGGCCCAGCAGAGGAAGTCTGTGGTGGAGGTCCTCGCCAAGCGTGCATGGGTAGCTCATTACAGATCTATCGAGCTAAGTGTAGACGCAGTGGCAGAAAAGCGGAATTCTCCTATCATCGCCCACAGGAACCCAACCTAGCGCAAAGCCTTGTAAATAAGGAAATTCCTCCGAGCGCCTCGTACCGCCGGGCTTTCGAGATGGGGGGGTCGAGATATGTAAGTCTCTGGAGCATCGTGCAGAACAGGGTTGCAATGCGCAACCAACTGCATAAAACCCCTGTCGGCGCTCAACATCGTCTGACCCGCGACTTCTACCCCATGAGCGCTGCTGAACTTGAGTTTCTCAAGATGCGGTCTTGAAACTGCGCAGGGGGAGCCTGCTTCTATTATTAGACTGAGTAAGAGGCGCCCTCGCCTTTCATAAGGTCCTTAACTCAGTGGCCACAGCCTCGTGGGAGGATTCCGAATTCCTCATTCTCGTATGTTCTTTTCTCTATCCCCAGGCACACACAGAAGTTCAATCACTCACTTGCCCAATCAATCTCACAGTGTTTAAGTGGTGCGAAAATGCCGACTCCCCAGGCCAAGCGGGAAGGGCAACTGCTGGCCGAGGCCTCTCCTCCCTCGCCCAGCGGTTCGCAATCCAGCACTCAATCTTTATTCAATAGTTCCAACTTTTCTCTTGACGTACCGGGGCCCTCATCGAGGACGCACCCGCATGGCTCGCATGCTCGCAGCCGATCAGCTGGAGATTCTGGGAACAAAATAACAGCATTCCCCTTCGGTCAATCAATGTCCTCGGATTTCGCGCCTATCACGCCTTCGGGATCAAGTCAAGCCAGGCCTGCACCCTTCTTCTGGGACTCATCTAGAGGGGCCCGGGCGACTGCTGTCGAGAGAGCTGCAAATTCCCCGCGACCAACAAATGGCCAGAATGGCCGTCACGCAGACGTGTTCCTCTTCGGCCAGGACGGCAAAGATGCACCCACATCAACCTTTTCATTCGGCGATCTTCACAACTTCAGTCCACTCCAATCACCTCGAGCGTCGCCCACTATTCGTCACCCTAAGGCTTCCTTACAAGTACGCAGCCACAATCCTAGCCCTGGATCCAGCCCGGCAGTGACAGCGAGCGTGTCTGGTGGCTTCCTCTCCCCTCCAAGGCTCTCTCTCAACAATCAATCCTCGCCATCTATATCTGAGATAAACAACAGAACAAGATCTCTATCCCTTGCCGAACCGCGCACTGAGACTGCTGATGCTCTCTCCACAAGTCTGCTCCCTCCTTCACACAGCATCGTGAACAGTGGTGACCACCCTGAAGCCTATGATCCTAGGGTTGAGCCAGGTCCTACGCATGAGTACTTCACGATTGACTTCCAACAGAGGCTCCGCGAAGGTGCCAGCATTGCCAAGGAAACTGTGGCTGCCATTGAAAAAGTGGAGTCCGCTATGAAACTAGACGACGAAGCTGGAGAACTACTGAAGCAAGCGAGGGAGCTGTCTGCGATGCGCAGTGATGTGACAAGAACTATTGCGATCTTAGGAGACTCTGGAGAAGGTCAGTCGAGGTCTTTGAGTGGGCCGCTTCGCCTTTTGGTGTTTTTATCGGCTGACTGGCTTAGGAAAAAGCAGCCTCATCAACTCATTACTTCATTTTCCAGGCCTTGCACAAACGGTAAATCAGATTATCAAAATTTTGTGACGCTTTACAAAGATCTAACAAAGCCTCATCGACAGGGCGACATTGGTTCAGCTTGCACGTCAGTTGTGACCGAGTATCGGCACAAGCTGGAGCGACACACAGCTGCAATCACGATAGAGGTCGAGTATCTCTCCAGTGATGGAATAGAAAGCCTCTTGCGTGAGCTTCTGTGGAGCTATCGACAGCTTTATCTGCCCTTGGTCGAGGAAGCCGAAACCTCAGGCAAAGACTATGCCAAGTTTCAAGCGGAGTCAGACCATGCTTGGTCAACCCTGAGCACCGCATTTGGACATCAGCAGAGCTTTAGCAAGGATCTACTCAGAGACATGTCAGACGGCGCTTCAGAGCGTGCTCTCGATCAGCTCATACGTTGGAGTCGAGAAATCGAATGGCCTGTTGGTGGAGAACAAGGCCGCTGGACAGCAACGGCGACCACAGCGTGGGATTGCTGCGAAAAGACCAGGATCTTCATGCAAGACAGGCTATGGCCTTTCACCAAAGTTATCCGGTATGTCATCTCCTAGAATCCCACAGGTCCGTCAGGCGGCTGATAACATGACTGCAGCATGTACCTGGGCTCCCAGATCCTGAAGACCGGTGTTGTGCTTGCGGATTTGCCAGGTATGTTCGACTGGGATAATGGGGCTCTGAATGAATCCACGACATAAATCTCTTGCCCATCTATCTGGGACGATACTAACACGATTCTAGGTTTACAGGACACCAATCTGGCTAGAGTCCGATCCACGCAGGAATATCTCATGCAATGCGACAATATCTTCATTGTGGCCAAGATCTCTAGGGCCGTCACCAACAGCTCGGTCAAGTCGTCCATGTACTGGGCGCTTTCTCGGCATGCACCTATGGAATGGGAGCAAGAGGCGGGGCGAAATTTCAATATTTCCGTTGTGTGTACCAGATCCGAGGTATGATTACTCTGAACTTCGATGCCTATATTTTTGCAAGAGGTAGCTAATGTGGCTCAAGGATATTAACATTGAGGCGGCCAAAAGAGAGTTCTGTGGACCAGGAAAGCAGATCGCTACTGAGGTCATTGCGCGCCTCGAAGAGGAGATTGAGGATGCCAAGAGAAGTTCCGACCGACAGCGCAAAAAGGAGCTGAAAAAAAGGTAATGGCGTTTGTGGATGAACACTTGTGCTAGCCAGCTAACATGAGATCAGGCTAGAGTTTCTTCTGATCCGCGCACGCAATGCCCATGTACGTGAGGGCTTGCAGCGGGCGTACTCGTCTGAAATACCAGGAGGCAGACTCAATGTGTTCTGCGTGTCCAACAAATTATACGAAAAGTATTCCAGAAAGGGACCGCCCGAATTTATCCAAGAGACCGGCATAGTGGAGCTCCGACGATTCTGTCATAGTGTCACAGCCGAGGCGCAGCTTAAAGAAGGACAGCACTTCCTTCGTTCTCGCCTGCCAAGTTTGCTCAACTCTTTGGGACTATGGGCAGGGAGTAGACTGTCAGCCCATGTCGTACCGCCGTCGACTTCCACTGCGTCACTGACAGAGTCCTTGGAGCGTTTGAAGGAAAGGGTTTGCCTCCCTGACCCCTTTGTCGATTCCTTTCGTTCTGGACTAACGCTTGGAAAGGCTCCTCAGTCAATATCTGGGTTTAAGAAAGATTTTCTCGAGTCCTTTGATGAGCTCATCATGAGCTTCTTCAGTACGTGGCCTGCTAGTCGACGTCCTGACAGAGGGTCAAGACTAACCCGGCCCGCCTCGCCGCAGCTTCCAGGGACCACCAGTGGGACGTATCCGCGCGAACCGAAGCAAAAAAGTGGGAAACAGATGTCAGTAACATTCAAGCCCTTTCAATGGGGCCAATGAGCTAACTTGAAGGCAGTGGCACTGGAGTAATACACCGCAACCTCAGGTCCGCATCATAGGTGCGAATGACGCTAACACTATTGACTTAGCTCAATACAACGCCTGGTGTTTACGAAACGGCAACCATTGCACCTTGAAACGGGAAGCGACGGACTGGAACGCCCAAATCATTTGGAAGATGCGTATGGAGTTGAATTTTCAGTGGGATCTGGTCATGGAGGAAGTCGCCGCCGTTTTTAAGGCCTTCCAAGAGGATTACACAATGGGATTGATGCGCATGAAGGCGAAGGTTCTGGAGATCACGGGTCAGTCCATTAAGAGTGCGTCCTTTGAGTTTGTCTAACATCTTCCTCGGCACAGAGTCGGTCGATACAGAAGCAATGGCCTCTTTAGTCACAGGTATCGACTCTATGATTTCATCCTGGAACTATAAGGTGGAGTTGATGAAACAAAGCTTTGCACGCGATGTTGAGTGCGTCGACACGTTCATCCTCTGGCATGCCTCTTTGCACAAGCTAACGAGACCACTTAGAGCGCTCAGGCGACGAGCATCGGAGTCACACTCGAACTCATACATACTCAATGAGATGGTCGCATCCTATCGCTCCGCGAGCAGCCACAGTGGTAAGAAGTCCAAGCTTAAATCCTTTTCTAGGGCGTAAAGGCTGTGTAGCTCCGGGATTCTAACATGTCCAGGCGGCGGCAAAGCAGCGCGACAAAAAGCAATTGTCGGGGGCAAGATATCTGGAGGCACAATATTCCCCAATATTTCTATCCGCCTATCTACAGAATTACACACGCTCGTGGGCAAAAAAGGGCAAGAATTGAATCAGCTTATGTCTGATTCCTTGCGGAGATTGGACAACGATGTGGCCATGGCTGTGAGGCTTTTCAGCTCGGAGAACTCAGTGAACAGAAACAATGACCCTGATGCAGAGCGTCTGAAGGCTTTCAAGCGCCAGATTGACTCTCTGAAAGCAGGACAGAGTACTATCGTTGTAGTTTAGTTGCTTATCAAATATCTTATGCTACGCCACTTTTGTGATCCTGTTCTGAGGAGGCTTCGTCATCTGATCATCTGAGGTGACAGCGGCGTCCACGAAGACTGCCGCTGCACATATGTCTCTTCGGCGCAATTTCGTACAATTGCACATCGTTTAACTTCTTAGGGCTTGTCGTCAGCCGCGGCGGCAATCCCGTACGTCGTCGCCTGCCCCGATTGCTCGTTCAACGGCGGGTCGTTTGGGTGCCCACTCAAGCCGGGTTAGCGGCAACAAACCTAGCAAACTCGCCCTACATGCCCAACGACATATGGGCGCTAAGATGACAGATAGTTCGTCTGCCGAAAATTCGTGTGGACGCTGAATGAAAAGGTAGTCCAGAGGGGGGAAGGAGGCTTTTGATACAATTGTAGGCCGGCAACACACGTGATGGCTGTCAAGGCAAGGCTCTGTCATTCTGCGCCAGTGCTTAACTACCTGGGCGTTCTCATGGCCGGACCACGATCTCAATGCGCGCCTGGAGCAGAAGCTGATCAGTAGAGACTGTGTTGTATTGACATGGCAGAATCGAAAATAAGAAGAACAAACTTTTCGTGAACAGATCGTGACAGTAAACTTGAGGAAGCAGGTTCATATAGCACCTCAAACCCCAGCCTTCTTGTGTGCGTCCTTGTGTGCGTCCTTGTGTGCATCCTTGTGTGCGTCCTTGTGTGCGTCCTTGTGTGCGTCCTTGTGTGCGTCCTTGTGTGCGTCCTTGTGTGCGTCCTTGTCCCCTGTCTCCTTCTCCCTGCTGCCTCTGCCTACGATTATACGGATGCCGTTGTGAATCCTGCCTTGGAAGACTTTTCCATCAGTTGTTGTTTGGGGGATCAGGACGTTGTTGTAAAAGGAGTCCGGGAGGACTGGCGGCACTTCGGACTCAACCTCGCTCAAGTTTTCGAAACAGTGACCATTGTACAACTCGACGTCACCCGTGACATGATTGTTCATAAAGGTATTCGCAGGCAAGTTGGTGATCCCCTTCCATGAGACTCCCGTACTTCCGGTGTTTGTATACATGTTTCCATTGTGTACTGTTCCACCGTAGGCAACGTTGTTGTAGTAAAAGTTTGAGTTGGGATTGCCTTGCATGTCCCTCCTTCTTATCTGACAGGCGATCTCAAAATCTTCCGGGGTCATTTTGAATTTCTCGAATGTTTCGAATATGGAAGAGGCCGACATCCTAGTTGTCGGCTGGGTGGGACAACCTTCGTCAGCTTCGGACGCACGCTGCCGAACAAGGACGAGCGCCTTGGAGGATGTCATTTGCGTGCAAGGGGTTTGAAGAGGCTGGGCATGCTCTTCAGCTGCAAGTTTTTCAGGACACTGTGGGTGAGCCATGCTTTGGATGTCGGCTCGTATATGATGAAGGGCTTGTGCTTGAAGGTTATGGATGATGAGGGAGAGACTAGTCTTGTGTCGTTTAAGAGATATGAAGACTTCCGAAAGCTCTCGGTCTTTGGAAATGAAGGAGCAAGATCTAGAAAAGCGACTCCTTCGGATCAGAGGTCCAAGGTCGTGCTTTTGAACAAGATTGAGCAGAGAATAGACGCAGACCTCGACTTTAGGAGTCTGGAGAAGAGGATTCTGAGAGATGGCTTCGGAGATGGTTCGAGTTTCCAGGAGCTGCTTCTGGTAGTCCTGAAGGGAAGAGGAGGCCCCTTTTATCCTCCTCGCGAGCTTAGCCAGAGTATGGCATACTGTCGCCAGCTGAGCGGCACCAGCAACTACGCCGAGGACTTCAGCCAATTTCTGCAGTGAATGATGCTACGTGAAGCGAGGAGGTTAAGTGTCTTGACTATGCACCCTGCTGAGCCCAGGGGCGACCTCCAACATCAAACAAAGGCGGTGAGCATAGGACTGTCCTATTTTTGCTATTTTTCCTTTGGGGATAGCATCACTTGTTTCGTCGACAGTAGATATTGGCGGTCAAGCTAGGCAGGATGCGTCTCTTCAACTGCACGTTGGTTCCGTCCATCTGGGTCTCGGGTCGCAACCTTCGGCACAATACCACTTCAAGAGTCGGTAGGATGTGTCTGTGAGGTGTACGAAGGGCAACCAGATGCTTTCGATGGTTTGGAACCGAAATCCTCAGCGGTTCTTTTTCAAACAAGGCTGCCGCGCCGCGTAGTGGAGATCAAATGGTTGTCACACCTGGATCGCTTTGCCACAACGCAGAGCTCTCTAATTGGATGCTGGACCTTGACCGATATAAATTGGAGGGTCAGCTCATGCCAGAGGCAGCGTTGGCATCTTTCCTGGAGCAACGGAACGTCATGAATTTGCTCACGTGGCTCTCGAGTCGGTCAAGATGGTGTAGGGCTATTGGAGCTGGCCCGTCTCAGCGACGAGGATAATTCTCGAATTCGACTTGGAGAAAACTGCCTGGCGCGGCAAAGAAGCTGTCGTTGGGCTGGAATGTCCAGCGATGAGGAGCCTCCAGTCAAGATATCCAGCCAAGATTTCAAGGCGGTGCTTGAGTCCTGAAGTTTTGGACACGGTTTTCTGATCACAAGAGGAGAGGGCCGGAAAGTTGAGTTTGATCTGTACGTGGTGGCGGAATGTAGCTAGATTCAAGTCATGCCATGAGAGGTCGTTAAGGAAGTAACGTTCCCCGTACGAGTGCAAAGCACAGCTGCGAGCAGCGGCAGTCGTCAATTGAAGAAGCGGAGCGGCGCGCGCACAAGCCAACTTAGTGACGCTTACACCATTTCAGGAGAAGAACGATATCAGGCGAGGAGTCGTAAGGAGCATGAGCCCGTATGATCATGTCGCCAAGAATTAAAACCGACAAAACTTCAGGTGGTGCCAAGTTGAGTAGCATGGACGGACATGATCTCCGCACCTAAAGCCGATAGACGATCTAATGGCGCCCTGCTGGACAATTATGCATGTGTGGATGACTAGGTCAATGACCTCCATTTTTGGAGGTCGTGGCGTCCGAAATCGGAAGAATCAACCTCTAGGAATAGAAGGGGTTGAGCGGAAGGGAAGAACTAGACGGGATCCCGTATTTTCCACTGGGTGTGGTCGTATGTGTAAGAAACCGTTTTGCTTAACAATCATCAATCCTTGATCAAATGTACCCGACCGCCTATTCTCTTCGTCGTTCTTGTCCTAACCTTACTTACCTAGTAACCTAGTCGACTCCACTCTGCGACACGAGATGGGACTAATCTTTGGTATCGATGGCGGCTATATATATATGTCCGTTCACTACGGAGCTCGCTTTTAAAAGTAATATCCTCGCGCTAAAGATACTAATACTATATATCGCTTACAATAGCTAGTTTTAGTGTAAATTCTATAAGTCCTTTCCCCGCCCCTCGATATACTTATTACCTCCTTTAAGCTTAATAATCTCGGCTATATACCGCGGAATTCGCTTAATCTAGCGACGAATATCCTCTTACGGTAGGGCTTTCTAGGCCTCTTGCTACCTCACGATAGCTTTATTTCTTCCTTATGGCGCGCCCTTCTTCGTAGTATATCTCTTTATATACGGCTACGCGGCCTCGATCGCGTTAAGGTCCGGCGAGTCACTATACTATACGAGGCGCTACACGCCCTCCTTATTAAATAACCTTTGTTAAAAATATTAAAGAGTAGTACTCTTCTAGGCGCAGGGTAAGTGAATCGCGATAATCCGGGAATCCCTTTAGTAAAGGAAGAAAGCGACCGATTCAGTAATCTTCTCTTTAGGGTAGGCAAGATATAGGTAAAGAACTTAGTGAATGAATGACTTAATTCAGAACTATCTAGTAGTGAAGGAAGGCCTATATTTATAGGCGTGAGGGCGCTGCAATGCCCTGTAAAAGAGTGGGTCAAACCGAACCTAGTGGAAGGTTATAGAAGGTTTGATTTATAATAGCGAGTGTGGCAGTGCTAGCCTTCGAAT